TCGCGTCACCATAGTACAGGAAGGTCAATCAAAGGTGAGATAAGTATACCTCCTCCACTCCCAACACAAGTATTTGAACAGGAAAGGTGGACACCCAACTACACGCATGTATCTGTATAAAGATACTACTTCGTCTTCCAAATGGCGAGTGATGCATTTGTCCACGTAGCCAGATCTAGCAAGGTGCACCGCACTAGCCAGTTCATCACACAGCCTACAGGAAAGTAAATCTGTGGCAGCGCGTCTTGTGAATGGCTTTATGAGGCATCAATTGAAACTGCAACGAAACCTTCCATCAAATACACTTGGCGAAGCTATGGGGGGGGGGGGGGGGTGGTTTAGGGCGAGAGATTTCCGGCGCCGCATTGTGACTGCCAGCCTCGTTACTTCGCACTCCTTCCCAGATTCTAGGACCTATGCCAATGCTAACGTGTAGAAACGAGGCCGTGGTGATAAGCCTGATCGGGATGGTCGCTTGGTTCGCTGTGCACTGTCTATGCTACTGCTTACTACTTACACAAGATTTTAACAACATCGACCCTTCTTAAAATACACGAAGAGCCAGCAAGGGATATCAACGTCTTCATACCCAGCTGATATCCCATCCAAGTACTGACCTGAAATTCTCAAGGCCGTCCCACTACACTTGTCATGAATACTGTAACCGAAGTCGATCAACTACTCTCCTCCAGTACAAAGCCAAGGTTCATACCTCGTGCAAGAGATCTATTATCGTCGAGGCACCTATAGTACATGCGCATCAGGAAGCAGCCGAGCTCAGCCCTTTTTACTACATACGTCAGTGTTCTCTCGGGCACTGTTTGTTGAGAAGCATGAACTCCAAGTCGGCTCGTACTCTAGGAGGCCTAGGCCAATGGTCGGAGAGCTGAAACCCTATAATATTTTTCGAGAGACATCGAATGCATACTTTTCGTGACACTTCGTTTAAGAACCATCAAAGGAAAGTCCCATCTTCCTAGAAGTTGCCTCTGAGAACAGCTGTTTTCCTTCTATCAATGTCTGGCTACATACCTTACTTTGATTTTTCAAAGGAGTCCCATTATTGAATTGTAGGCTAGCCTAATATCGACAATACGTATAGTCAGTGCTAGTAGACTTGCAGTAAAGTGAGTATTGATCTAACTATAGTGAAGCGTCCCGGACAACCGTCACTCCGCCCGGATCACTCCTGCTAAGTGCTTGGCGCACTAGCTTTGTGCAGAGCACACTAGGTCGATTATGGAGGCCACCTGCTATTCCTGCAACATCGTACGGCTGAAGACACAAGAAAAATTATGCACCAAAGAATCTCATATTCGCTGGGCGAACGAGGGTGGCTAGTGGGGCTGGCACAGTGTGGTTGGGAATCCGGACCTCACAGATTGAAGGGGGCCGGGAAAGTTCATGCGAGGCAGTGTCGATGGAAGATACTGCCGCCACCATTGGCAGCCGTAGCAGCCTCACAGAGTCGGCCAAAAGTCGAACCTCCTTAGACGCCTGCCGAGAAACCAAATTTTGCGGTTACAAAATTGAAATCTTCGCTTCCTTACTGTCCGGCCGCCTATTACTAGTGACGGCTTGGTCAATCAGAACTTCAAGTGCCGATGGGCTTATTGGTGATCGGCACTGGCAGATAACGTGCTGCAGCCCAATGCCTATCTGAAATCACTGGTACTGTCATTGTCTAGGCTATTGCAATTCAAGAGAGCCCACCACCGGTCCTTCGGACACGTTCAAGTTCAATATAAACATGTCCGTATTTTTCAGCGTTTACCAACTGCGAAATTACACCGGTAGAGACCCTCCAGGTCATAACGTGTTCATTAGGTTCAAACGTTCGTGCGTCATGTCTTACTTTCGGGGATCGCAGCTAATGATCAGCGGATCTAAGCCCTCGGGGTAAGACCGCTTGGCGATGACACCTTACAGTAGAATGAATAGGTACGTGAACAGGGAGTATGTTTAGTATTGAGGAATGGCAAAAGATTACTGAGTTGTCACCGCTAATGGAGAGCCCAGTCCCAGAGAGCTCAAAACCTGCAGGGATGATAGGGGGGATCACGAAACTATCTCATGGGCAGTCTCTTTATGATTGATATCTCCGCAGATCCTGACAGCAAGCCGCGAAGATATGGAATCTTGACACAGGATAGATCGTGGTCCATTCGACCTTGGTTCTTTGGGACGGTATTTTCTCATATGACTCGAACAAATTCATTGTGAAGTCAGGTGTGGGGAATGCCGCGGAAGTGTCTGGAAGTTATTATGGAGTGTGGGAGACTTCGCGGTAGGTTGGAGACCGTGACGTATGCAACAGTGTTCTGGACAACCAAAGACCTGACCGCCCCTGACTAGCCTCAGGCGCGATAGCGCCAGGGATGATTCACGAGTTCGAACTGTCGATGCTGGAGCCTCGCTGTCTCAGAGCTCTGTTCGAAGGCTTTGATGTTCAGATCCCCATCCTGCTCTACTCTCACTTGACTCATGCCAACAGTAGCTTCTCGACCGGATATGATCTGCAGACCTACATATGCAGCATTTCATAATTTTGCTAGCATCTAGCCTGCACAAGAGCCAAAGCACAGTGTGCGCATCCATAGATGTGTCTATTGTGCGCCAAAATTCTTTTGCAAGACAGTACGTCTGAACCCAACGCTTTGCTCGGGATCTACTCGATTATTCGCTCTTCCCTGACGCCTTGCGCTGCTTCCCTGCACCGTAATCCAGTGATATCGCCTATGATGTTCTCGTCCCTGACCATGCTGACCTTCCACTACAATGGACCCACAACAACCCGCTGCCCCCCTTCTTGCCCTTTACCGCACAGATGTGGTTCGTTTTGTTTGCGACGATGACCTTCCGTTACCATTTATGTCCTTAGTCTCTTATTTCCTCTCCAAGTTGACTAGACAATCACCCTGTGATTCCCAGTTACATACTCCTACTGTCTGGCTGCTCCTCTTTCGATTCACCACTGAGTTCAGACGTAGTTCACGTGTAGAACGCGAGTGTCAAATCGTTATTTGCCGTTTCCATCTCATATCTGCATCTTATCAGTTTCGACGCACGCTAGCACCATTCACCATCGCATCCTTTGACATTGTTTCCGTAACCGTCACTCTATATCGACCCCTGTTCATGCAGGTCTTACACCATCGTTTATTTTCCTCTCGCGCGGATTCCAAGTAATGACAATGGCTGGGTGCTCAATGAATACTTCAAATTTATTCTTCTTTTACATAACCGGGATTCACGACAGCAATCCTGGGCAGTGTGACGGAGAACAGGAAGCAGCCTGCATTTTTGCTTCTACAATGGCTTCGCGAACATGACTGAGTGTTTTCACTTTGTCACTCGTCGCGACATGATTCACTCACAGGCGTTTGCAGACCACAAGTCTTCAATCAGGTTCAATTGGAACTCTGCATGGATGACATCCATGTGATCTTGAGAGCGTCCTATCCAACACAAATTTTCATTGCGGCGATTTCCATGTCTATGTTTGGCTGGCTGATCTCCTTACGCATAGCGTAGTTGACCTATCTCGTCTTCTGTCTCACAGCTCCTCAGCGAATACGAAGTGATGGAAAACGCTGAAAAACGCTACTTGACAGATAACACCGTCCGTTGGTCGTGCCTATGCTTCTGATCAGGGCTGGTAAGTCTGAACCCTGCGCCACACAGCATATCAAAATCGTGTTTCCTGATCACTGCAGTCAATTTTCTGAAAAATGTAAAAAAAAAAAAGGTGTAACATACACAACTTGTATCGAACATGTCAACTTTGGAAATTATCTAGTAGACGATGAGTTTGAAGACATTATTCGCTTACATGCATCGAGTCTGACTTGACGAACGAGGTACGCCATGCTGTATGATTGCATCAATGAATACGCGGCATCGTGCCACTTGTATTTGTGAATTTGCCACTGACCTTTGTCCTCTGTCCTTCGGCCAGGAGGCAGCTACGCATACGTTGCTTTGGGTGAAATGACTTCTTTCCTGTCCGCGGTTCGTAATCCCTTGATGCTGATCACCGCGGTGCTAGCACCGACCACAAGGAAGCTATCATATGCGCATCCCAACCAAACCCGTCACCTACGGCGTTACCGCAAACGGATCAAGACGTATCGTACCAAACAACCATGCAGCGTGATTACAGCGCGTGTCTTCTTCGGGTTCGTAGTACCCCAAGCATTGGCGAGGATTACGGAACTCGTTGTCTTGCCTTCACGAGAAAGAAAAGAGAATGAATGGCTGACAGGCGCATATTATGAGGTGTTGTTTGGAAGTTTGGCAGGACCCTTTTGATGCGCAAGGCATATTTTCTTTTTCGGCCAGGCCAACTGTTTGCCGAGATGGCATGGCATTCTAGGGTTGCAGGCAGGCGTGAGTGTTAAAGTTGAAGGCTTGATCCATGGCTCTTCCATAGTATGGCGGTGTAAAGAAGGGCATGTATGGGAATTTGGCTTGAAACCAGCAGCATCCTATAAGTAGATGCTGCATATTACAAGTCATCATGGTCTGGCCTGGCCTGGCACGAAGAACCTTGAAACATAAAGAGATCGAAACAATGTACCACATATGTAACTTTTTTTTATAAATTACTGATCATAAGATGATTCTGATCTTCCCATAATGTGAACACGCGGACGAGCGTCTCTGCGGCAATCCCAATCTAGTAAAACCTCGACGACTATCACGTACTGCGAAAGCAACGCGGGAAGAAATTCAATAGAATGGAACGAATGGCACAAAATTAACGAGATAGGCCCATAAGTCTATCTTCGTCGAGCGCCTTGGCCATGAAGTTATCACGATGTCCGCGGATTCATTCAGCCACTCATAATGAATCGTATTTCATCGAGTCGAGAGTCACCCCGCGATCCACGAGATTGGCTATTCGTCAAAATGAGATGAGTGGGACTGAATGAACAAGTCTTCGATGAGATACATGCGTTGTTGGTCTGTCTTGAATGAAGCTCTCCCCCAGTCGTATCTCAGGAGGAGATGCCAACGTTTGTGCGATCGAATTTGATAGACCCTAAAGGAAAGGATGATCCGCTTAAATCAGAGGTATAGGCTGGTATTGGGCATATGCAAAGGTACACTGATTCGGGATCTAGCGAAATGAAATAGATAGGAGACTGTGAAACATCTTCAAGACATAAGAGATAATCGCTGGGCAAAGGGAAATCGATGAGATTGCGGGCAGAAGCGCGGGTCATTAGACTCACCGAGGTAGCATGGGTGATCTAGAACAAAGGAGGGGAGAAGACAAAACATGTGATATAGTGAAGAGCGAATCAAAGGATGCCAGCACCGTCCATTTGATGCCTTTCTTCAACAATGAGAATGGTGGCGGGTGGCGGAGTGGCACAAGCATTATTGAGCCTGCAAGTGCAAGCCTTGTGTCGAATCAATTGTATTATTGCCCATGATGAGATGCCTAATCCGTCGCGGAAGTAAAGTGGCTTGAGTACTCCGTTCTAGCAGGTTCATTAAGTCGCCTCCAGTCTCCAAATTCGATACAGGAACACAGCATTCCGATGCTGAGCAGGGAAAGCTCCACACCTCACCGAAACCGTGAGGTGCTCATAACAAGAAGCCTTCTTCGCTTCCTCGCTAGATTGAACTACTTCAAGTACCAACTTGGGCGATGAAGACGGTATTGCTCCCGCGGCGCGGCTCGGCTAAGCTGATGAGCGAATCCCGTAAAAAAGGGATAAAGGATGAGGCAAGAACAAGGCAGGATCTTTCGGATAGATAGCGAATAGAATTATCTGTGGATTGTGTATTATCTTATCAGGTTCCGGCTCGGGAGCGCGCGCTACGGTCTACAGAGAAGCGGTTTTAAATCCACAGAATTAAAAGTAAAAATGCAATGCAAACAGCTGACGGAGAAGTCAGAGGCGCTGCTGGAAACTCGCCTTTCGAGTGAGGATTGATGGACGCCGATCAGACTGCATCTGGCGAATGACCCGGATACAGAAAAGATGTATCACTTACCACATAAAATAGTATGCGCAGCAGTGTTTGAACTGCAGATAACTGATCAGGCAAAAGACCGAACGCGTTGCAGAGGGCGTGTGGGTTCGACCCTGGATTTACCCATCTAGATACGATAATCCACAGGTAGTACAGGATCACGCGTCAGGCAGAATGACAGCATGAATTCGAATAGCCAAAGATGTTGCGGTGATGTTACGTCGAGGGCTGACGGGTGCAAGAGGCCTAGGCGACAGCCTGGGAGCGATGACACAATAATGTACGCATGTATGACCAAGAGATAGTCGAATAACTGAGAGGTAATGTGTCGGAATGCAAATGCAGATCACGGATAATCGGAAGCATCGGCCGGAATGGAGTGCGCAACGTTTGAGGGTTTATCCCACAGGCATTATGCGTGTGGGGTAGTCGAAACGATATCAATACGCAATCCCGCCGGAACGAACGCGTCGTGATAGGAACAAGAGACCACGCGCCTTCCGACTCTTTGTGTTACGTTCGTTTTTTGGAGCTGGATAAGGAGTCGAGGACGGGTCAAGGACCGATGATTGCCCACGCCACGTCGGCCACCATACCGTTCCAAGGCTTCCATTCAGTCGTGTCTGGTTTAGCGCAGAAAAAAAAAAAAACTTCGCTTGATGAAGCGACATGTCTTGAAGATAAGACTAGGATACGAGCGCCACATCGGATCGGGTCTCACATACCCGTGGTACGCAGGATGCATGCTAATGAGGCCACATAGTACGATGTTGTAATATGGATAAATCTGGTGAAGGAAAAAGGATCAACTTTACGCATACAAATCTGGCAACTTGGAAGGGCGCTCCCAACAGTATTAGTACGTACTCGTCCATGAGAGAACGACAGTTTTGTAGAGTTGTCTAATTGAGAGAGAGAGATAAGGGCTTATGATTCCAGGCTGCGGGTAGTAGGCAACTATGTGCGGCGTGACAAGCTGAGGAGCGCTAAAAGAGAAAGACATGAGGCGACATGAGACGGTGATGAGCTGTCAGAACTACGGCAAGTGCCGGTCTAGGCCGACGGAGTGATCACAAGGCAAAATGTTTGGTCATTTCATTGTCATTCAATCGTGTCTCCTCTGCGCTCCAAACTACGTATAGTACTAGTGCTACTCCTTCTTCGTTGCACTATTTGCAACTTCTTCCCTCTCGTTCCCTAGTTCAATTCCCCTGTTCTCCTTATCGGATCCCCGTATACTTCCAGGAAAGTCCCGCCGGGGGACGTAGATAGATCAATAGATATCCGGTCCGTAACAATGAATAGAAATGTGAATGCATGATTGTTGCATAGATTGTCCATTGCGCGTGCGAAAGAAAGATTGAAACGATGCGAAAATAAGAAAATGCCGAGGAATGAAAATGCGAATGCGAATGTGAAGGTTTGCGCGAATCGGGTCGCGCTTACAAGAAAGCGCCGCTGAAATGCGAAGTTGAGAAATGCGACGTTGAGCTAAAGAATAATATGTGCGCGTGGACAGGTGCTATGCACGACGTGTCCCATTGGGTATTGGGGTATGCCTTGGCGACATGCGCTCAAAAGGAGGAAAGCATATACATTGACTGGCGTGATGCTGTGATGACGTTGAGTGGAGTGGAGCATTTAGCCAGACATTCTCCGCTGAATTCTACGCTTAGTCCGAAATAGACTAAAGCGTAGGCTCAGTGTGAAGGCGTGCCACTGACGACGAATGGTGTGTCCACAAGTAGGTCTACAAGCACATTGTCAGCTACTGAAACATGACTGGATTGTGGATGCAACTCACGTCCAGTCGCTGTCACCTGCAAGAGGCTGAGGCGCCTCGATGTGAGAGTTCTCGGGATACATCTCCTTCTCTGTCTGAGAATGTTTCTGGGGAGACTTTGATCGCGTAGTGAAGCACTTCTCCTTGAGAGGCGCGTGTTCTTGATGATCTAGCTGCTCATCTTCATCTTCAACTTCAGCCAAATTTCTCGACTCATACGACGAGGGCTCGTCGTAGGGGTAGTAAGCAGGGGAGGCGTAGTAAGCAGTAGTGGATGGTCTCCTCTGTTGCTTCTCGATAGATGCACGTCTCTGGTAGACTTCCTCATCTTCCTCTGCATCACTCTCGTCTGGATATGGCCGCTCCAAACTAGGTTTTGAGTGCGCATGGCCAAAAGTGGGGAAGTCGCGGAAATCAGGATCATGGAGGTCGCCGTGGTGATCAACATAGACCTCTTTGATAGCAGTTCGTGAGCCTAATGCCTTGAAAGCTGTTTGATGAGACGGTGATGCATATGATGGGTCAAGGAGGCGTGCGATGTCAGAAGCTCGGGTTGAGGGCGAATATGTGCGATGTGCAGCAAACGGGTTTACACTAAAGTGTTGTGAGGATGGGGAAGGAGAACGTTTACGTCTGAGACGATGTCTTTCGATTGGTGGAGACGCTACACTGCGTGATGTGGATGCAGATTCATAGGATGCCATGGTTGATGTTGGATCAAATTGGGTTGTACTGGTGATTATGCGGGGCATGTCCGCACAGGTAAGAAAAATGTTATTTGAATGGTGGGCTATATGTATACCGCGAGATGTTGTTATTCGGGTCGGGTGGACTATAGCCAGATTTAGTTTACGGGCAGGGAAGGCGGGCTGCTTGAAAATTAGAAGCACGGCGGGCCGTCACCGAAAAAAAATCAAGGGTCGAAAGGCGATTTGGAGGATTGTATAGTATATCCCAAGGTTAAGCCGTGTACGTGAGCGACTTGATATCGTACAGGTTAAGGGGTGAGGATACACGGACATGATGGGAGGACAGGAGGATGTTTATATACGCAGTGACAAAGGTGAGCTGTAAATCCGGCAACCCAAGACAAACCGCGTAATCGTGCACCTTGAAATCCAGATTAGGGAATAATATCCGATTATAGAATGTCAACCGATTTGGGGTCAATCTGAGATATGCGGCGATTGCGCCAGTACTTATCCATTTCTTTATCGCCTCAAAGTAAGTCTTTATCAGGAAATACCCTCTCGTTCCACGTTCTTGCCTCGAGTTTGTTATAAATTATTATAAATTATTTTATTATGTAGATTATCACGACTATCACCGACCAAGCCGGGAGAACACGCCATGACTCGTCCGCAGGCACCGCAGCTGAGTCAAGTGCTGAACTGTGCTGACTCACCATTTATTCCGGCTCCTTCCGTTCCACTCTTTCACGTGTATTCACCAATGATATCACCCTGATATTATTCGGTCACCATCATTCCCCGACTATCGAAAGCATGTGAGCGGATAGCATTTCGATCTCATCGGTGCGTTCTCCCTTTGTTGCAGTAAACTCCCGGCAATCTATATCAATCAAGAGAGTTTCATCCCCTTTGACCTCGAACTTTCACAAAGGGGGATCGGACCGTGCATTCAGGCCAGACTCCTGTGCGTGCTCGGCATATCTAAACTATAATTTGGCGGTTTGAGGTGCATCCTAGTTAATATAACAGTGATTCTCGCCCAGTTCGCAAGGCCAAACCGCCGTCGCAGTAGTCCCATTATGCATGTGTTCTACAGCTTGCCACCTTGTGACCCGCTGAGCCATATTGGCGAGCTGCCACACAATACCGCCGCCCTCGTGTCAGCCAGCTGCCATCTTCCTGTGATCCTGATCCCGCCTATTTAGCAAATCTTCTGTTCTGGGTTGACCGGACTATTCATATCACAATGTGAGCTAAAATGGGCGTCAAATACCGCATACTCCGCAAACATTGGCTTGGATAGACGATCTTTTGACCATAAATATCCCCATTCTCCCCTCACGGGACTGTTCTCGATTAGCTCGCGTGGCAAATTTATCTACACGCATGTGCTAATCTACCAGCGAGTCGTATCCTAAGTTCCATTTTTTCTCTCAACGGTGTGCGTGGAGGGCAGAGGGCCCCACGGAACATGGGTCCAATCCTGATAATTTCATGCCAGCCAAGCAATACCCATGGAATGGAAGAGGTTACCCTGATATCCCCACAAACACTACATGTATAGCTTGTAGTGCCACGCCATTACAGGCCATTCCCTCGTTGTAGTCACGCATTTCTCTCGTTTTGATCACACCATGCTATTAAACATGTGCCTTTGTTTGAATCCCTTTTGGCCATGGAGGCAGCGCTCATCATTGACGCCCTCTCGTAATATGGCCTTTGTCCTGCCATCGCAAGGTGATCTTGGCACGATGGCAGGCGCTTTCACCACACCGTGGGCTTCTTGATCAGGATGATTTTTGTTGTTGCTATCTTATCTCCCTGGTCTTCGGTCGAACCATGATCAGCTGCCACACACATACATTGACCTGCGACTTCCGCTTGGTTCTTGAAGGCCGACTGAGACTCAAACGGATATTCCATGACACCCCTTTCTCCCCTCGGCTCATCTCGAACCTCAGTGTGAATATACTCCACACCCGCTTCTTTCTTTTCCCCGTCCTGTTCGCTTACCGCTTTCTAGAGTTCTAGATGCGTAATCAACTTCCCCTCTCTCCGAATGGAGCACGAAACCCCTGAAGTACAACGTCTCCCGGTCATCAATTACCACATCTAGTCGCCGTCTTGGTCTCATGGCTCGCGGTAACAAGCGAAATTGATAACGAATCAGGCGTCTTTCTCGGATTCACCTGGTGTGATTACATCGAGGTCCTCTTTGATCAACGACGATCTACGTATCAGTCGATGAGTCCAGACTACCATCGATCCGTGCCTCAAGCTGCCGGCATATGCACCGTGACCACCGGGTTGATCGATTGGTTTCAACCCAGAGGCTATCTGGTTTTCGCTACTGGTGAGCTATTATTGTGCGCAGTCGTTGTTGAATATCTGATAGTGATCGATAGCCGGACGATGACAACCAGATGATCTACGTTGGTAATCAGAACGCCTTTGTCAACTCAACACGCACATTCCTCACTGGCGTGCGACACTGCGATTACTGATCTCCCACCGATAATCTGATCTTCGAACCTCCGCGCGTTATCTTTGTCTCAACACGATGGATCCTCGCGGTTCTAGATGGATTTCCAATGAGGTCCGTCAGCCCAAAATGAAGCTCCATACTGAACGCTCTTCGTGTGTTAGAAGACATAATGCACGTTTTATTCATATCATGCGGCGATCTCCTTGTGATAATCTCATTTTAGGGCCATTTTCAATGCTCACAATGAAAGACAAAATGTGAAATATTGATTGCTGCACCAGTTGGCTCGAGATCCACCTCTCTCATCTAACTCTCGTAATCTTCAAGCTGGACGGTGCCGCTGTGGATTATTCGCGGTCAACGAAAGTTCCAAGAGCAGCTGGAGTAGCAGCACAGTGCTGCGCTGCGGATTTCTTTGTTTAGGATGGAGTACTCCCGAAGATCGTGGTATCGCCCTGTTCCATGTGCCTACCTGAAGTCATTTCTGAGTCCTATAGTGAATTTTGCTCACTGTTCCATGTGATCATATCCCAAGCTATGGTGCCTGCAGACGATGCCCTTCATCGGTACGACTATGCGTGGTATCCCTATCCGAGGCCGCCATATGAATGCCCCTGCACGCTAGGCGGCGATTCACAGGGATGCCCTTGAATCCATAGATCCTCCAGCACATCAATTCAAGGCCGGCATTCTCATATCAAGTTGGTATACTCGTATTCATTCGCATGTTCGCCTTGCGCGCTCTTGCATTCCGGCATGCAGATCTAATCGCTTCCTATGATATTAATACTTGCGCCGAGTCATCCGGACCCCCTTGAATCCCGACGGGGATAAGAACTGAACGGAAATGTATCGGGGACATTCAAATAGCTCCAGATGGTATTCCGTATCGGACAGTGTGTTTGTCGATGCGGTTGTGTGCAACGTCTATGATTGATTGAATACAATTTCTTGCCATCCGAGTTTGTGCATGTGTTAGGAGTCCGTCGTACGTATTAGCGCCCTGATCAACAACAATCGATGAACTGATCAAACTCACTAGATTTTATCCGATGCCCCGACTTTTTCGCGTTTGCGAAGTTTGAACCCGTGGTACAGCCTGTGTGTCAGTTTCAAGTTTCGTTCTCAACAATAGGGCCCATTCATGATATCGCCACCAATCGCAAAATGGTAGCTCATTTCTTTTGGATTTCGAGAACGCTGAGAATGTTTCAGAGGTTTCACTGTACAATTATCGACACCGCTCTTTCCGCTGGGACAACTTGCCCATAACCTTCAAATAAACCGGTCCGCATCGCCAAGGTTTATTTACGTCAGGAGGTCCGCTTCTAATCCCGCTTGCACTATCATGCCGCAATTCTCAACTCGAGGCGCTAAGAAGGTCATGGAGCCAAGCTACTCGCGGGAGTCAAACGAGCGTCTACTAGCTATACCTCCCACTTCGAGACAAGCGTATTCCCGAGCATCATTCAAGGCGAGGCAATCTGTCACAGGAAAACGTAAAATATCAGACTCGCATCTGCGTGTTGCGTAGGTTCAGCATCAGTCACCCAAGGTTTGGTGAATATTGCCGTATCGTATTGTTGACACACGAATTAGCGTTTTGCCGCTTGTGCTTTTCGAGGTTGATAAGGAACGTTGCCCGAGGGATCCGAGTCTCTTGCGTGACATGCATACTATTACTTCGCAAAAAGAGGGTTCGTACCTCAGCATTAATGCTTCAGGATACACATCATGGTTTGCATGCGCAACGATTCCCTGAAGGGTATCATCAGGTATCATCATGATATCCCCATCAGGAGATGCAGCAGTGAGTGGAGATTACTTGCTGTGCTGCAAGGTTTACAGTGACCAAGAGGGACTGATGAATCCGTCTCTAGTCTGACGAACGTCAAGCAAACCATGGTGTTTTCGCTCACTGCGGTCTATCGCCCATATTCTTGAGCCAAGTGTCATATGACGGTTCAATCGGTCTGAAGGGCAGCATGGTCCACCATCTTTTCCCACAGCTCCATAGCTCACGCCCATGGGACCCACAGTGGCGTGATCCAAGGGGCATTTTAGTCATATATCATTGGTTGAACTAATGAGCTGTGCCCGTTTCCATTCGATCCAGCTCCAGTTCCCTGAAAGCATTTCCATTGAACGGCGCAATGCGTTCGTCCGTATCATTTACTCATCCGCTGCATGAGGTTTCTGCCTGTTCTTCGTCTGAGCTCAGGACGCGACGGACCCGGGCCTGTGCCTGTACACCTGGACTTATGTTCCCATCAACCTTCTCTATCATGTCACACTTAGGGGTGCGTAAACGCTTTCTCGACTGAATTTTGTGCCTTGCTCATCTCACAGCGTCATTGCGATCATGAGTCTACCAAGCATGCTAGACTCAACATCGCGTATAAACCGATTATGCTTTGATGGATCTGAGCTCAGACTCGACGACGAATGAATTGGGACAGGGGATCGTCTTTTCAAGTACAGCACGCCAAACACGGTCTTGGCTAACCTATGATAGGCTCGTTATTCGATATCGCACCGCTCTTGGCTGGTTCTGGCCTCATCGCGTTAGTGCAGGACTAGCCCGGGCATGACTTTCTCGGGGAAGAACGAACTGCTGTTTTGAGCCTTCTTGGTCTGCCCTGGCCATGTCATATCATACACAGCACTACAAACTCAGTAAACTAAGTCTGCCAAGTGGCCGTATCTTCGACATTCCGAGCCTCGCTACGCCCATCCCCATACTGATCGCACGCAAAACTAGATCACCGGACACCTAATGCACCGCTTATGATATCCCCGATCCTATATCTAACAGGTGCGCGGCGCTGATGAACCTGGCTAATAGTAGGTCCATTTTCGATCTCGTCGGGAGAAGCAAAGTAATCATATCACACAAACGCTATTCTTGGATACCGCTCCTCATGCTTCAGTAATACTATTTCTGTGCTTTTATTTGGATATGGAAGACCTAACATGCCCATGGGATCCAACATCCCTTTTTGCAATCCCGAGAACGCCGTAAATAAATGTGGTTCGTGTCAATAAAAGATGGTCGAGCCAATGAATGTTAGTACACAGTGAAAGCAGTATGTCGTGAATCTGATGCCCGCGAGGAGAGAAGTAGAAGAATATGCATATGAATCGAAAATAACAGAAATAATGAAAATTAGATCATGCCTCGGATTTTTCTTTTGACCTCAGGATGGGGTGGAGGACCTGCTCATGCAACGCCTTCCCCGCGGGGACCTGGTAGCAACGATTAGTTTACCCGGCTGAAAGATAGACTGTCCTATCTAAACGCACCATCGGGTACACGTGCTCGTCAGTTTCAACCATGCACTCCAGCAAAACGGGTTTTGAGCCGTCGTATTCCAGGAACTCTTTCATTTTTGCAGGGAGGTCTGCCGTAGATTCGCATCGAATCGCGTGCACGTGCATGGCTTTAGCAAGCATGACAAAGTCGGGGTTCGTCATCCGGGTGTGCGAGTACCTGGAATCATAAAATAGATCTAGATTTCTCATGAGAACTGTCCATATATTGAAGTGGGATCGGCCAACCTTGCCATTGCAAAACCATACCCTGGAATTCGTTGTTGAGGATGAGGACTTTGACACCAATGTTGTACTGCGAGGCGGTGGCGAGCTCCATTGCAGTCATGCTAAATGATGCGTCACCGTCGATGTCAACAACAGTTTTGTTCGGCGCGGCCACTTTAGCACCAACGGCAGCAGGAAGGCCAAAACCCATGGTCTGCAAAATTATTAACATCCGGCATCCCGTGGAAAAAGGTGATAGCTCACTCCAAGACCACCAGAAGTAACCATTGACAAAGGCGTCTTCCATCGGAAGTGTTGGGCCGCCCACATTTGATGTTGGCCAACACCAGTGGTTATGATAACATCGTCCTTCTTGTGGGCCGTCTGCCGGTCCAACTCCTCGATAACCTCCTGCGGCTTGCTTCGTGCACCAGACTTTGAGGGGACATATGTGAAGGGGTACTTCTGTTTCCACTCCTGGATGTCGCCGAACCACCGTGTGCGCGGTGATGATCGGATCAAGGGGACGAGCGCAGCCATGTTGGAAACAACGTCACCGAGGACGGGGATGGAAGCCTCAACAACTTTGTTGATGTTCTTCGGCTGAATCTCAAAGTGGATGATACCTCCGCGGCCCTGCAACGCGGCGGCTCGGGCAGCAGGTGCGAAAGTATCAACCTTGCCCGTGACACGGTCATCAAATCGTGCACCCAAAGCAATAATAACGTCTGCCTCTTGCATTGCCAAATTCGCATATGCAGATCCGTGCATGCCAAGCATATGCAGACTTCTCTCATCCGTCTCGTCATAAGCACCGAGGCCTTGCAGAGTGGTCGTTACGGGAATGTTACCCTCCTTGGCCAATTGCGCAAGCAACTTAGGGCCCAAAGGTGATGAGAGGACACCATTGCCGGCGTAAATGATAGGTCGTTGCGATTGATTGATGAGATTGGCAGCTTGTTGGATCGACACCATGTCAGTTAGAGAGGAGATAGACTGCATAGGATTTGCTGGCAGTGTATGGGAGCCCGGAGTGGTCGCCTTGTAAGGCAAAGGTGTGCGAAGAATGCCAGCAGTGACATCTTTTGGCAAATCGACCAACACAGGTCCAGGACGGCCAGAAGTTGCAATTTTGAATGCTTCGTTGATGCGTCTTGGCAGCTCTGCTATGTCCTTGACCATCACGTTCCACTTGGTGCAGCTGCGTGAAATACCAATAACATCGGCTTCTTGGAACGCGTCAGACCCGATAGCCGAGGTTGCTACCTGGCCGCAGAAAACAACGAGAGGAACACCGTCAGAAAGCGCGTCTTGCATTGCCGTAACGACGTTGGTTGCGCCTGGACCAGAAGTCACTAGGACGACACCAGGCTTTCCTGATACACGGGCATAACCTTCTGCCATATGCCCAGCGCCCTGCTCATGACGAGGAAGAACGAATTCGAAATGTTTAGAGTTGTAAATGGCATCGAACACGGGAAGAATAGCTCCGCCGGGATAACCAAAAACATGCTTCACTCCATGCCGGAGCATCATCTCGTGGAAAATCTGACCACCTGACATGCCAACAAAGGAATGATCCAGGGGTGTGTTGGTATGCGACTCTAAGTCAAATGGGAGATTATTTTTATGTGGCAGCTGCTGGAATCCAGGAGCTGGAGAAGGTCGACTGCGAGTGAATAGTATCAGATGAATTAAGATAAGAAAAGACACATGAATGACACGCACGCAGCAGGAACCGCAGTAGCATCCCTAATTGATGTTCTACTGATGTTTCTAACATTGTCTCTTATCCTGGCTTTCGCGTCGACAATCGAAGACGATGCGACAGTTGAGCGGGAGCGGGTAAATGAGACCTTTGCAGTAGATTTTGGTGCATTGCATACACGGAATGTAACAGGGAGCGACATGATTGTCGTTGAGTACAACGACGGGAGAAAGACAGAAAAAAAGAGAAAGCGTTGCTTCGAAATGGCTCTGAAACAAACAATTTTTGAAGTCTTGGAGTGCTAGAAGTGACTCGACTCGGCTAGTCGGCCGATGCCTAAATCGGGTAAATCCGAACAAGCCCGGTCAACATTCAAAATGACCTGTGAAAAGACATTGGCTTCAACGTTCAATCAGTGTGAATATGAATGAAAGCCAGTGAGAGTATCATCGGTAGTGTCTGGCGTAGTAGCGGCGCCAGGACGTCCACTGAGCACAACACATCCAGTATTGATATGATGATGATCCACTCTATTTGCAATAGAAGGCCTATGAAATTGTGTAAATCCTTTTAAAGGCCACGCCGCCTCCTTGAAGTACTGTACCCATTACAGTGTTGTGGGCAGAGGTAACTCTTCCGGTAGAACCTGATGTTCTGCCTTAAGTGGTTCTACCAGGTGTGCTTCATGATGTAAATCCTTTTGAAGCTGTTGCCAGGTCATGCCAAGTAGCACTGATAATTATCTCACGTGTCCACCACGACCTTCACGCGGTGTTCCGTCTCCCTTGGCATCCTTGTGCCCATCAGGTTGTTGGACTTAGAGCTTACCAGCAACTTGGAGCTCAAAGCGCACAGCGCATAGTGCTATGTTATATTTGTAACGTTCCGGCGGGCCGAAAAAGCATAGGTGTATATAAGATTGGTTTACATTTTATGTACACTACGCGTTATCTACCGGTTCCCTGTACACTTGAGTTTGGTCGCACTTCGACAGACGTGTCTGAGACTTGCGGAAAACTCAACACATGTCTGCAGCAGCTCAATTCGTGAGGCAGGGGAAAAAGGTGAAATTCAAATGTCTTTCAAATCACGGCTACTACTGTATGCTTACTTCGAACCAAGATCGTCGCCATTGGTAGAAACTACTCTGAGCACATCAAGGAGCTCAACAACGCCAAGACGACAGAGCCTTTCTTCTTTCTCAAGCCCACGACCAGCTACCTCCCTACTGGGGGAAAGGTTGAAATTCCACGCGGCATAATAGCACACTATGAAGGTTCGCTTCAATATCATGATCTTGTAATAGTTCCATCAATTCCCGCGCAGTTGAACTTGGCCTCGTAATCGGGAAAGGCGGTCGGGACATTTCTCAGGATGCAGCCGAGTCGCACATTGCAGGCTACGGTGAACAAGATGTGCTTATGAATCGTTTTGAATGCTCATTAGGATGGCATAGCTTTGGCTGTCGACATGACCGCACGAAACATGCAGGACGAGGTGAAGAAAAAGGGTCTGCCTTGGTCCGCTGTGAAAGGCTTCGATACATTTACTCCCATCGGGTGTGTCATGAGAACGCGTTATATCGATGCGTCTTGAACCCGTGATCAGGTCTTTTATCCCCAAGTCGTCCATTTCGGATCCTCATGACCTCACACTCTCCCTGAAGGTTTGTCTTCATTGTCGAGCGGGAACTTGACTTGACACGATTCTTTGCATGCTAGATTAATGGTGCGGTCAAGCAGAATGGTACGACTGGGGACATGATTTTCCGTATCCCGCGACTTATTGAACACATCTCTTCCATCATGACCTTGGAGGTGCGTCAAGATAACCATGTCTGCATTCCTAATTTATTTATTCGAATGTGCAGGAGGGTGATCTCATCCTCACCGGAACTCCTTCGGGCGTTGGACCTGTTAATCCAGGTGACAGTGTTGAATGCGCTCTTGCTGACCCAACTGGGAACGTACTTGCCGAGCTGGAATTCACAGCAGAGTTGAGGGGTGGAGGGTATCAGTTCACGCCATAACTATCTTTTAACATACACCAAACGAGACAATGAATAGAAGAAATATGTGCTGTGATATGTACACATGAACAGTAGAGCATCATTTAAGATAATGCGCACAAATACGCTATCAACACACCGTTTTTAACTCCAGTCGTGACTTTTATCGGACTCCTCTAGTCGACCATTCAAATCATCCAACGATATCGGATGCATTCCATTCGAGCCGTTTCCAGGGTTGCCGAATTCGTCCCCTTCTGATTCTGAACCGCTTGCCAAAGTCCAGCTCCCAGCAGTCGGGGTAAGCTCACCGTCATGAATGCTGTCGTCTGAGCCCTGGAAATCTCCAAAGTCAAAGGAGTCATCAGATGAGAAAGACGATGAAATCGAGGAAGAAAAATTGAAGTGATCCGGGGAGGCCGCCGCTGCATCCGAAAATGGACCGAAACCATCGTCCTTGAATGAGTCAGTCAATAGAGCTCAATGAGAGAAGTAGAATTATTCACGTCGTCATATTTTACCCCGAAAGGATCATCAGCAAGCGCCTCCCTCAAGGCGCCGCTGGGGCCAGGATTGAATGCATCCTGGGAGACCGAATTACTTCAGAGAAATGATGCAGTGGGAATGTACCTACGTCAAAACCAGTTGAAGAAATTTCTTGTTGATTTCCAGCATTTCTCCGAAGGGGTGGTCTGCCTAAATCAAATGACGATTGAGCCAGCCATCCGCCGTCTTCATCCTCGTCTTCATCCGAAGCATCAGATGATGAGTTAAAATGCTCCTTTGAATGCATCTCTTGAGCCAAGTAGCGAGCAAACTAGACAAATATGAACGAATCCCCTGTTTCCAAATAAAACAGGACGTACTTGTGGAGGTCCAGCGCTATGGTCGTCGTCGTCGTCGTCCATCGGCGCAGGACCAAAGTCAGCACTTGTTGCTCTTGATGGTCTTGTGGTCACAGATCTCCTGAATTCACCCGTAGTTCCAGGACCTGTGGTAGCTGCTGCACTCAGCGATGAGCCATTGTCTTCCTCGTCAACCGTCCATCTACCACCAGCACGGGAATTTGAGGTAACGGCAGGCCTCCCTCCGCCAAGGAGGCTGGTATCTCGTTTCTTGGTCTCATTGAAGCGACCCGTCACGTACTCCTGCCAAGCAGGTTGAGGTGCATACTGTTCAATGATTAACCTGAGGTTGGGTGGATAATGCTCAAGAGCTCCAATAACGTCCTCTGCTACTTGCGTCAGATGACCCATGTACCCAAGCCGAACGCCTTTAGCCTTTGAGCTGGAGAAGTATAATTGAGATCATGCAACGGTAAGATGAAGTGTGGTACCTTTCTGCATCATTTCGCTTTTGACCATCAATGATGCGTTGCATGATGCGTGCATCCCGGAAGAGAGAGATCGACAATTCTTTGTTCAGCCCTCCATCAGTCCTGCCAGTGAGAATTTGATGGATGAAATCGTAGACGGTATTGTGCAAAAAGTTATTCCAAGGGAATTCGAAGAAGAGGTCCTAGTCAGACGTATGAGTACAGCAGCAGTACGGGCGGGAAAATGGCAGCTCACCAATAAGGTGCTCAAAACATTAGCCTCCAAGAAGCGCATTTTTGTTTTCTCCCCTACAGAGAGACCTGGCACTAGATCAGTGCCAACCATCCGCTTGGAGCTTTTGCGTGAATGTATGGATGGAGACTTTGCGGTCGAGGTATCACTACTACTAGACGTGCTGGAAGTCCGTTTTGTAGTACCTTGGGCCGCAATCTCAGTAGGTGAAGGTAATGACGCCGCGTTAAGCGAGGAAGGGACGATTATTGGAGGATCCTGTGGCTGAAGGTCTTCTGATGGTGAATGTTGCAGCTTCGGAGGGTCATCCATCATGATTTCCTCCAGGACATCGTCATCCGAACTACCAGGCTCGTCATCGCTCATGTCTTCATCGGAATCTAATAGCGAGGAGCCTCGTGATCGGTTGGTGACAGGCAATTCCAATGCGGGCTCAACGTCGTCATGGTTATCATCCATTGTGTCCTGGTCTCTTTCATCTCCGGAACCAATAGCAATTACACGAGCAAGATGCTCCAAAGATGATAACCCGCCTTGTAATCGGCCTTGCTTGTCATATAGATCGCTGTACTCCCCGGGACGGTTTAATATAGCCATATTGGAGCAATGCAGGAGTTCAGCATACAACTCGCATATCCGAAACCGTTCAAAGGTGAGAGGCGTAATCACACCTACAGTTGTGGGTATGGGGCCTTGCTGAAAGGGAAAGATTATGTCGAGAATTCGAGTGATAACCGACAGACTCACCAAAGATCTTGGTCGACGAAGATATTTCTCGAAGGTCGCAAGTCGTTCGCCCATAATCTCTAGCAACGGGCCCAGGTAAACCACACCCATTCTGTCCGACATTTCTTTCATGGACTCCTCGAGCTTTGCGCGCCCGTTTTCAGCCCCTGCCAGCTGTTGTTGGATATGAATCAACCGATTTCGCAGGGTATGAAAGAGGTATGGTTCGAAATAATCTGAGTTGTTTTTCCGAATAAGTTCGATGACCACAGATATCGAGTGGACAACAGAAGAGACGGAGGTGTCGAGATTTGGGAGCTCTGGGGTCGAGGAACTACAGTGATCAGTAGAATCATCATCATAGATCGCTTTCTGGCCTTCAGCTTCGGCTAATGGACTGAAATCGCTTAATATATAATCGGTTAATGTTGAAACACTCTCGGGCCGCGCCAGCTCCCTGGAAAAGAGATTCGAAGCAACTCCATTTTGCAGACCATCCGTAAGTCCCGGTGCGGGTGACGCAGTAGCCATGGAAAGTATCCCCTTGATCAGTTCCGAGACCACCGTGTGCATGTCGCTGGTGTGTGCCGGGGAAAGCAGCTCAACCAATCTGCCCATGAGATTCTCCGACGAAAGCCACTGAATTGCGATACTGGGTAAGCTGCCACGCAGAATGCTGCATATAAGAGCATACTTCAAGAACCCCTGCACCACCTGCGACTTCGTCCAGCTGAATAATGCGGACAATAAGGTCAACTACGGATGGCGTCTCCACGTGTCGCAAGAGGCGCTCCACGACAGATGGTTGGGATTGGATGAAGGCGAGCATCTGAGCACATAGCTCTGGGTTCGTCAGAGGACGGCGGTGAAAAGATAGGTATTCACCTCCGCCGGCTTCTTGGTGAGAAAGACAGCATTAATCTTGGCAAAGTGAGAAGCCATGACCATCTCCGTCTTCATCTCTTCAGGAGACTTGTCGAGAACCGTTTCCCAGAAGGGTGTCAGTAGCTGGTCCGACGAATTGACGCAAGTTTCCACTATCGACCATATTTCACTGCAAAGAACTTCTGTAGCGACATATGGATACCTAGAATCGATCAGTGGAGATGCCCATGAGGCAGAGTACCGGAGATAAGGCTTACTTGAACCGTCCTCGTTCCTCTTCGCCTGGAATTTGACCAGTCACATACCCCAGAAGTCTTTTCAGGACGTCTACACGCTGAAAGTAGTCGATGAGCCGCGTGTTTTGTGACTTGCATTCCTGTAGTAGATCGTCTTCGTCTAGAATGGCTTCTAATGAAACGTCATCCTTGTCCAGTAGACTGTCGATGGAGGATGTGTTGTGAAATCCGAATCTACTCAAGAATAGAGTCCACAATATGTTTAAAACCTACAATATGAAGAAAGGGGAAAAAATTACCTCCAAAACATGTAAGCGGAACGATGTTGTTGAAACTGAGGAACAGAGCTGAGCTGAGCGTAGGCTGTCGGGCCCTGCCAGTGTGTATAGTTGTTACTAAGATTGGTACTCCAAACACAAGTCCCGACAACATGTAGTTAAAATTTCTTCAGGACTCAAAGTCCACCAGTTGGTATGTGATTAACACGATTGTCCATGGATGTAGTATATAAGTCAACACATGTAAGGGATACTGATCGCATCAAAACTTTACCAGATGTCAGCACGCGATCTGTCATGAGTCGGATGGTTTAATTACATACCCGAATCTGATAACTCCCGCTCGCTTTGGTGAGGTAGCGCACCCACTTGATGCTGTGATAATTGCTTTTCTCAAAGACTTTGAGAAACCGGACAATCAGACCAGATGCGGTGAGCATCAAAACTTCAAAGTCAACGTCGATAGGTGGCCGAGCCCAAACTTGCCGAGTGGTAGTACTAGTAAGACCAGCAGTCGCGCTGAAGGTGCACTCCTGTCCACCCTGAATCCGCGGAATCCTGGATATGATATAAGCAGAAGTCATCTCAAGTGGACCAGTGACATACTTCCATACGACCACGTTTTCGGCAGGTACATATTTAGCCTTGCCATTTGCAACTTTGCAGTCCACGCCAGTCGTGTTCAATGGTGTCGGTATTCGTAAAACCACGTTGGTGGCAGACAACTTGTTCCCAAAATTGGCTTTGACGGAAATGTTGTACGATACTTGGGTCGTTCCAATCTCATTTACCGTAGGAATCACTCGCAAGGGCAACTTGACATTTGACGTCGAGCGGTACCTGCATATCTGTTTTCAGTGGTTTGTTGTGGGACTGAGGAGGATAAAAACGACTCGCCTCATCAGTTCAAATTCGCCATCGGGAGGAACAAAGCTTATCGTGCGGCTCGAGTCGAATTCATTGAGCCGGACACACTGGTGGAAGCGACAGTCATCCAGCTCTACCGCATCGCTTGCCCCGCCTTGGCTGTTCTTATCAATGACAAGCTTGTCGTTAAGACCGAATTTACATTCCGGCGTCCCGGACAGATACGCGCGCATTTGAATATGCCCATCCACATCCGCACGAAGGACAGTCCCTAGAGAACAATCATGAACACTGCACACGATGCACAAGAGGAAGCCATCATCACCTTTTGCACTCATGCTTAGATTGACAGTCTCCACCACGTCTACAAATGCCTCATTCTTCTTGTATTTCACATCCCCACGTCGCCAACTTGTCGCTCCTGTGGCTTGTGTAGTGATTTTCGAGGACTCCTCCTAAAGTCTCGTCAGTTGAATGTTGATCGACCCGTAAACGGAAATGCATACAGCTGCTATAGCAGAAGATATTACGCTTTCTGTAGTGATATAAGATTTGAGGGTGTCGATCTCGCTGTTCTGAGGGTATCCGTAGTCACTGATTTCTGTAGTGTAGAGCATCATTGGTGAAGCACCAACCGGATGAATAAAGCCACCATACCATCAATTAGCTCGTATATTAGCACAAAGTTGTTCTTGACCGATTCCTCATCCACTTTTCCAAAATACGACTTGGCGATACTAATGAAGCGGTAGCAGAATTCAAAGACGAGGGCAGCATTTGCGTTTGTCCTGAGCTGGTAATTAGTGCAACAAATCAAATTAGAGGCATTGGACACACTTCGTCACGCAGACAACGTAGAGGTTGTTCACCCGAACATGAAAGAAACTAGTCGAGCCCAACGTTATGATGGGAGATCGCACATCACTGTTAGACACTACTTGTATCCGGAATACGTCTGCGATAGATCGCCTATAATGTATAAGCCTATGAGAAAAGGCATGAATAGAAAACGATCCTACTTGAAGTCTGTCCGATACAGTCTAGATATGAGAACCTAGTGCCATGAATTCGTTATAAAGAGAAGTCCATGATAAGGCGACCAAACGCACCTCTCCCTTCTGATTGAATATAAAGAATGCCTAGATGTAACACTTAGCACTGTCGATGCAAATGTTGAAACCGACCAACCGAAATCATGAATATGTGACCAGGTCCGTTTGCTGCTGAATGGTTTGCGGAAGTATGTAATGAATTCAGGAAATCTCACGTCCGTCCGATGATCAAAAAGGAAAGCCCCTTTTATCGCATCACACCGTGGCTTGTTCAACGTTCAACCTTGTCATAAGTTAGCATACAGTAATATTAGCACGATAAAAATGCGTAGGAACCGTTTGAAGGCAAATAGGTACTGTAAAGGTAGTCAAACGTTCTGCTCTCAGAGATGGATACATAGCAATGTCTAGTATCCTGACATCCATCGTGGATTCATGCCTTGAACAGCAACCACGTTCAACTTTACCCGTGCGATGGTACTTTGAGCCGAAGCGATTCTATTATACTCTATACAATGCTGCTGCGTCATCAAGACTGTTCCAAAAGGTTGTTCAAAGCGAACGACCAACTGAGCAATAGTCTGCTGCAAGAGCCACCTTATAGCATTTTGCTTCTCGCAATGGATGACAGGTAGGTGGACATCGAGGATGCCAAACAATGGGTATACAAGTTCTTAAAGTCGAGTGTTGTACCTGCCCCAATCTGAGGATCAGTGTTCATATACTAGCCACCATAATGTCAAGTAATGTGTTGTGGGAGCAACATTAAATTACATGTGTCTTCAAACACTTTGTACGTAGGGTGATAGCTCCTCCAGCAAAGAGACTCGAAAGGGAAAGACCACTTAGCTGGTGTGTGGAGCAGCAGGACTTATCCGTCGAGTTCGTGAAAGACACGGAAGGCACCTCGTAAGAACTGCGAAGCAGTTGATATCTGGAGTGCGTCCAATGTCCGACGGGGAAGGGTGATTAGTTGTAGCAGAAGCGTTCGTATTTCCGGTCTGCAAGGTTGCTGAGGTAGTTCCACCGACTACATTGAATGTTCCTGCTGGTGGTAGTGCATTGCTATTTGATGCTCCAGCGTGAGAGGCGTAGGTTATATTGCGAGGAGGACGTTGTGACTTCAGCAGCCTGTCCCTTTTTGCAGTGTGGGCATTAGCGGTGCGCTGCGAGACACTATCAGCATTACGATATGGATGTCGAAAGATCAGGAAAACTTACATGTTTGCCTCGTGTTGCGAAGACCTCCACAAGGGGAATACTGCTTGGACGAGGGGTATGGCCCTGGGGAGCGAGAAAAGAGACGATTCATCATGTTCTTGATTCCGGATCCCTCAGCATGGCGCGTGGCGGCAGCAGCGCGATTGTTGCGTCCAGGTGGAGAATGTGGATCAAACTGTCAAAGGATGATGAGATGTGCATCGACTCTACTGTATCATATCGACTTGCATCATCGAAGAATCTCCTAGTCGGTATTGGAGCACGTCTTGCGTGGGGCTGTGGGTTTGGGATGGTTTTCTGCAGAAGTGAAGTTAGGGATTGTGCAAACAACGAAGGTGAAAGCGTACCTTGAGAATTTTCTCGGTGGACTATATGACAGGTCAGCGTGAAGTATAAGACGAGAGAATTTGCTGACCTCTTGAAGCTCCTTCTCTGACTCGCTAAAGGAACTTTCCATGTGCGAACGAGTTTGTCGGCACAGCCAGTTGCGATGAGTTGGCTGTCCTCGGAAAAAGCCACACCCCGGACTGCGTCAGGGTGTTCGAGTAGCTCGCCGATGGGTTCGAATGTGGTCAGGTCAAAAAACCGCGTCGTGTTGTCAAATGACGTGGTGGCAAATTTGGTGCCATTGGGAGCAATGGCTAGCGAGAAAAAGTTTTCGGTGTGTGCGTCGAACTGTTTGATGATGTCTCCGGTGGTAGCATCTGATATTCGGATGTCATTGGAGTTTCCACTAACGAGACGGAGACCATCTGGAGTGAATGCGATATTGAATGCCCGCTGTTCTATTTTCAGCAACTCTTTTCCAGTTGCTGAATTCCGAATGATGATCATTAATGTGTTCGCCGGTGCCTGCTGCCAGTTTTGTCCCGGATCAGCCCACATCGAGTGGACCGATCACTATTTTGCCCGTCTCCCTCTTCCACACGCATACCGTGTCATCCCATGATGCACTTGCAAATGTCTGGCTGTCCGTTGCAAATACGATGCTCGAAACAGTACCCCCATGGCCTCTTAAAGGAAACAGAGGCACTCTTTTCAGCTCTTTCTTGTTTGTCGCAACTTCCCAGACCAGGATGCTTCCATTCCATCCTCCACTCACAATCCAACGTCCATCAGGGGACGCTGCAACGCTCCAAACTTCGGCATCGTGTCCCAACAAGGGCTCTCCCTCTTGTTTTCCCGTATCCAGATCCCACACCCGAAGACTCTTGTCGGCCGAGCCAGTGACGAGGAGACGGGTACCGACGATGAAAGCTACGTCGTACACAGGTTCTTCGTGACCCTTGAGCGTCAGTTCGAGAAAAGGCGTTTCTTTTCGTGCAGGCTGGGAAGGCACTTTGGGGGATGGTGACCGCCATTCAATCTTGTTCTCGGTTAGCAGGCATACTGAGGGAGCGGTCATCACTTACATCCGCTGAGGTGAGTAGTCGTTAATTTGCATCTTCTGCAAGATACGGACCATCATTTAACCCACCCGTCGGGCTTCCTGTGGACACGTGGTATCCCGTGTATAGCAACCTCCCCAGCGCTTCTTTCATGAAGTTTCTTCAGCAGGCGCCGTGGCCGTTTTTACCTTGTTTTGATATGTCGTTTCCTGGCCACGTTCGAGTCATTAGACCCGAGATCCCTTCTTACATTTATCTTGTACTGATAGGTGATAACAAGAATACCACTTGACACAGATTGGTTGTGGTAATAGCACCTGCGAGTCAGGCTGAGCGAGAATGAGATTCGTTGCCCTTGCACAGTACGAAATGCGGTTTTTGCTATACAATCGAGTGCCCCCGACATCTCACATTGATATTAGCAAAGATAAATGGTCAGTGACATTTGAATTTTCCGAGGAACGTGCTTATATGATAAGACCACCGTGTGGATGGTGTTTTAGCTGACATGCATTATTTTTTTCACCAATAATACACGTCGGGCGTTCTTGTTGGCTCAGCAACCATGCTGCTACGGCATGTATGTCGTTTCGTTCTTCGGTATCGCTTTCCCTATCCGTCATAGTACTTACAAACCTATCATTCAATGAATTAGCTCGAAAAAATAGATCTCTCATACCATCATGCACCACGGTCAATTCTGTACTCTGAAGCCATCTGCCATTCTCTCATTCTTCCTTGTAACGCACCCTGCTTTGCCACAAGATTGTGTTATTGGTGTGTGCTCATTTGCCTGACAGCTAACGGTCAATCCATGTGTACTTAAACTTATTGCGCACAGTCAAACCGCAAAGGAGCTATCATGGCGGCATGAGAAACAAACCGACTTTTATTCCAGTACCAACAACACAAACTGACCTATAAAGGCAAATGATGATCATGACCTTCGCGGCGGCATCCACGTAGATCTCGTGACCAAGCATCATTCGATGAACCGGTGCTGTCATTCAATGGATCAGCATAATTATTTCCCTGTCCCCCAGGCAATATGGCTTCACTCGGGGAAACACCGACCGTTAATCCGCTCTTGCCCAGCAGAGGCCATTCCCATTCCTTTATCCGAACCCACGAACAGGGTGTGTGTCATTTCCATGGGGTACATAGTCCGAAATGCGGATCATTGTCAGGTTACGGACTGCAATCCTTACCCGGGGTTTCTGTAGCTGGGTTATATAAGAGATGATGACGGCTGTAGGTTTATTTCGCCTATTTCATCCCTTCTAGCGTTCTCTGGAGATGGTTGTAGTGCGCAGCCTATTCGTCGCGGGTATCAGTTTACTCTATTCAAGCTCTTTTGCGTCAGCCCTTTCGTGGAACGAGACTGAATACCTGTTTGTATTTGGAGACTCGTACAGTGCCGATGGATATGACGTCTCTGCTGGTATCAACTCGCAAGTGCCAGGATATGTAAGCATTTGTACTGTGTTTTGACCGCTCCTTAGACTGACCTCGAATCACCAGACTTCATCAAATGGTCAGAACTGGGTTCAATTTTTGAGTAAGTGACAAGAAAAGGAGCATCACTCTGTATCTGACACCGTAATAGCCGGTACATACAACCAGAAGGCCGTGAAGGTGATTGTATAATCCATTTATCTGGCTGGTATACTGATACGTGAAGTACAGACCTTCGACTTAGCGTACGGCGGCGCAACAATCGATGCAGCCCTTGTTCCAGCTTATCAATCCACTGTGCGGTGTGTGTGCAGTCTTTTTATTTAGTTGCGGTCTAAATCATATTTGCAGCTCTGTGGTTGATCAGGTGGCTCAATTCAACGAGTACCTGGCACCCAAGCCTGCTGGCGCTAAATGGGACAGCACAAACAGTCTATTCGCCGTGTGGATTGGTATAAATGACATCGTAAGTATCTTCGGCACAATCCCGCGTATTCCAAATAGTTAAACGTACATATTCAGGGAAATTCTGAAAGCTGGGTGAGTTATTGTCATTAAACTCGGGACGGGAGGAATATTTGTCACTGATCACTTTGCATCCAGACCAACATAACTCAGGCTAAATTCTATGGAACTCTCATGAACCGTCTATTTTCTCAGGTGAGGATATTTGTACCCGGAGTGCTCGATATGCTATTGACATCATTCTATCAGGTTGAGGATCTGTACTCAAAAGGCGCTCGATCGTTCTTGTTCCTCACTGTTCCACCTATGAATCGCGCACCCCTCTACATCGAGCAGGGTCATCAGGCTGCAGCGAAAATTGGCATTAATATTGCTGAGTACAATAAACAACTCACACAATCTGTGCGAACCTTCAAATCCAAGCACCCCGACGTCGACACCGTCACTGTGGACACTCAACCTATCTTCAACGTACTTCTTGACAACTGGCAGACTTTCGGTTTCGTGAATTTCACTGGTTACTGCAAAGCTTATGAGAATGGCACTCCCACAGCCACTTACCAGGTTGAAGGTTGTGCACCGGTGTCGAACTACTTGTAAGTCAGTTCGAAACTCCTAAGCGATTCTAATGGCGTTGTTTTGTAGCTGGCTTAACAGTCTGCACCCACTGTTCACAGTTCACAAGTACGTTCCTGATGTTAAGTGCCTGATTGTTCCTGATGATAGTATTCATGTCTAGCATTTTGGCACAGTCGATCTCTAGCGCCCTTGGTGGTTACCGTGCCACGCAGATCACCATTTGAACCCAAAGCATCGTTACTACTTTTAGACAACGTTCGGTTGAGCTGTAGGATGTACGATGTCGGCTACTCTAAAATTTTGGCACATTCGACCTCTACCGCCCTTGGTTACCCTGCCGCGCAGATCACCACTTGCACCCAAAGCATCGTTACTACTTTTAGACAATGACCCAAGTTTAATATCGAGTGGAGTGAAAATGTGGGCTAGCCAATTTTGAAGTCGTGCGTCCATATGATGGTCAGATGTTTGAATGTGAATCCGGCAAAATCATCTGGCTTGTAAAGGCGTGAGAGAGATGAGTGAGCATGTAAGACGACCAGCCCATTCAGGTAGAACGACACCTCAGGCTGCAGTTGAACAGAGAGCTGGTTGCACAACCGAATAGATAGGCTAATTACGGCGAGCGCAAACTAGAAAAAACCAACAACTTTGCAAAACAAGTTCTATCGTACTATAAGTGTATTTATCTCTTACTTATCTCATATACTATATTCCACGGGACAGCTCGCGTAGAGCACCATTGTTGGTTGCGGTATAAATATAGAGTCTCTCTCTCGCTAGAATTACGTATCCCCAGCAAAGTCTAGCTCTCAACTCGTCACCAAACTAATCTCCTACCGCCTTTGCCCGAACATGAGTACTAACTCCTCCGCAACTCCAGAAGTTTTCGTCGTTCATCATGCGATTCATGCTGAGAGGGACAATGAGTTCCGTGCTTTAGCGGTTTCTAGCGAATTCCTCAAAGCGAACCAGAAAATGTTTCGCGTACAATGTACGCAGTGCCAAATGATATTGGAGAAACCTTTGAAGTGCGCAAAGGTGACGGTCAAATATTCAAATGATGTGACAGGCGTTCCTCAGCGTCGCAAATATCTTTTAGTGTAAGAGTATTTGGTATTGCTCAAAAGAGGTAGGATTTGCGACTAGAACGATACAAATATCTGAAGTACTGACATGATGATCACGTTCCAGTGTCAAAAGAGAGACTGGTGAGAATTCTGCCTATGACTGATGCTCCAGCCTTGGATTTGACTAACACGCTATGATAGGCCCATCCACAAAACGAGATGCCGCGAGGTCGAACGTTCCTCGGGAGCCCTCAAATTCATTCGAATGTTCGTCTTGAATCCAATACTCATGGGGCTCCTCCAAGTTGGTATCATCATCGAATGTGGCCTGCTTGACAATCCCCGGATTGGATTTGATGTGCCGTTCGCGGTGTGTGTTGACTTTGCCATTGAGCCGAGTGATATTCTGGACTTTGTTGGATTGTATTTCGGCAGCAAGTCTCCTGGGGAGAAGCTTCAAGGGATGGTGCAGGTCAATGCCATAACTCAGTGGGAACTTACGCCGGATCGGCTGAGCAGATGGCGCGAGGCTAGGGCAAGGAATGACGCAGAGGGTTTCGCCACATATCCCGTTGGACTCGTCGATTTCATTGATGTTACCTGCACAAAGGACTTCGGGAATTCGGCAACCACTGTGTTGCACTTTCAACCTATGGTCCTTAACATGGCAAAGGCACGAAAGCCTTTCATAAGTATCTCTGCTGTCACGGGCGCTGAAATCAGGAAACCCATGAATGCTGTGACATGTTTAGAGTGGGTTTTCTGTCCTCGTTTTCTCAATTCTGGCAATGCCTCTTATGTTGCATAGGGTTCTCAACTTGCATATTCGAGCAGATAAGGATAATCAGTTGCTTTTACGCACTGAGATGACAGATCAAGATAAGGAAATCATTTGCGCTGCAGGTCGCAACGAGGACACATATCTGGCCCGCCTTGTTAACGAGAAGATTCAAAGAGAACACCTCTATGCTGCTCTCGCGCAACGATACACTCAGTAGTTTAATGTAAGTGAAGATTTTAGACTTCTCGTCAGTCTTTCTGAATCTTCGCAGCAAAGCAAGGAAATTCTGGCACGCGTCTCTCCCCTGTGACCTTCAAATCAGCCTTGTACTATGCTTCGTCTCATCGATTTCTTATGTTGTATCTACTCTTGCAATGGAAGCATTTGGACTGACATACACATGCGTAATCGTGGGCCACAATCAGTCTTGTATTCAATCCGTACTGTTATCAGCACGATTTTGTCTAGCATTTTAGCACATCCGACCTCTACCACCCTTGGTGGTTACCCTGCCGCGCAGATCACCACTTGAACCCAAAACATCGTTACTACTTCCAGACAATGTTCGGTTGAGCTGTAGGATGTACGATGTCGGCCACTCTAAACGGTATCGAGACAGTCAGGAGTAGGAATGTGGAAATGACACAAGTTCACTATCGAGTGGAGCGAAAATGTGGGCTAGGCAATTTTGAAGTCGTGCGTCCGCATGACGGTCAGATGTTTGAATGTGAATCTGGCAAAATCATCTGGCTTGTACATAAGTAAGCATATGTGCTGCGAAGACGACCAGCCCAAACGACGCCTGCAGAAACCGAGAGCTGGTTGCACAGCCGAACAGATGACAAGCTTATTTGAGCAACACGCGAAGACTCATCCTTACACGTACCAGATATCGGAGATGCGCAGCTAATTGTCTCGATGTCTCCTCCAGTAGTTGAGAATTGGTCGTCATCAAGGGAGGCTGTGAGCAAGAAGGTTCGAAAAGACGACGCGTCTATAGCGAGAGGATTCAGAGACAGAAGATGTCTGTTACAATAACATTTACTCCTATTACATTTTTCTTTTCTTGTAACTATGCCGCTGACTCTAGACTCATCTAGACTCGGCTATTCTCTTATCAAGCGGGCTGTCCGCACTTCTCTTCTTCTGATTGTAACATAGATACTATCTTGCGCCGCATGGCGGTTTCACCTATCTTTGCTATCTTGATAGGTTGTACTCTTTTTCCTATCTCTGTTACTTTTCTTGTCGCGGCTACGCCGCTTCCTTTCACCTATATAAACCCTATGTACCATAGATGTATTCCTTAACTTAATCTACTGGGTTTTCCCCCTTGAATCCTGATCTACTAAGGTCTCCACCCTTAGTAGCCTGAACTCTGATTCTAAGGCAGTCACTCACTGTCTTAGCCTGAACTCTTGATTGCGGTAGAAGTGCTAAAACCACTCACCGCCTAGGCAGAAGTGCTAAAACCACTCGCTGCTGATCCTGCATAGAAGCCGCGGCTCGTGCAGTAGGAACCACCAGAAACCTTCCTTGTATTAGGAAGGCCGACAAACTGTTTGCCCGACAGGTCTATCTTGACCGGCAACAGCAGAACTATCCCAGTCGTAACAAAAGATTAAGTTCCTCACCCAGTACCTGTTTTCCAACAGTACTTTGACACCATTGATTCAATAACCGCGAACATCCTTGCAGCCGCATTTGGAAACATGTCGGGACCATCCGCTTCATCCAGTGCCGCCGCCGCAGCAGCAGCTGCATCCGCTTATAACAAGCTGATTGAAATCAAGATTGGAACCCCACCGATCTTTGATGGCAACGAGAAAAACGCAAAAAGCTTTTTGCTCTCGGTTGCCGCCTACCTTGACATTAACAGTGAAATCTATAACACTGATAAGAAATGCATCATCTTCGCCACTTCTTTCATGAATGAAAAGTCGGCATTGACATGGAAGGAAGACTTCCTGACTCTAGCTCAAGACACTACTAGGCTAGACAAGAACAAGCAACCCATCGGGTATGGAACGTGGGAAGAATTCAAGAAAGCTTTCCTTAAAGCATTCACCACGGGAGAAGCAGCCACCGAAGCGTGGATCAAGCTTAGGACCTTCAAGCAAGAGGGATCCTTAGAAGAATACATCGCAGAGATAAGACATCTCTTCCAGTTGACCGGCCTGCAGGAAGAAGGACCGAGAGTCCACTTCTTCACCGCCGGATTGAAGTTTGGAATTGCCAATGCTATCTACAGAGCAGGCAATATCGCGTTAGACTTCGAAGGAATGGTTGAGTCCGCCAGAGAAATGGACAACGCCTACCAGCAGATCCTGGCGCTGAGGCCCAAAACCCAGCATCAGACCCAGAAGAAGAAGAACCGGTTTGGACCTGAAAGGTACCAACCGCGAGGAGACAGAGACTCCATGGAGGTCGACCGCCTCTCAGAGAAAGAAAGGGCCGAACATATGAGAGCAGGCAAATGCTTCATATGCCACCAGACTGGCCACAGAGCCAATGATAGGGAGCACCACCCGAAGGAAAGGAAACCGGCCCGTGAAGCCAAGCATAAGGAAGAAGAATCTGACGATGAATCCATGGATACTCGGAGGATGACTAAGAAAGGGGATTTTTAGAATGGAGGTCTGTATCGACGCCAGTCCCTCCCATCCCAGTTCGCACTGTACATCATGTTGGTAATAAAGAAGAGTTACGTGTCCCTGCCACTCTCCTCCCAACTAAACGTGCGAAACCAGTCGAAACCACCGTAGTCATCGATTCCAGCGCCGCCGGATCATTCATCAGTACCGAATTCATCAACTATCACGGAATTTGGACCAAGAAACTCTCAAAACCCTTTACCATGGTCACCGCTGACGGTAGTGACTGCCGTGGCGGGAAGATCAGAGAATATGTCGAACTCGGCATCAAGATTGACAAGCGGGTCATGTATGGAAAATTCAACGTGACCAAGCTTCGAACCAAGGACAATATTCTCCTTGGATTCCCCTGGCTGAAAGCCATGAACCCAGACATCAATTGGGCAGAAAACTGTCTCACCCTTAACGAGACCCCTAGATCCAGAGAAGTAGAACTCTGGATAGATCAAGAAAGGAAGGACGCAGGCTTCAAGCCGCTCTTCAAACCGAAGCCTTACCCCAGGAAGGCCCCCAAGAATATCTTGCACCCCAAGAAGGTGCCTATCAAGGAACCAGCGACCCCCAAGAAGGCGCTGAATCCCGAAACCCCGACTTCGAAGAAAGTCCCCATTGCTTCTGAGCCTACCAACCAGAAGAAGGAAGAATTCCGTGCCTCCATCGAGGAGATCCCCGATGAAGATGAACCCATCCCACACCTGAACCCTGACCCAGATGAAGAAGATGAAGGATTAGAAATCCCGAACTTTGATCAGAAGTATGACGCTTGGATAAAGGATAACTTCGCACCAAAAGTCGAAGAATTGGCCTCCTTTTCCCTTACCGACGATGAATTCCTCATTGAATACTCCCAGGACGCCACCGCAGTACGCCTGATAGAGAATTTGGATCTGGACACTCCCCTCACCCGCGACGGTACATCGGCCCTTGAAACCAAGAAAATGGCAAAACCCCCCTCACTTCCTGAATACCTGAAGACTAGCAATAAGTCCCAGGAATTAGCCATGGAAGGTGAGATCGAGAAAAAGAAGAAGACTTTCGAGGAATTAGTCCCTTCTTACCTTCACGACTTCACCGATCTTTTTGCCAAAGACGGTCTTAACTCTATGCCACCTCACCGACCCGGTATTGACCACAGGATTGACACCAAACCCGGATACATCCCCAAATCCTCCAAGCTCTACCCCTTATCTGAGAAAGAAAGGGTTGCGGTCAAAGCATTTATTGACGAACATGTAAAAAAGGAATTCATCTCCCCCTCGAAATCCCCTCAGTCAAGCGGCTTCTTCTTCGTTGGAAAGAAAGACGGATCCTTACGGCCTTGTCAAGACTACCGGTACATTAATGAATGGACAATCAAGAACGCATACCCCCTTCCCCTCATTCCACCACTCTTAGCGAAACTTCGCAACGCAAAGTACTTCACCAAGATGGACGTCCGTTCCGGATATAACAATATTCGGATCCACCCTGAGGATAGATGGAAGGCAGCATTTACAACTGAATTCGGACTCTTTGAGCCGAATGTCATGTTCTTTGGTCTTTGCAATTCACCCGGTACTTTCCAGGCCTATATGAACCAAACGTTCCAGCAGGAACTAAACGAAGGATGGCTCATCGTCTACATGGATGACATCCTGATATTTTCAAGAAATCTTGAAGAACACCACGAACGAACCCGCCGAATATTAGATATCCTCAGAAAAGAGAAGCTATTCTTGAAAGCGGAGAAATGCCTGTTCGACGTACAAGAAGTCGACTACCTTGGGATGATCATTAGACCCGGCCAGATCGCAATGGACCCTACCAAACTCAAGGTTTTGCAACTTCTATCGGCATTTCATCCCGCACTTTTCTGACGTTGCGAAACCCTTGAACAACCTGACGAAGAAGAACCAGCCATTCTGCTGGACTGAAGAAGAAGAAAACAGTTTCCAAGCGCTTAGAAAGTGCTTTATGACGGAACCTGTCTTAAAGAACCCTGATCCCGCAAAGCAATTCGCTATTGCGACTGATGCCTCCCTAGTAGCAACTGGAGCAGTGCTACTACAGACTGACGGAAACGGCGCTTACCACCCCTGCGCCTATCTTTCTGCATCTCTCAATGCAGCAGAACGAAACTATCAGATCTATGACAGAGAACTACTGGCCGTCATCCGTGCTTTAGCAGCATGGAGACATTATCTCGAAGGACACGGACACCCGGTGATCGTATTTACGGACCACATGAACCTCCTCTACTTCAGGTCCGCTCAACAGTTGACACGCCGCCAAGCACGCTGGCAACTCACCTTGAATGAATTCGACCTCGAATTTCACCATGTAGCAGGAACGAAACTCGCTGCCCCCGACGCCTTATCACGCCGTCCTGATCACCACCCCACCGAGACCGATAACCAGGACGTCATCTTGTTACCTGACGATATGTTTGTTCGACTTATCGACATCGAACTAAAAATGGCTCTGAAAGCCGATGATCCTACAGCGGATCCCATCATCAAGACCGCCAGTGACGCATTAGATGGGCTATGCTTGCCCCCCATGAAGTCGGCATTATCCGACTGGAAATTCGATAACGGTATCTTGAAGTACAAGAACCGTGCCTACGCACCCCCCGCTACCCGAAGTCGCATCCTACAGCTTCACCATGATCACCCGACCGCCGGACACCCCGGCAGATTCAAAACAGAAGAACTAGTCAAACGTGACTATTGGTGGCCCCAGATGGGCACCTTTATTAGGAAATATGTCGAAGGATGTGCCACGTGTCAGCAGATGAAATCTGACACTCACCCCACTACTCCTCCCCTGAAACCGATTAGCTCTTCCGGTGTACGCCCCTTTTCTCAGCTCTCCGTTGATCTAATCACCGACCTCCCCGAGAGCGGTGGTTATGATTCTATGATGGTCGTGGTAGACCACGGACTTACAAAGGGGGTAATTATTTCACCTTGCAAGAAGAACATCACCTCCGAAGGAGTAGCGCAACTATTTTTCAAGAAAGTTTTCCTACGCTTTGGGCTCCACGACAAGCTCATTTCAGATCGCGGACCGCAGTTCGCATCGAAGTTCTCCAAAGAACTCGGAAGATTACTAGACTATGAAGTTGCCCTATCTACCGCATATCACCCACAGACCGACGGACAAACAGAGAGATTGAACCAGGAGATCGAGACCTACCTTCGGATCTACTGCCGATCGAACCCTGAAGCCTGGGTACAGCATCTACCTATGGCAGAATTTGTACATAACCACCGAAAACACGATGCACGGAACGCATCACCATTCTTCCTGATGATGGGCTATGAGCCTAGAGGCATCCCCTACGCCTTCCCCCCTACCGACATCCCCACGGCCGAGGACCGCGTTACCAACCTCCAGAAAATGAGAGAAGAAGCGGTGTCTTGCCACAACATCGCTATGCAACGAATGGCCGAAAGGACGCACAGGAAGAAGTATGAACCATGGAAGATTGGAGATAAGGTCTGGTTGTCAGCAGAGCATTTATTGACGCACCTACCCTCGAAGAAGCTGGCGCCAAAGCGGCACGGCCCCTTTACCATTACCAAGGTGCTATCTCCCATCACCTTCACACTCCAGCTCCCGGAACAATGGAAAGTCCACCCCACGTTCCATGCATCCGAACTATCTTCCTATCGGGAGACAGAGGTCCACGGCCCGAATTTCATTGAACCCTCACCTGACATCATCAATGGGGTTGAGGAGTACGAAGTAGAAGCGATCCTCGCACACAAAGGAACAGCGGCACGCCGTCGCTATCTAGTATCCTGGAAAGGATACTCATCTGCCAGCAACTGAATGGGTCAAAGAAGATGACCTAGAAAATTCCCAGACGCTTCTCAAAGCATATAAGAAGAGAACGAAATTGGCTTGAAGGACTAGCAAACCCAAGCAACCCCAGTCAAAGAAAAACATGTCCACTGCCCCCTCCACTCTTACCCTCGATTCCTGCCGAACTCCAGGACCAATTCGTCCCTATCTCCCAGACCGAACGATTCGTATTAGATGAACATTCCTCCCTTGCATCCTCCGTCTCCGACCCCTCATCGTCAGAGGATACCGACGTATCACTTTCGTCCTCTTTATATTTCACCTGTCATTGATCGTATTGAGGGAGACGCCCTCTTTGAAGCAACGCTATTATCAGAGCAACACGCACTCGAGCTGGAGAGAAAGCTCGCCGAACGCCCAGCAAGAAGCGCAGCAATAATCGCTGCCATCATTAACATCATCAGGACCACTCGCCTGATTGAATTATCCGCAAACCGAATCCCCCTCGCATCCGCACAAGAAGCACATGAAATCATCCAGTGCCAGAGGCGCATCAGATCAATTGCGCTTCAGCTTCTCCCTGATAGCCTTAAGCCTGACTTGCTATCAGTTGTACACCTCATTGCCAACCGAACCGCAACTGAAGTCGCTCGTCCGCCTTCTCCTCCTCGTCCTCTCTCCCGTCATCAGTCACCAGATCGTAACTCGCCTCCACTCCCAGTCAGGGCACCGCAACCACAGGTGCACTTCTAGAGGAAGAAGACCTACAGGATATCAGATTGCTCGAAGGCGCTGCATGAGAGAAGACAAGAAGAAAGAAAAAGAGGTCATTGACCTTACTTCCCCTTCCCCACCTCCTCGCATTTCTACAAAGAAACCCGGCTTTGACAACGTAAAATGTCGCATCTGTAAAGAATATGGGCATCGCCACAAGAATTGCCCTCAGTACTCTTGCGTGGTATGTCATGCCATCGCCCCAGGACACCTCTCGGTCTACTGCAAAGACCTCAGAGGAACCTACCCTCTTCCGATCGTCTATACAGATGACGGATTCTACGAAGCCCTCCGTAATTGGGAGGCAGATCAGAAAGCATTCTATGAGCAAGAATGCGAACAAGCCGATGAAGACTATCGCAACCAGCCAAGCTCCTCAACGGACCTTGATGACTTTAACAACGCCGAGGCAGACCCTGTCTATTACGACGATGCCAGGATGGATTGATTGAAGTCGGAGACTTCAACGGTTACACCGGGGTAATGTTACAATAACATTTACTCCTATTACATTTTTCTTTTCTTGTAACTATGCCGCTGACTCTAGACTCATCTAGACTCGGCTATTCTCTTATCAAGCGGGCTGTCCGCACTTCTCTTCTTTCTGATTGTAACATAGATACTATCTTGCGCCGCATGGCGGTTTCACCTATCTTTGCTATCTTGATAGGTTGTACTCTTTTTCCTATCTCTGTTACTTTTCTTGTCGCGGCTACGCCGCTTCCTTTCACCTATATAAACCCTATGTACCATAGATGTATTCCTTAACTTAATCTACTGGGTTTTCCCCTTGAATCCTGATCTACTAAGGTCTCCACCCTTAGTAGCCTGAACTCTGATTCTAAGGCAGTCACTCACTGTCTTAGCCTGAACTCTTGATTGCGGTAGAAGTGCTAAAACCACTCGCCGCTGATCCTGCATAGAAGCCGTGGCTCGTGCAGTAGGAACCACCAGAAACCTTCCTTGTATTAGGAAGGCCGACGAACTGTTTGCCCGACAGGTCTATCTTGACCGGCAACAGCAGAACTATCCCAGTCGTAACAATGTCAATCTAATCATCATTCAGCACAACACATGCAAGTGTGCGCTCCCCCGCGCACGCTCAACGCTCCTTCTGACTGAGCCACCGAACAAGATTGAATGGCAGTCACCACCACTCGAACTGACACTCAAGGGTTATGAAGAATCGGTGAACGACACTAGTAGCTTTCATCCTTGATATTCGTGTCCTCACCAACTGGGTCGGTAGACAGGTGTCTTCGGGTGTGGGATATGGACAAGGTGAACTAAGTGGAGCCCTTGTTGGGTCACGATAACATCATCTGGACGCTCGCAGCGTCCTGAGAAGGATCTTGGATCGTGAGTGAAGGAAATATCCTGGCCTGGGAAGTTGCAACAAACAAAACAGTGCAAGGGAGAGCCTATCTTATGCAAGGGCAATGAGAACAGGGTTCAGGATTTTGTATTCGCACCAGGCAGCGAGACATTTGCACGTGCATCATAGTATAAAACAGTATACGTATGGAAGAGGGAGACAAGCATCTTTAGACCACTCCGGTAGGGAGCTGGGAAAACTTGGTACCATACTCCCCGGATAGCAGCAGAAGCGGAGGAGCACACCGTGACCATTGTTTGGAATACAAAAACCAGAGAAGAGATGCTGGAAATACTAAAACAGCGAAAATGGTGAGCCACATTCACTCTAGATGGTCTCCGTACCGTTAGTGGAAACCTCAAAGACATCTGAATCTCAGATGACCTAGGACCACCGGAGATTCAGACTCATCATCAAACAGTTTGGTGCGCACAAGTGTCTGCCCACCACTTCATCGAACAAGACTAAATTCATCTGGATGAGAGGGAAGAAGACGGCGAAGGGTAGGGTGCAGATTGAGTTGAACGAGTGGAGGACGTTGTCGACGGAAAGAGTGTGGAGGGTTTGTTTCATCAGCGTGGAGTCTTCGCAAACCTCGGCAAGCATGCGGACCGCGTCAAAATAGCTACGCCCCTCGGCAAGCCTCGTAGAGCACCGCCTCTCAGTTGTTTGTTGTGGTGTAAATAAAGAAATTCTATCTCTCTTGTGATCATACCTTCTTCGGACCATGTCCCGCACATTTGAATTATGTCATCACCAAAATTGCTCATCCTATACCTAACTATATATACACCTGTAACGGCTGTGACACACTGTATCGACTGTGACGAATATCTACAACCGGGTGTCAGATATATGATAATACAAGCAATCGATTTTTGTGATATAGTTAGAGCAATGTTCCAGAATTGTGATATAGTAAGAGGAATGTTCCAGACCTGTGATATAGTTAGAGGAATGTTTCAGAGTTGTGATATATGCGAAGACATGTGACATTATCTTATACCGAAAATCACACTGACATCAGATTATAATAACATATCATTGCACTATTCGAATACATGTAATATGGTAACAATATAATGTAGTATAAACGTGGTAACCGGGTACCGATCGATTGGACATGAGTATGATAAAAAAACGAACATATGAGTGACATCATTCCAGTGCAGCAGAGTGAAAAAGATACATGCAAGCAGTTGCGAGTCCATACGAATATCCTAACTACAAAATTGTTCTGACCTGCCTTGAATAATCATTTCTTGAATTTGCGCTTAGTTGGGGTGTTCCTGGGATTTGTAGCGCGGCCTTTTTGTGTGCGTTTGGCCGGCTGAGGGACGTCTTGCTCTTCTTCTGTCAAAGGATCATCATCAAACAAATTGTCAATGGATGAGGTGATGGGTGCCGGTGGAGCAGGGGTAGGTGAGCGTGCAGGTGGAGCAGGGGTAAGGGAGTGTGTAGGTTCCACTAAGTCGTTCGCAGGAATGTCTTCGATGGATGCTTGAGGAGATGAGGGAGGTAATGGCGATTGACGTGGTTCTTGTTCTCGATTGAGTGTGGAGGACTGGGATGCCCGTGCGGCGTGCGCAGCAAGCTGCCGTTCCATTGCCACCATGTCATCATCATCCGAGCACTCAGCCCCTCCAGAATAAGTAGGCTTGACACCGTTTTCATTGCCGAATAATTTCCTGTATGCAAATATACATTAGATAGCAGAATGAAATAGTTAAGAACTCACTCGTTAAAATACGCAAGCAGGGAGTCGACCCACTCCCCATCTCTCCTCTCACGAATGAGGCACGTGATCCTGTAATAAAAGTCACTGTAATGAAAAAGGCCATCCTTGTCCTTCCATTTGTCGAGGGAGCTAATGCCAAAGTGTGCCTAGCAAGTAGAGAATAAGTAAGAGAATGAAAGGAAAGCAAAAACGAACCTGGACAGCCGCATATGCAATGTGCTCGGCTTCAACTGTCGACATGCCGTGGATCTTTGCATTGCAGGGGCGTGTTCCATTGGAAACACCAGCTGAGAGCGCAGATGAAGGAGACATAAAGATGTGTTTGGCAACCTGAGTGGCATATCAGCGGCGCATATCATTAACACAGCCAAAAAAAATATGTACGCGTGACAAAAGATACCCCCTGAAAAGTCCCTCGATGATATCGTCAGGGTCAAAGTCCTTACCTGGACTATCCCCCGGATACAGATAAGCAGGCCACAAGGCTGCGGTCACCTTCAGTGACCCGGCTTGGATTCTCTTCCTCGCCCTGTAATGTAATTAGTACTACCAAGTTTGATAAAAAAAACTTACTCGGTCAAATCCTTGTTATATTCGATCAAGAATTTAGCAGGGCAGAGCATTGGGCCAAGCTGCGGGTGATTGAACCCCATCTTGGAGCGAGACTTGCTGTCGTCACCAATTGGAGGGTTGACGAGGGCCTTGTCTGGGACTGGAGCAGCATATGTGCCCATGCGGCTCTTGAGGCGACTGGCATCTTCTGACTGGGTGTGATTGATCATATGCTGCATCTGCAAATAGTGAGTTGCAATCAAGATAGGTGTATAGAAACTTAAATACCTCACTGATGATATATGCGAGTTCGTCGCGTTTTTTCTTCTTGCCGATCAAATTTCCGAGATAAGGAGCGTGATCTGTGACGTATTCGAACGTCCGCTTGTAGTGTGCACGTGTGTGATCATCACTAAAAATCAAATTAATGTGCATGTATGCGCATAAACGAAAATGAACAGACTTACATGTTATTGAGGATGTTTGTACGGGCAATCTTGGCCTGTGCATCTGTCGGATCTCCGTCGTCGATCGCTTCGTCTTGCTCTAGAAGCAAGCACACCTGGATGACCTGCTTAAGGTCGCAGAACATATCCAGACCGCGTGGGATCCAACGTGCAACGTGTATGCACTGGTCCCGCGGTGTGAGTTCTTTGTGACGTGATCTTCTAGAACATCATCAAGATCAGGATATGCGTGAAAATGAAATGCCTCACCTTTTTGTCTTTTCAGCCTTCTTTTCGGCTCTAACAGGGCTATGTATCCTATATGCGTGCAGGTAAGCTCTGTTTTGAAGACAACAGATATCATTTAAATGACTCACCTGGCCTTTTTGGACCTGGACCTGCCCTTATCACATGTGTTAGACGCGTTTAACGCGTCTCTTCCACGTTTCTCGGATATCCGGGGCGGTGGTGTACTTGGGGGAGTACTTACATCCAATCCAGAAGAATCCATAGAAGTACCAATAGAATCAGATGAAGAAGTAGAATGAGAGCGATCACGACGCGCCATAGTGGTGGGAGGGAAAGATGAGATACATACGGCGATACTAGGAAATAGTCCTTATTTGGTTATTTTAATATCATAATATCAAATATCCCCTGGATATCTACGTATCCAGAGTTAAAACAATGGGAGAACGTTGGGAGAATGTGATACAATTGAGCAAGAATTACAAATGATATCTACAAGTACAGCACACGGTATAGTACAGGAAAAAAAAACGAGGCCGCTGGATCATCAATCTTCATCTACAGGGATATCATCCTGATCTTCCAGCGCCTCGGGGCTTTTCGTGACGTAGTAACTCCATGGCGCAGTGGGATTCTCGGGATCTGGATCAGGGTTACCAGCGCGCCTGACAAGCAGGTTGCAAGGGGATGCGGCTATTGGCCTTGAGAAAGATCAGTCAAAATTTTTATTGAGAGCGGGAGTCGCGACTTACACAAACTCTGGTTCGATAACAGGATCTTCATCTTCAACCTTAACCTCATTGATTCCGATTTCTGCATCTTCAGTCTTCATCTCCGTGTTGTCCCTGTTACCGCCGTTATCCTCTTCGGATTCGGATTCGGATTCCGTCTCCGAGTCATCTGAGGCTGAGTCTTGATTATCGGCCTGTTTGCGGATGCGAAAAACTATTTTCTGTTATAAGTTAGATTGGTTTTTAGACGAGAAAAAAATAAATACCTTAGTGCCAGGAGAATCCAAGTTAAGATTGAAGCAGTAGGTATTATTGACAGATATTGAGTTTTGGATGTGGACGAATATGACATCCCCGAAGACGTTCAGGACAGAGGTCCAGGTGTCATTGGCAGTGACGTTAGCCATTTGATATTAATATGAGTACTTGATGATAAAGTTAGGGTTCGAGGATTTCATGTGACCGCAAGATTCCGGCGGAGTTTGAATCTGACATCAACCAAACCGACTCGATCATGATCTCACCTTACTTTCGATCATATGACCTTACTATTGGTTATATGCCCTTACTTTCGATCACATGCTCATTCCAGGCGCATTTGGTGAGTCCAACAATGGTCTGCTCCCTCTGTCTTCCTTCCATTACCGTACTAACCAGTCTGCACATCAGCATACTGCTCACTCTGAGGAGATTCTCTGTGAGGCATGCGGTGCAGCCGCCGGTGCTACGTTTGCTGTGAGCGATCCAAGGCCAAGATCAGGTATGTTTCATCCTAAAATGACTGACACTAATCATTGTTATCATCACCAGACTTAAGCACAAAGGAGAGGCATTCAACCTACTCCCAATTTCCTCATCCGCGCTGTTGATTGGCGAATCCACATTGCCCATTGTACCTCACCGATTTTTTATCTAGTTAATGGTATGCTTGTTTACATTTCCTATCTAGCTTAATGCTTGACTCTCACTTTGTCACGAGTACCTTTAACAAACCATTATTCTTTCTTGAATCTTCCTAAGCGTCAATACACAGCGCCTAAACCAAACCCTAACCCTACACTGAAAGTGTCTATCATTCCCAAAATACCTTTAGCGCCTACAACACGTGTCTTCGATGTGACTGATGAAGAAGACGAGTTCTTTGATTGTGAATAGATTAGATTAGATACGATAAGATAAGATATGGTCACGTGATGCTTCTTTAATATTCTATGATGTTCTATGGTACGATTCCCTTTCTCTTTTTATGATTGGCTAGTAGTTGTAACTCAGTTTCAATCTCCGTCTCAATAGTTGTATATAGGTAGCATGTCTTGGTTGATAGTTCCTTAGTTCAAACCTCTTGTATCTACAACTGTAGCAATCCAAGACGTACTTGCTCATCGTTCCTCTTGTCCGATAACCTTTGTTTGAGTCCTAGTCTCTGCCCAGTGTTAATTCGTTATTGGGTTGTGACACACTTTCAGTTGTTAAATTAATGTATATTCAAAGTAGACTGCTGCACCAAATCAATGGACTGTTTAAATATGCTTGTGGGGTGATGAATTGCTTGTGAGTTCTGCAACCAGTGAAGACGCGTCCCTTTCCTGTTTCTCTATACTTTGTCCATGGTCAATGACCTTCGCTGCTTAGCTTGCAGTGCAACATTCGGTTCACGCAAGCAGCTTGCAGCGCATACAAGTCAATGCGCTCTTAATGTTATCTTTACTGATCAAATATTTGACCGCAAGCGCAAATTAGACAAGAAGAAAAGGAGGCAAGACAAGAGGGTCTGCCATGACAAGTCCCCTGAGCGCATTCCTGGTGATGTTTATATCCCAGAGCAGCCAGAGGTTCAAGACCCAACGTTCACCGATAATGAAGATCCTTATATTGATGTATGTAAAATTTTCTATAGCTGTATTGTCCTTGTTACATGTTTCCTAGGTTGAAATGGCTCGCCCTCCATCTCCCTCACCTCCTTCCATTAACCCCGTCGTCTCTCAGCGCTCTGGATGGAGAATACGAATGCCTGCTCGCTTTGCAGACTTCCTACCAGGGAGCACAACTCACCTTGCCCACATGCCACCCACTGCTCGTCAGCAACGCGGACATGATGTCATCGCGGATCAACACGTGGATCAAAACTCTATGCCTCGTTCCCCTTCCCCCGAAACATCGGAGCATGAGGATGCACCCCCAGTCCTTATTCCTTTTCAAATGGAAGCGGATGACGCAGGGCTCTATCACATCTACATTACCTGGCCCAGCAACATCCCCAACAGCGATACCCTTGAGGCTGTAACTGATGCTCCAACGCTTGCCAGGGACGATCAGATTCCTCGATCAAGTCGAATCACAGAAGGCCTGTCGTCTAAAGGCACCGAAGAACTCTATGAAGCATTCTCGAATCCTACCTCTGGCCTCCTCATGGCATACCAGTATTCTGGAACCAGCCAGCAATCTGTTGCTGAGTTGCAGCGACTCACAACTTTTGTTGGTGATCCGCTTTTCAGACATGCTGATGCACTTTCATTTTCCCATACACGGGAAGCAAAGAACATTGATGCCTATTTACAGGACAAAGCCAATCCATTTCGCGAGGAATATGGCTGGAACCAATCGTCTGTCAAGATCAGATTACCGAACGAAGGGACAAAGTGGCCGTCAGAGACCGATGCCCCAGAACTCAAGATCCCCGGAGTATATCACCGATTGATTGTCGATATCATCGAGTCTGTTTTCATGGACGACGCCTCAATATCATTCAACATGATTCCTTACCGCGAATACTGGCAATGCTCTCCCGATCGCACCATTGAAGTCTTCTCAGAAGCGTACTCCAGCCCTCAGATGTTGGAGATGTATGATGAAATTAATGCTTTGCCTCGCGAAACAGGTGACAAATACGAGCGCTCAATTGTGTCGCTGATGTTCTGGTCTGATGCGACACACTTGGCAAATTTTGGCGATGCTTCCCTGTGGCCATTCTACCTTTACTTTGGAAATCAATCGAAGTATGTTCGAGGGAAGCCAACCGCTTCTGCGTGTCACCATGTGGCTTATATTCCTACAGTAAGTTTCTTATATTTGATCATATCTAAGTATAGCTAAAATCAATTCATTCATTAGTTGCCGGATGATCTACAAGACCAATACATGAAGATCTTTGGCGAGCCATCTAGTAGCGAGGTATATACTCATTGTAAACGTGAGCTGATGCAAGCAATATGGGCTCTACTGCTCGACGATAAGTTCATGCACGCCTATGTGCATGGTATCGTCATCAAATGCAGTGATGACATCACTCGTCGAATCTTCCCCCGCTTCTTTACTTATTCAGCCAATTATCCGGAGAAGTGAGTCCGTCATTTCATTTTATCACAGCATGTGCTAATAATTCTTAGAGTTATTCTGTCAGGCATCAAGAACCTTGGGCAATGCCCTTGTCCGCGTTGTCTCACAAAGAAGACCGATGTTACGACTTGGATGGTATCTGTTGGCGACGCTCAAACAGAGCATGTGTCGTCAACGGTCGAGGACGTCCTTGGGCTAGCCCAAGGTTAGGGGTCTTACTTGGCGAGGCTTCGGCAAGTAAGATTTGATGCCTATGTCCAAATCGGGTAGCTTATGTCACGCGGGTGCGAGACGATAAGCTATATCGGCCTAGGCTTACGACACCCGAAGGTTAATCGTAGGGATTGTCATTAATTAGAAGGACGGAAGTCTGACTAGTTAACAGGGGCTTTGCTTGTCGATGAAGTCAACGAGCAAAGGTCGAGACTATAGGCTTATCTGCGATGAGCAGATAAGAAGATAGAATATAGACTGCTGGCGAGGCAGAAGGATCACTCTGATGAGAGTAGGGGGTCAAGAACCAAGTAGATTCAAGTTAGGGAATATGGTATATGGTAGTGAGTTTATATAGAGGACGGGAGACGTATTAGTGGGTGATAACTCGTACTACCGGGAGAGGCAATCGGTAAAGGGTATAACCATAACAGGAAGGCACGTTCGGTCGAGGTAGAACGTGCTAGATAAGAAAGTGAGTCAAAGATCAAAAACAAGAAGTGAAACGCGCAGGGGCACGATCGTGCAGCTGCGGATCTAAGTATAAGTCGCATGTGCGACTGCGCACCGAGTCAGAGATCAAGAAAGGGAATAGGGCAAAGGGGATGCGTCGTGCATCACATCATAGGTTACTGTCCGGACGGTAAGGGTAAAGGGGACTATCCACAGGATCAGTCTGGTGGTGGAACGGAGCATGGGTATGCTTCATCAGCGAAAGGGTCCGGCCAAATGTACTGGCTTTGCTGCAGCGACAGGTAGAGAGCGAAAGGGAATGCGAGGATGACAAGGATGACAAGGGTAAGGTCGGGGTAAGGGTATGACACGAGGGCTGATACGAGGAGGATTAGGAGAAAAATGGTAGGGGCCCAAGCGTCTAGATGTTCTTGTAACAACCGAGGTTCATTTGATGGGAACAAAATGCGATATGAAGCGACGGATCAGACGTATGCGGAAGGATGATTGGAGACACCATCGAGAAGTCAAAGACGCATGGAAGCTAATTTTTCAATTGGGCATACCAGTTGATGGTTCACGCATCAAGAATATACTCAATGACGAATCGTTGGTGCCGACTCGGGTAAGTTTTCATTATTATTTCGATCTCTACCAACTAATAATATCTAAACATAGAACTCATTTTCTGAGAAGCTATGTCCTCATGGATTCAACCACTTCCGGATGTTCGTGGTGGATGAGCTCCACGAATTTGAACTGGGTGCATGGAAAGCAATATTGACCCATCTATTTCGCATTTTGCACGCAGCTGGAGGACATGCCATCCAGAAGTTGAATGAGAGGTACGTGTTTGTAACATATTATTGCTGATCTACTAATACCTATTCTTAGATATCGAGATACACCAAGCTTTGGTAGAGGAACGATCCGTAAATTCAATACAAATGCTTCCGCAATGAAATGCCTCGGTGCACGAGATTTTGAAGATCTGCTTCAGGTAAGATCGGTTCGTGCTTTCCCATTATGTTTTTTAATGATCAATAGTGCGCAATCCCTGTTTTTGAGGATTTACTTCCTAAAAATCACAATACCATGGTTCTCGACCTCCTATTCGACTTGGCAACTTGGCACGGGTTCGCAAAATTATGTCTGCATACTGAGGACACCTTACATTTTTTTGACACTGCAACAGCTGTTCTCGGTCAAACGATACGTAAATTTAATCGAACTACTTGTGCACACTACTATACTACAGAACTGCCTCATGAGTACACTGCACGTGGACGACGGAAATCAAAATTGGCTTCGCAGAATCTCAACTCGAATCTGACAAGCCAAGTCAATGAGGTTGCGTCTGGTCCGAAGCGCAAAAGACTCAACCTCAACACCTACAAATATCACGCCCTCGGAGATTACCCTGACACAATCCGACAATTTGGTACAACAGATAGCTTCAGCACACAACCGGTAAGTTTTAATTTGATCATACATATAGAATATTGATGTCATTCTAATTTTTAGGGTGAACTGCAGCACCAGCGTGTGAAACACTGGTATCCGAAAACGCCGAAAGGCAAGAAGAACACGGTCTCGAGCATGACGCGGATTGAGACCAGGGAACGACTGCTGGGGAAGATCGTGAAGGCACAATCAGCATTGATTGATCCTGGATCACAACACCCTCAACGCATACGCACATCACCAGCCGACCACTACCACATCTCCAAATATGCAAGGACCTCGCATGATCTCACCGAGTGGCTCGGAGAACTTACAGATGATTTAGCAGTAACGGTACGTGATTTTAATATTCTAGAGCTATCAAATTTTTGACCTGAGGAGTAGGATTTTATTCCGCGACTTCAAGATCATCTTTTAGCTCGAATTCGCAGGATCGAATACACCGGTGATGAATTTCAATTCACTGACGAGGACCGCTCGAAAATATCGATTGCTAACAACAAGATTCACGAGCACAGCACTCTCCGCGTCAACTACACTACCTACGACCTACGACAAGAACAAGACTTGCTCAATTCACGTACCCGTGCCGACATCATGGTTCTCTCGCACGAGACTGATGAGGCACGACATCCTTATTGGTATGCACGGATAATCCGGATTTTTCATGTCGACGTCTGGAACTATGACGACATTTCGATGACAAAACCACGCCAAATGAATTTATTATTTGTGCGCTGGTTCGGCCGTGATGTCAGTTACAAATCTGGTTTCTCGGCAAAGCGCATCAGTAAAATACCACGTTTCTTAAATTAACTTAATGAGCTTAAATTTGCGGCCAAGTCAAAATAAGTCAGTCTTTTTCAAAGACCTTCATCTTAACAAAAGTTTCTTGTCTTACATCGACACATGACTTAATAGCACTTGAATTTATACAGTAAGACAAATTAAGAACTAAGTTTGCGAAGCAAATAAGATGCAATCAGAGAGTCAAGACGGATGATAAAAAATCAAATAGGAGACGGGGAGCATGCCAGTGGGTAGTAAGTAGAGTGCGGAATGAAAGCATAGAAATGTGTATATAACCAGCGCCAAACGACGTCACCTTCAACGGAATGCAAATAGGTCAGTGAACACGTCATCCTCATCAGGCGCGTCACCGGTGGTAGTCCTCGAGTTCCCGATACTTTTCGCGTGCTTGGCATACTGTTGTGCCTCCACAATAATGCTCGCAAAGGCATCGTCGGAAAGCGCCAAGATGGGGCCCATGAGTTTGACGGTCATGTGCCCCCAGATAGGTTTGCTGAAAGCAAACTGCTCGCCCTTCGTGATGATGGGGGTCCAGATATCGCCGCCATCGGTCTTCGCACCTTTGCGTTTGCCACGGGATTCTTGAACAACTTGGAAAGCAAGGTTCCCATCAATGATGAGCTGAAGAGTACGATAAACCTGAAAATATTATTTTTAGACAACGAACAGCAGAAATCAAACAACTTACAGCAGTAACGGCGAGGGCAAATGCAGCCCGCGCACTAATGCTCTCGGTGTCAAGGTCGGGGACTTCAACACGGCTGAAGGTGAAATTGAGGTGTGATGTGAATGTCTGAAGTACGAAGGGGGATCTCCACATACCCGTCCAGTCCTTTGAACAGATAATTAGATGGTTTCATAGTAATCATTATAGCCACTTACCTTGGGAACGAGTCCTGAATTGTCCCTGAAAATGAACCGGTTATGCTTCAGCATGGCCCTTGAAAAGTCCTCGCGAGCCGCAGGATCCAAAAAATCAGCGTCCTGTGCAAAAAATGCAGTGAGGATGGAGCAAGCTGTGCATACCGAACCCTCCACGCCATTCCATAAGGTGTTGTTTGGCCTACAAATGTTGGTTAACTTCTGAATGACCCAAAAACAACTATGGACTTACCACTTTTAAAACGGCACCAGATCTGGAGATCTCGTGCCGAATCTTACCCCGGTATATGTAGTTCCATATCTCCTGCATGGCGTCCCTTAAATCTTCGTCTTCAGGACCCCAAGGCTCAACTTCTCCACCAGCCCAGTGTGCGACAGTTGGTATGAACACCCGGCGCCAGGTATTACCATCCTGGCATCCCTCAGGAAGGTCATCGTTCTGGTACCGGTGATTGGCGCCACTGCCATCACGGCGTGACGTGATACTCTTGCTCTGCGGCTCTGTCTTTGCTCGTTTCGAAGGGGGGGGGCTGGCTATTGATGCTGACACCGGTCTATGTTTAGCGGAGAGAAAATGAGAAGGGTATCACAAAATAAGTACCGGCTCACTGAAGTTGTCAGGCGTTTGGTGCCTTTTGCTGACACAGGGGCAGGAGACGGTGATGTGTCCTCGCTCTCGCCAAAGTCAATGTCCATTGACAAGTCAGTAACGGGCTCAGTCGGGATGAACCTGGCGGTGGCTCTGGATGGTTGCGTAGAAGGGGGAGCACGAGGAGGGGGGGAGGATAAGGACTCAGTCCTTGCCATTATTGGTGAGCGTTTCTTTGGTCGCGATGGAGGCGGTGATAAACTGTTATCACTGACTTCCAATATATCCTGAGTGGGGAGTGAGTGCGATGAAAATGTACGAAAAATGAAAGAAATACCGCAGAAGTTGTATGCCTGCCACCAGGCTTTTTGGTAGCCTTGAAAGCAGCCTCATGCTCAAGTGAATCGTCCTCGTCCAGAAACGCTGTGGTAGGTTCTTCAAGATTGCCTTGAATGTTGTTTGTGGGGTGCGGGCTGCCAGTGGGATTAGCGCTGGCGCTACTCACTTTCGAGATCTTTGAAACGGCAGTCGAGGTGGTGATTGAGGACACCTGTCTGTGTGATTCAGTGCGAAGGCTTTCAAGTTGAGGGCGGAGCAACTTGCTTGTTGCAAGTTTCTCAGCCCAGTCCTTTGTTTTCCCCATCCCCGCATAGTCATCCTTGGCTGCGCAGACATCCACACTGAATCAATTGAGGTGATCGAGATGAAAAAGAGTCGTTTCGGTGAGTAACAACATGGCAGATGGGAACAATAATCGACTTACACTCCTTTCTTGCCTTTCTGGTCACCACATGCTGTTGTGTGATCAGCATCTGATATGACATTCTGATTCTGATTGTGACTTGTGTCAAATTTGACGCCTGTATTATTAACACTTCGCTCAGCATGGACAGCCTCACGATATGCTGTCTTCTGTACATGTTTGTTCCTCAGCTGCACCTCTGCACTTTCCTCCTCACTGGATACAACATAGTCAGTCTCTGTGTATGGCGAGTCTTCAGGAACCTTACCTTGGTTGAAAGTCCTTATCGCTATCGATATCGTTATCGCCTGCAGCAACATCCTCCATTTCGACATCCCCCATCTCAGCTGCTTCTACAATCTCCTCGTCATCCTCAATGTTCGGCTGGCTCACCTTTGACTTCGACACAGGATGCGCCCTGAGGCCGAGGCTTTGGCACATGCAAAAGGATCTTCAAGTCCTTCAACGCCTTCTTGTCTTCAATAGACGCAATCTTCTCGGTGGTGCGTTTATCAGCGGCTTCTTTCTCCTGCCGCTCATGCTCGGCTCGGTCGTTGTCTTCCTGGATTTGATGAGCAGTGCGCCTTTTCCTCTTGTTTTGGAGGAGGATCTCACCAGGATGCTGGTTCGCATTTTTAGGACGAGTGTTTGGGTGCACCATTGTTTGAATGGTCGGGCTTGTGGAGGAGAAAATTTGGTGTAAGGTTGAGCGGTCACTATGGACTTTGAAACTCTAAGTTACGTGTCGCGCACCCTGTTTTGTATGTATTACATTACATTCTCCCTAGTGTGTTTGCTAATGGTTTGCGCTTTTCAGTTAGCCTCCCATCCATCATGCCAGACGAGATCCCTCATGCGCAGCTCAAACGACGGGCATTTAGCGCCCGCCGCATCCAGTGTCCCTACCCAGGCTGCAAACACTGGTTGAAAAATTCCTCTGGGCTGAAACTTCATCAAAGCTTGGCCCATAGCCACTCGTTTACCCATCCTGGATCGCAACGCACACAACGCGCCTCTGTTGAAGAAATTGAAGATGAAGAAGCTCCCAGACGCACCAACAATGAGCTCTGGGAGTCAAAGCATGGACTTATTCGTGATTATCACGAGACGCTGACTGGTAAGTCAATAGTTGTGCTGTGATGCCGGCTTGTATCTGATTAAAACCTATACCCACAGGTCGTATTTGTGACAAGAATGGCCACTTTGTTGATCCTGGCACTCCTCCTCCACCATACACAGCAAAAAGTCCTGACGACTGGACTCCGTATCGCAACCGACTGGAATTCGAGTGCGCAGATTTCATGTACACTGAAAACCAGATGTCCGCTGGTGATATCAACAAGATTCTCTACTTGTGGGGAATCACTCTCGCTGTCCATCGCGACAATCCACCATTTGCCAACTACAAGGACCTGTACAATACTATCAACGCAACACTGCTAGGCGATGTCACATGGGAAAGCTTCTCCCTGAAGTACAATGGCGATAAACCTGCTGGAGAGTGTCCGCTTTGGATGGAACAGTCGCACGAGGTTTGGTTTTGGGACCCTCATACCGTCGTCAAGAACATGCTCGCAAATCCAGATTTCAAAGGTGGAATTGATTATACGCCCTACCGTGAATTTCAGGAGAAGGATGAGCAACGACACTATAAGGATTTCATGTTGGGGGACTGGGCCTGGCAGCAAGCGGTACGTATTTTGTGTCTGTTAGTATATTCTCGTATTGATGTCAGGTACAGGACGAAATCGCACAGGACCCACAAACGCATGGTGCGGCTTTCATTCCCATCATTGTAGGCAGCGACAAGACGACGGTGTCTGTCGCTACTGGTCAAAACGACTACTACCCTCTATATCTCTTGATTGGGAACGTTCACAATAATGTCCAGCGCGCGCATCGCTGTTGTTAATAGTTTGTTTATCGATACGTCGAGAATCAGCTTACCTAATCACGCAAGTACATACAGGCACGTTAGAGTTACACACCTCAGTCCGTTACACTACGAGTACGAGACTGAGGTGAGACATTCATTTAATATTCTAATACTCTTATTGACTCTCGTAGTATACACTCGTTTATTCTAGGTTAGTTTATAGTCCGTTACACTACGAGTACGAGACTGAGTATACACTCGTTTATTCTAGTCTAGTCCATCCGTTCGCTCCCGCACGTCCTACTACGAAACAAAAGGTTATGAGCCCTGACTGAAGCTCAGTCAACAAATAGCCTAGTAGTGACTCTATCCTACTCCTCGCACAATGTCCAACAATCCATCAATCTCGCAAGCTCAAAGTTCAAACTCGCAACCAACTGCCTCGTCAGCATCTAACTCCAGGAAAGCCATACAAGGCTCGAACCGCCTCTATGATATCCCGTCGTTAGAGAACGATGGTTCAAATTTTCAGAACTGGAAATTTAGAGCTAGGAAAGTACTCATCGTACGAAAGCTCTGGGGTATTGTTGAAGGCTCAGAAGTCCAGCCATCTGCTTCTGACCCTGACGCGGTCCAAGATTGGCTAGAGAAGAACGATGAAGCACATGCACAGATCACGCTCACGCTAAAGGACGAACCTCTAAACGGAGTCCTACACACGGTGTTAGCATCTGATGCATGGACAAAATTGTGCAAGCGATATGAAGGGAAAGGAAAGCAGAGTATAGCCTACCTTATAGGCGAATTATTCCGCGGAACACTCTCGGACGAATCTCCTATGGAACCGCAACTTAACGCTATGCGACAGAAAGCTCTAGTGTTGAACTCACTTGGTCAAGCTCTAGACGACTCCCTGGTGGCCATAGCTATGGTCATATCCCTCCCATCTTCATACTCGACTCTCCGAACAATACTCATGTCGACGAGCGACAAGATCACAATCGAAGGCACCATTAGCCAAATTCTAGTCGAAGAAAAGTCGTGGCGAGGTCCTGAATCACAAACGGCCCTCGTAGCCAAGACTTCGGACAAGTCAAAGGAGAACTCGAGGACGGACAAGAAGAAGAAACCTGGCAACTGCAACTATTGCAAGAAGCCAGGTCATTGGGAGAGAGATTGTCGAAAGAAGAAAGCCGATAAGGCTAAGAGCAGTGACAAGGACAAGGATGACGAAAAGGACAAATCCAAGGCCGAGTTGTCAGCAAAAGTGGCACATGTAGTCGGAGATGACACACCATCACTACAGCTGTTCGTTGCACATGGACCGAAACACGAGTCACATCCAGCAGAGTGGATCGTGGACTCCGGTGCATCAGCGAGTATGTTGTGTCAACGAGACTGGTTCAAGACATTTCGCATGCTAGTTCCCACACAGCGTGTCATAGTTGGGGATGGCCGGTCAATCGAAGCTACGGGGATTGGAAGCATAGAGTTAGAAGTCGAAATCGGAGATGCGCAAACTCGACGAACCGTTTTGCAAGACACATACTATGTTCCCGACCTAGATGGCAACCTGTTGTCAATCCCACGCTTAGCAAGCAAAGGATACGAAGCAATCTTTGGACAACATACCTGCACAATAACTCGCAATGGCTCGATAGCAGCACTAGCAAAACGGCAACAGTCCCTATACATATTAAAGGGACGCACTTGCATTAGCGAAAGTGCTTACATTGTCGAAGGCCCAAGCCCGCTGCTGAATGCAGAAGAACCAATCACGGCTCTCGCAGCATGCACATACTCGTCGAAGGCAACGTTCGAGACCTGGCATAGACGCCTTGCCCATATCGCCCCCGAATCCGTGAAGAAACTGTTCGAAAAAGACATGGTCAGAGGGATGGAAGTCTTGGGATCAATCACTCACGAAAAGCAAGTTTGCAAGCCCTGCCTCGAAGGCAAGCAGGCACGCAAGCCCATCTCAGACGAATCCATGATTGAAAATCCCCGGGTCTTACACAGGACATATTCTGATGTCTGTGGACCCATGGAGACCACTTCATGAATGGGACACCGATACTTCGTTACATTCATTGATGCCTGCTCGCATCATGTCATGGTCAAACTTCTCAAAACGAAGGACGAAGCACTTGGACTCACGAAAGTATACTTCGAGCGAGCAGAGGCAGAAACGGGCGAACGCGCAAACTATTTTCGCAGTGATGGAGGCGGGGAATATGGCTCTGGTGACTTCCTAAAGTACCTCGAGTCAAAGGGCATTCATCATGAAAAAACGAATGCTTACACTCCACAAGAAAACGGAGTCGCCGAACGAATGAATCGAACCCTTGTCGAATCAGCGCGAGCCATGTTAAACGATGCTGGACTTCCGAAGAAGTACTGGGGTGATGCCATACTCTACACGGCCCACATACTCAACAGAGTGCCAACTCGTGCCCTGAAGAAGAATATAACACCGCATGAGGCCTTTACTGGCAACAAACCGTCAGTAGCGCACTTGAGAATCTTTGGCTGCAAGGCACACGTGCACGTACCTGATGAGCGCCGTCAAAAGCTCGATGCAAAATCCTTCGAGTGCATCCATTTGGGGTATGCCGAACACCGTAAAGCCTATGTCTGTTTGCAGAGGTCCAGTGGGCGAGTAATAGAGTCGAGGGACATCGTGTTTGTTGAAGGGGATGATGAAGAGTCAAGCCGAGTGAAGATAAGTGTTGAAAACACTGAAATTCGTCAAGTCGATAAGCAACAAGACCAAACGAAATCACACAACTCACTGGCAAACCCAGGTCCAAGCGAAAACGGACAAGTGCACATCGAAGAGGTCACAAGCGAAGATGAGAACGAAGACTCGGACCCTGAGCAAACAGAACAGGAATTCCCTGTACTATCTGTAGGTCAACACGAAGTTAGCTCTCAAACCTCGCAACGAACCTCCACAAGGCGTCGCGCACAGCCAGAAGGTCCTCCGGCACCATACCCACGTCCAATTCCTCCACGCGAAATCAGACGCTCAACCCGCATACGAAAGACACCAGTTCCTGACGACGATCCCCGTTATTTCGTCAACGCGTATGATAGATCAACACTCAAGACTCACCAGGAAGCTACTGTGGAGACAGAGGAAATTCCCAGTACGAGGGGAGAAGAGAGAGCTGAAAACGTCGAAGATGAGAGTGAGGAAGAAAGCTGAGGGAGAAGAACGAGCTTACCATGCGGAAACGGCCGAAGAACCTAGGACGTTTGAAGAAGCAGCAAATCGGCCAGATGCGGACCTATGGCAAGCTGCCATGCTGGAGGAGCTGAAAGTATTTGAGAAGATTGGCCTATATGAGGCAGTGGAGCGGCCGAAGGACCGGAAAGTCATCAAGTCGAAATGGGTGTACAAGATTAAGCGCAGGCCCTACTGGGGAGATTGATAAGTACAAGGCACGCCTAGTGGCAAAAGGATTTACCCAAGTCGAAGGTATCGACTACACCGAAACGTTCGCGCCCGTGACAAAATTCTCCACAATCCGAATTCTCCTTGCAATCGCAGCAAAATTCGACCTAGAAATCCATCAGATGGACGTGAAGTCAGTGTTTCTGAATGGTGAGCTAGAAGAAGAGATTTACCTCAAATTACCCCCAGGATTCGACTGACTCGGACAATCTAGTGTGGAAGTTGAAGCGACCACTGTATGGCCTTAAGCAGGCACACAAAGCTTGGTATAAGCGGCTCTGTACCGTCTTCAAAGGCTTAGGTTTCTCGCACTGCTGAAACTGAGCACAGTGTGTTCTACAAGATCGTGAATGGGACCCACCTGATTGTTGCAGTCTATGTTGATGACAAGATGATCTTCTCGAAGTCACTGAAATTGATCAATCAGCTGAAGAAGCAATTAGAGGCCGAGTACGAATTAACGGACCTGGGAGAGGCCCGTTGGATCCTCGGGATGGAGATAATCAGGGACCGGGAGAAGAAGACAATCGAGTTGTCGCAACAGCGATACATCGAGACGATTCTCGAACGTTTCGGCATGCAGGATGCGAGACCTGTCACTACACCTATGGACTCAAACACCAGGTTGGTCAAACGAGATAGCGCAGAGGTAGACACCAAACCTTATCAGAGTGCGCTCGGCGCATTGATGTACGCGATGCTCGCAACTCGCCCAGACCTCGCATTTGCAGTGGGCGCATTGAGCAAGCACTCTGCTACCCCAGGAAATGAACACTGGAACGCATTGAAGCGTGCATACCGTTATCTACGCAAAATGTCTAACAAACGACTCACCTTCAGAGGAAATGGAGAGACGAGCCCTGCGCGGTTTTGTGGATGCAGACTGGGCATCGGACGTCAACGATCGACGTTCAATAACGGGCTATGTCTTCTTGATGGCGGGCGGCGCTGTAAGCTGGCAGTCAAAGAAGCAAGACTCTGTGGCACTATCCAGCACCGAGGCTAAATATATGGCGGCGGCATCAGCAACGAAGGAAGCAATATGGATAAATACCTTTCTGGACGAGCTACAATTTCCCCAGTCCCAGAAAACACTCCTTCTCATTGACAATCAGTCCGCAATCTCTCTCGCGAAGAACGCCGTATTCCACAGCCGCATGAAACATATCGCGATCCATTATCATTTCATCCGCGAGAAAGTTGATGCCGGCGAAATCGAACTCGAATATGTCCCTACGAACGCCCAGATCGCAGACATTTTGACGAAGCCGTTAGGAAGAGTGAAGCACGAGCGTTTCATCGAGGGAATGGGAGTAAGTTGATAGCTGATAACTCGCCGAGTGGGCGTGTTGTTAATAGTTTGTTTATCGATACGTCGAGAATCAGCTTACCTAATCACGCAAGTACATACAGGCACGTTAGAGTTACACACCTCAGTCCGTTACACTACGAGTACGAGACTGAGGTGAGACATTCATTTAATATTCTAATACTCTTATTGACTCTCGTAGTATACACTCGTTTATTCTAGGTTAGTTTATAGTCCGTTACACTATGAGTACGAGACTGAGTATACACTCGTTTATTCTAGTCTAGTCCATCCGTTCGCTCCCGCACGTCCTACTACGAAACAAAAATCGCAATGCATTGGTTCTGGTTGGATTTTTGGCGATCCCTAAGAGTATGTACCTGATTCTCTCCTAATCTACTTTGAAGCTTACACTGTTGTATGCAGCGGAAAAAAAAAATGCAGATGAACTTGGATACTGCAAGTTCAAGAAGCAATTGTTTCACTCCTCGTTGTCGAGGATCTTTGCCAATCTCAAACCTGGAATGACGACTCCAGAAGTCACACAGTGTGGCGACGGACACTACCGGCGCGTTATATATGGCCTTGGACCCTACATTGCAGACTATGAAGAGCAGGTAGTATTGGCATGCATGGTCAAAGATTGGTGTGGAAGGTAAGTGGCTACCAGAGATCCTCGGGACACTGCCTGTTTGTGTCCGCCTTCATGACCCCTAAGGGGCAGCAGAAATCCTCAGGACACCGCCTGTTTGTGCGCACGGTGTTGTCGAAGTTTCTGCCGTATATGACCCCCCCCTCCCTAGTTCTCTCTGATTTCGCCTATCCAGAGATCCTCGGGACACCGCCTGTTTGTGTCCGCCTTCATGACCCTCAAGGGGCAGTAGGGATCATTGGGACACCGCCTGTTTGTGCGCGCGGTGTTGTCGAAGTTTCACGCGCGGTGTTATCGAAGTTTCACGCGTGGATGACCCTCAAGGGGCAGTAGGGATCATTGTGACACCGCCTGTTTGTGCGCGCGGTGTTGTCGAAGTTTCGCACGCGGTGTTGTTGAAGTTTCTGCCGTGTATGCCCCCCCCTCCCTAGTTCTCTCTGATTTTATGCAAAGTCTCATTTATATTTGCAGATGCCTTGCATTTCCCTCAAATCTTGATGAAGGAGGTGTTTCTCGGTCACGCGAACATACTGATGCGCTTGTGGATTCTGTTGATTTTGGTATACTTTGGGATGAGTATGGTATCATTGGCGAGTTAGTGGTATGTTTCCCCCCATATCATTTGTGCATTGTTGAACTAACAGTTGCACTCCATAGCCCTTCACCAACAACTTTCCTCGTGCCGACATTCACGAGCTCCTTGCCCCCAACATACTGCACCAGCTCATCAAAGGAACCTTCAAGGACCACCTTGTTGAATGGGTGGGTCAATACCTCGAACTCACGCACGGCAAAACACGCGCTAAGGCAATTTTAGATGATATTGACCGAAGGTATTTTCAATCTGCCACTGCCTGTTGTGATTACTGACAATACACTAGAATTGCTTCCGCGCCGCCCTTCCCTGGCCTACGACGCTTTCCACAAGGCCGTGGATTCTCGCAATGGACAGGTGACGACTCCAAAGCTTTGATGAAGGTACGTTTTCATTCACTATCTCGCGTTTATCACATTTACACAGCTGTTATCTAGGTCTATCTACCAGCAATCGAGGGCCACGTACCAGATGATATGGTTCGGGCATTTCGAGCCTTGCTAGAGTTCTGCTACATCGTGCGCGCGAACGTAGTGACAGACAACACTCTCTCATCCACTACGAGCTTCTCATCTGAATGTTCAGTGCTCCGAACGGCCTCTGCTCGTCAATCACGGAATCCAAACATATCAAGGCGGTAAAGCAACCATGGCGACGTTCAAGCAAGTACAACGCGCTCAGCCAGATGCTCCTTACCAATCAGCGCCTGGACAAAGTCGCCGCAGCAAGAGTTGATTTCACAACACGCAGCATGCTCAAAGGGTCTTGTGCCTTCAGCTACTACAATTCATCTGGTACATGGTCTGTTTTATTTTAATTGCATTTTACTCACTGAATTTCTAGTTGAGAATCCCTCATATATCGACAACGACGATGGAGACCCAGAGGTCCAACAGAACCCAGCGCATGCAGGAAGCAATCCCTTTGCTATCGAGAGTGACGACTTTGACGATGTCGAGGATCAGGGTGTTGTAGATGACGTGGATGTCATTGCTGATGTGCAATTAGCACAGACTTTTTGTGCGTATCCAACCCTCTACTCACTGTGACCTTCGTTCGTAACACACCGTTCAGAACGAAAACGCGCCCGTACTGTTGCTGATCTCGCAGACGAACTCGACATCCCATTGTTCCAGACCCTCATTCGCCTCTTCCTGTACGACCAAATACACGCGGACAACCACCATTCCTCTGCCGACGTCCCACTTCGCGACTGTCCATCCTACACGGGACCAATCAAGATATTTCATTCAGCCGCTGCAACATTTATCGCACCCAGTGATCCGAGTGGAATCACTGGTATGCGCCGTGAGCACATTCGTGTTGTGCCTTCGTGGCGCAAGGGACCAGCTCGCTTTGACTGCGCCTTCGTCAACACGGACGATAGGCATGACGGAATGTTGAGCATGGACGTTGTTCGAATATTCTGTTTTTTTTTCTTTTACTTTCACTAACAGTCACACATACCCATGTGCCCTCGTTCAATGGTTCCATCGCATCGCCGAGGAACGAGACGAGCTCACAGGAATGTGGATGGTGGCACCGTCTTTCAATGAAGATGGCTCGCGCGATTTGTCCATCATCCATATCGACAGTATCATTCGCGGCGCTCACTTACTCCCAATATTCGGTACTCAGCTCGTACCACGCGGCCTTCGATTCTACGATTCTCTGGATGTATATCGAGGATTCTATGTAAATCGGTTCATTGATCACCATGCTTTCGCACTGGCATCTTAATATACTCATTTTTCTTGCAATGCTTAAGTTCAAAATTTGTCTTAAAAATACTTTAATTGTCTGAGTGTCTTTGTCGGCTTGATGGTAAGACACTCAAGTTGCCATCCAAGTCAAATCGAAGCCTTGAACATCTTGACGCACTTGGGCGCCAAACCAAGTCAAATAAGTTCGAATTAAGTTAATTTAAGAAACGTGGTATTTTACTGATGCGGCTACCGCGTATTGGTTTTCTCAGAGGCGAGGATCCTTGTGCCTTTGGTTTCGTAGATCCCGACGTTGTTATCCGGGCTATTCACCTTATTCCGGCATTTGAGCATGGTCAAACTGACCAGCTTCTCGCGGATTCATTTGTGCGACGCGAGGCAGATCTAGGTAAAGATTGGCTTTATTTTTATATAAACATGTAAGTCTACAGTACCGATCTACTGGCTAATTAACCTATACTTCTATTTCTAGATTTGCAGATAGAGATATGTTTATGCGTTACCGGGGGGGAGGTATCGGCCATAAAATATCTCGCGGGTGGGATGAATTTTTGCAGGCTGATGGGGCTGAGGTTGGTGTTGTAGGAGAGGCGGAGGGTGGAGATATGGAGTTAGACGACGAAGAGGAGGATGCGGACGAAGACGAAGAGGATGAAGGAGAGGATGACGAAGAGGATGACGAAGAGGATGACGAAGGGGATGACGAAGAGGATGACAACTCGGAGGAGGATGAAGAGGACCGGGTAGAAGCAGACGAGGGAGAAGAGTTGGATGATGACATTCTGGCGGAGGAGGGATATGGTGCTCTGTAGTATCATGTCGTGTATGATTCTTTGTTCCGTTTTTGATCGACCGATCCGCTTCATTGATCCGTCGTTGAATTCTGAGTGCAAGCATTCCCGCCCTAATATTATTTGATATCATCATAAGCACATATAACATTGTTTCTAGCTTATAAATATTATATACTGATGCTACCACCTTATATCTACAATATAATAAAGCTGTCAACGTCATTGAACGCATTTACCTTGATGTCATTGTGAGGCAGCTTTATAACATGCCAATCTTGTATGACGCACGCATGCATGGAGCCATAACTCTCGATCGTGTGAAAAAAACCAGATACGGTTGTGTTACCTAATGTCAACGGTTGTGACATTTGAGCAGTTTTGGTGATGGTATCTCCCTTGCAAAGTCCACTGCTGGCGCTCAAGTCGCCACCAAATTCATCTCCTACCACCCTTGACAGAATATGAGTACTGACACGAACAACTTCTCTGCAACTCCAAGAGAAATCTTTCATTTGCATGCGACTCATCCCGAGAGGGACAAAGAGTTCCGTGCTACGGCAGTCTCTAGTGAATTCCTCAAAGCGAGCCAGAAAAACTTTCGCGTACAATGTTCTCAGTGTCAACTGGCATTGGAGAAACCTTTGAAATGTGCAAAGGTGACGGCCAAATATCCAAATGATATTACAGACGTTCCTCAGTGTCTCAAATATCTTCTAGTGTAAGGGCGTTTGGTATTGCTCAAAAGAGGTGGGATTTGCAACTGGAACGTCCCAAATATCTGAAGTACTGACATGTCACGGTCCAGTGTCAAAAGAAACACTGGTACCTATGATCGACGCTCACTTCAGCCTTGGATTTGACTAACACGCTATGATAGGCCCATCCACAAACCGAGATGCCACGAGGTCGAACGTTCTTCAGGAACCTTCAAATTCATACGAATGTTCATTTTGAATCCGATACTAATGGAGCTCCTCAAAATTGGTGTCATCATCGACTGTGGCCTGCTTGACAATCCTCGCATTGGATTTGACAAGCCGTTTGGGGTGCGCGTTGATATTGCCATTGAGCCAAGTAACATCCTAGACTTCGTCGGGTTGTATCTTGGCAGCAAATCTCCTGGGGAGAAGCTTCAAGGGATGGTGCAGATCAATGCCATGACGCCGTGGGAACTTACATCCGAACGGGTAGACAAATGGCATAGGGCTCGGGCATGGCATGACGCAGAGGGTTTTGCCAATGATCCTGTTGGACTTGTGGATTTCGTTGATGCCAACTGCACAATGGAATTTGGGAATGCAACAACCGCTGAGGTGCACTTTCTACCTATTGTCCTTGACATGGCAAGGGCACGAAAGCCTTTCTTAGGTGTCTCTGCTGTCACGGGCGCTGAAATCAGGAAACCCATGAGTGCTATGACATGTTTAGAGTGGGTTCTCTGTTCTTGTTTTCTCAATTCTAACAACGATCCTTATGTTGCCTAGGACTCTCAACATGCATATCCGGGCAGATAAAGATAATCAGCTGCATTTACGCACTGATATGACAGATCAAGATAAGGAAATTATTTGCGCTGCAGGTCGCAATGAGGACACATATCTGGCCCGCCTTGTTAACGAAAAGATTCAAAGAGAACACCTCTATGCTGCTCTCGCGAAACGACACATTTAGTAGTTTAATGTAAGTGAAGATTTTAGACTTCTCTCCAGTCTTTCTGAATCTTCGCATCAAAACAAGGAAATTCTGTCACGCGCAATATGTATTCTCTCCGTGACTTTCAAATCAGCCTTGTACTGTACTTCGTCTCATCGATTTCTTGTGTTGTATCTACTGAAATTTTGACATCTCGAAGATGCTTGCGGCTCTATGTAGTCGAAGTCTTATGAGTGATGCTTCTTGCAATTGAAGCATATACTGTCATTTACACGCGTAATCGTGAGCCATAATCAGTCTTATATGCAATCCGTCTTGTTATCAGCATGATTTTGATTGGTCTCAGGCTCTTAGCCATCGTATGCGAATTCTGTCGTCTTTTCATCTTTATTGACGTTCACAACTTGACAACATAATCGCCGAAAGATCTTGCGTGATCAAGTATTCTGCACAATTCCAGGTATTTGACGTTGTACATAAGTATGCAGGCGAGATCTCTTGGCTGGGTATATCATTCTTATCATGCTCGTGGTGGGAATCTTTATTGCTGATCTATTTGTATGCAGACGAACATAACTCAAATTGAATTTCGAGAGACTCTCGTAGAGTCTGTTTTACCAGGCGGGTGAAGATCGTACCTGGAGCGTTTGGAGTATTATTTTACATCAGGCCGAGGATCTGCATTCAAAAGGTGCTCGATCGTTCTTGTTCCTCACTCACCCACCTATTGACCATGCACCCGTCTTTATCGAACGGGGTCTTGACGCTGCAGCAAAGTTAGACAGTGATATCGCTGGGTACGATGCGCAGCTCACGTATTTTATGCGAACCTGCAAATTCAAGCACCTATCACTTGACACCGTCACCGTAGGTGACACTGTGCCTATCTATGATGCCCTGCCCTGATGATACTATTTCTATCTAGTATTTTCGTAAAGGCGTTCTCAGAATCTCCACTGTTCTCCGTGGGTACCTTCTACCCAGATCCCCACTTTAACTTGAAGCGTTTTCACCATTTCCATGGTTTTCAAAATATAAACGATATTTGATCGAGAGCGCTCTCGGTCATTTCGAAAGTTAGCGGGATCCATGAATGACGCAAGCTCATCAAGGCCAACGTAATAGTGAAGGCGGCTGACTCCGCATCTAGTGTATTTAAATGCACAGGAGCCTGTTGAATTTTCCAACAGAGCCAACAACATCAAATAGTCTTGATTCATTGCTTCAGCGCCCACTGCCAGGCTCAATTGTGTTCCAGCGACATCGAGACAGTTTATTATGCCAATTACAGAATTCGCATCCCTCTCGTTAATCCCCCCTAATACACTTTCCGACCCGCATGTAATAGATCTCTTCTCCAAGGTTTCTTCTTGGCAATCATCCTCTTCAGGTTATCCGTTAACCTTCTTCACAAATCCAGCAGAGCCTGCTGAGATCTACCTGATCACTGGATGGGATGACGTACGCGCTCATGAAAAATGGATAGCCAGCTCCAGAAATCAGGAACTTCTTCAAATTGCGGAGGGTTTCATCAACATTATTGGAATGGTTCACTTGGACCTGGATTTCAATGAATTCCCTGTGGGAGCTGATTCACTAGTTTGCGTGAGGACCACGAGTCAGGGAGTCACGAAGGATGGATCGGAAGAGGCCAAATTAAAGAATGTGGAATCGATGCAGTGTGGTTGGACTGGACACGGGAGGAATGTGGAAGAGGTTGGAGCCGGTGTCTATTATTTCGCGGAAAGTGATGCCCATTTGGACTCGGAGGATGGTGGAAAGGAGGACACAGTGTACAAAAGGATCCAATTGAAGATGGTGAAGTTCACTTGATACGATTAGTGTCTTCCGGGTTAATACTTGTACAAATACCATATATGTTACATGTCATGGCGATGGTTGTGAACAATATAATATGTATTTGTTGGAATCCAAGGAGCGTTTGTTTGGCAACAGCTTCTGATCCAAACAAACACTCTTTATTCGGATAGTGCGTGTTGGACAGGTCACGATGTCAGACACGGTTCCTCAGCCACAGCAAAAATCTCGGGCGCCCCGGAGTCATCGACGTAAACGAGCGAGAGAACAAGACGACGAGAGAGGTGAAGCAAAAGAAACGGCCGTCAAACACGACTATGATAGGACACCGAAGGAACCACGTTCAAAACGCGCAAGAACCAATGGCAAAGGCAAGGAAAAGGATTCTGAACTTGAGCTAGGCGAACTCCCCGATGACTCAAGTAGAACGTTTGAGATCGGTGACGAATTCATACCGTTCGCGGTCAGTGATGATGAAGCAGAAGCACCCAAAAAGGACTCTCATCGCAGTAATGTGGAAATAACAAAAGAGAAAGCGCGGGAACGAGAATGGGACAAAGGGAAACGAGAATCACATGGAGTTGGCTCGCACGATGGAGGTGGCCGGGGAACAAAACGAACATACGAAATGGTATTTGATGATGAAGATTTGCGGGACCACAGAAAACGCCGACAGGACTTTCCTCCCACTTCAAGAAAGGCTCCTTGGATTGCCAAAGTTGACTGGGACAGCTGTCTCAATGTCCCGGAGATGTGCGTTTCGTAACCTTCCTTGAAGTTGTGAGCTGATTTGCCGCAGGTTGCATCGCGAGGTTGAGGCATTCGTTCATTACATGTCACCAACTGAAGTCGAGGAAGAAATTCGAGGACTGGTAATCAATCTCGTTTCGAATGCGATAACAAATGCATTCCCAGATGCCAAGATACTACCCTTTGGAAGCTATGAAACCAAACTATACCTCCCTAATGGGTAAACGTTATATGTGACCTATTGAAGTCTATGCTAATAGTTGCTCAGGGACATAGATCTCGTGATCAATTCAGGTTCGATGGCGTACAGCGATAAAGTGAATGTCCTACGGACGCTTGCCAATGTTATCAAACGCGCGCGGATTGCTTCCAAAGTCACTATCATTGCCAAAGCCAAAGTACCCATCATCAAATTCGTCACGATTTATGGCAGGTTAAACGTTGATATCAGCATAAATCAGGGTAATGGCGTCGCTGCTGGCAATATCGTTAACGGCTTTCTGAACGACATGCGTGGGTGTGGGTTTGCGCTCCGGAGTCTCGTCATCATCGCGAAAGCATTTCTAAATCAGCGGGGGATGAACGAAGTGTATACCGGTGGTCTGGGCAGCTACAGTATTGTCTGTATGGCGGTCAGCTTCCTCCAGATGCATCCCAAGATTCGCAGAGGGGAGATAGATGCAGAGAAGAATCTCGGTGTTTTGGTTATGGAGTTCTTTGAGCTCTATGGTTGCTATTTCAACTATGAGGAAGTAGGAATATCCGTGCGCAATGGGGGCTCATATTTTAGCAAGAGACAGAGAGGATGGTACGATTTCACAAAGAGGAACCTCTTGTCCATTGAGGACCCTACCGATTCTTGTGAGCTAAATCTTTTAAAGTTTTCGCATATGGTTCACAATTACTCCCTTGACCGCTAGCAAATGATATTTCCAAAGGTTCTTACGGAATCGCGAAAGTTCGGCAGACTCTTGCAGGAGCCCACGGAATCATGACATCGATGGCCTTCTTGCGGGCTGGGATCTTAGGTGCACGAAGGGAAGGGCGGACATACCCTTTACGTAGACACAGTGAACCAGAGGATATGAGCATTTTGTCCAGTATACTTGGTGTCACTCAAGAGGTATAGTTCTCTTTATGCTCTCAACGTTCGTTAATCATTACGACAGACTTTAAACAACCGATTATTGATCCAGGAAGTTATGACCAGCGGTTGCTCCATAAGCTGCTCGGAACTTCTCCCAAGCCTCGTATAGTTGTCGCGAACATCCTTGAAACTGCTGCTCATGCCAAATCGTCATTGATTGCAGGCAGCAGCACACGGATCCGGGAGCGTAGCGTGGATATGGTACTCGAATCCGACAATGAGTCGCTACCGCAGGAACCCAGCGATTCCCGTCAAGATAACGACGAACTCGGTAAATACCATATCGAGAGGCGGCGCACAATACAGAAGCATGAACTTGGTCAGTCAGATGAGCAACCCGAATTCACCGCCGACGAAGATGACTCAGTAGATGAGGAAGAAGCGTCCTATGACACGAGTCTAGATGACAGGGCCTCTGGTGATAAAATGCGAAGTATGATGAACAAACGCAGATCATTTTGGCTTTCCAAGGGGGTCGACAGCGTTGATGATAGTAGCTGATGGTGGCATAGTATTACAGTACATCAGAGACATTGAATATTTAGCAAGGTTACGGGTCGGGGCCGAATAAGCTTGAAGTAGACAAAGTATATTTGGAGGATGGAGATGGAGGGAGTTAGAACATCTTGACGGATGATTACTCACACACTGAATCTTGATTTCATGGTCAACCGTTGCTAGCCAGTCGTTGATTGTTTCTCAGTCCCTTGAACTTGGTCATTATTAGTGTTAATCCCATTGACATTTGACGTTCGAACTGGCGCTTGTTCTTGGGTTCCTCGTTCATTTGATTTCGCGGTCACAACGTTTCTACCCGCCATCACTGGAGCTACCAATTGTCCAACTCCCGTTTCAAATATCAATATAGTTTACCCGAACGATGTACGCGGACAACTTTTGGTGTGCCTCTGTGTGCTAACCATGAGACTATAGGGCGACCTCGCGCACGTACCCTCCTCCAGTCAATCTAAAGGAACGTATTGCTGCCCTCCAGCAGAGAAATGTCTCCCCAAGTCAACAGCAAACTTCTCAATTCATTTCAAAGAACCTCCCAAGTAGTGGAACCGGATGTTTGCGCGATAAAATCGCCAAATTTGAGGAGAAGGGAGGCATCCCTGTTCCACGAGGCAGCTTCGGTATGGGTGCACCTCAGTTGGCAGAAAACGCACCAGCAAAGAAGCGTGGAGAGTTGTATGGGAATCGAGTGCAAAACATGGGGAAACCAGGCGGCTCGCCATCGAGTCGCTCTGGCTCACCCCTCCCCACAGTGGACGACTTGCCCTTACCTTTGCCAAGAAAACGTTGTGTCTCTACCGGGGGTACACTCTTGAAAGGCACTCCTCCGAGATTTAAAACTGGGGAACCTGTTCCGCCGCTTCCATCAACACCGTCGCCGATTCTTCCTGTTGCGCGTCGCAACTCCCTAGCAGTTAATTTTGGCCCTGCTCCACGTGTCGTAAGCCTCGGGGAGGTGTCGCGACAGGCAGATAAAGACCCAGAATCACCCTCACCCTCGCCTTCTCTGTCTACTTCTCCTTCGTTGGAAGTAAGAGACCCTGCTGGAATTATAGCCCCGTCCCAGACCCTTGAACCCGTCACCTCCTCGGATGATGCGCTTCCCCAAGATATGGATGCACCACCAGAGGCAGAACAGGAACCAGCGGTACTAGAGATTGGCTTGCAGGCCGACTCTCATTCAGCGCCTGCAATAGCATTGGACATCGTAGCGTCATCTCAGTCCTCGCTAGAAGTCGTAACTGTCGTGGAGGTGACTTCCGCTGCCGAGACTGGTCAGGCTACCGATCCCGAGTTGGACGAGAAGCTTCAATCATCATATCATCACCCACTGTCAATAGATGCGTCCGTGACCGACTCTCAGCCTTCGGAAGCCGCCCTTCCTGACTCGCCTTCAACTATTTCGCATTCGCTCGTCGCCCCCAATTCGGTTACCGAAGATGACCCGGTATTGGCACATCTCCTCACATCTACGGGGTCCGGTGATGCCGATGACAAGGAGAATGACGACGTAGCCACACCATTACTGGCATCTGTATCCCCTCCTGCTGAGGAACGTGGGTCCATCTCTATAATCGTGCATCATCCAAATATCCAAGTACAACCCAGCCTCCCATCACCTGATTTAGAGATAGAGGCTGCTAAACCTGAAGTCAAGCGCTCTTTCACTGCTGTAGTACATCACAAGGTCACAAAAATGCCCGCTGCCACAGCACCGAGTTCTTCCCTTTCCACACCTATGACACCACAAGCTGCGCGAGTGCGACAGACAGGAATCACTATCACCACCGAGTCGCTTTCGAGTCCGGGCTATGGGGAACTCGCTGTCCTACTAGAAGAAGCAGCATTGCTTGAGATGAAACTAACCGAGGGTGGTGGTTCAGAGGCAGTAGAAGCTGCGCTTCCCAAAACCCCAACCTTGGACACTTTCGCAACTGACATTCGGTCTGTATCTTCTTCAACACTCACAGAACACGTCAAAGCTCCATCCACGGAAACTGCCTCCCTTTCAGAGCGTTCTATGTCTATCCCATCCATCCGAGAACCTAACATGGATGGGGACATTCCCGAGGAGGACGAGGGTGACGGGAGGAGTCTGGCTTCTACATCTGCGTCACAACAATCTCCTTCACATAAGAGATATCTCTCGAGTATTAGGCGACTGGCTACTCGTCGTTCGTCGAACCATATGCCCGGGGCGTACCCTCGGGATAGTATTTCGACATGCTCTGAGGACTCCGTTCCGGTCGCGACACCATCTGATCATGGAGATGGATCAGGTTTTGGTATTGCATGGCCAAGCGTATCTCCGAAGAAAGGCAGCATAGGAAAGTCTAGCTCGTTTGCGGACAAATTGTTCAACCGCAACAGAACCAAGTCGAACGTCAGCATAGTGGAGACAGGTGTGTAAGCTGTTTAGAAGAAACGCTTCGCATGGACTAAATTATTGTATGCCGTCCCTCAAGACCAAGGCTCGATATATAACTCGCCGAAGAGGTCGTTTATATTATCCCAACCCCCGACCTCATCCCCAGCTAAAAGCTCTCCAGGTCGTCATGCCAATGAATTGTCCGGCTCTCGTCCATCACACTGGATAGTCTCCCGGGACTCGTCATCTTCTCGTGCTCCCAGTATCCTTGAGAAGGAAATCTTTGATGAATTTCCCTCTGTTCCACAGACACTTCCTCCGGGACCGCTTCACCTGTCTCCAGATCTTTCGGGAGCTGCAGTTCGTCACGTGTCAACTCTCCCAGTCAAGGTTCGGAAACACTCGCAACAAGGGTTATCCATAGTTTGACCTGCTTCATCTTGAGTACCGAAGGAGATAGCTAGCCTCTCTCATATGTTTGTTTTCGTTGGCCTTCTTGCTATCTTTCAGCATCGTTTCAAATTGACATATAATTTTGCTAGTAAATTTGAGTGTGCATAGTCTTTATATGCTTCAATATTAATATCGTAACGACGCCAGCCCGGACTCTGACTTATTCCTGGCATGTTTTGTAACCATCGAATTGAATGCAAACTAGTCATTTCATTTCAATTGGTGCTGTGTGATTCTACCAACAATGCACGATGTTCTTTAAAGCGCCGCCCAGCGACGGTATATGTACTGATTATGGGAACTCAGGTAGGCCGGTGTGCTTACAACTTCATGTCCATCTGGACCGATGATAATTGAATAGTAAATTGTGTGTCGAAGCCTGCTCAAGAACCCTTTTTCCTTTCACTACGCCTAATTTGGGAACCAGTTTCTCGATTGCCCGTTATGGAGCAAAACCCGTCATTCAGAACAAAAGCAAAATTGTGTTAAGCTCTACCTTAATCCTTCACTTATGATTGTCCCCTTCGGGGTGACATACGAAAAATTGGAACGATACAGAGAAGATTAGCATGGCCCCTGCACAAGGATGACACGCTTTCCCGGAGTGGTAGACCTACGGGTCTCAATATTTATTGCTCTTTTTTTCTTGAAATCAGGATAATGTAATAATTGACTACTTGAAAGTTTTTTACAGCATTGAGTTCATTCATCGGATCGTGCTCTCCAAGCTCGTAATGACATTAATGTAGCTTGAATGTAGCCACTCTTTGATTGACCTTGTTTATCATCATCTTATTCTTCAAAAGCACCACGATGGATTCAGTTGTTCTCGAAACCAGTCTCGGAGATATTCAGCTTGAATTATACTGGAATCATGCCCCTCGGGTGGGTTTATTCTATTGTTTTTGTGCATTTACTTTGACTGAACTGATCAAGACATCTCATCCTAGACGTGTCAGAACTTTGCTGAGCTTGCAAAACGCGGTTACTACAACGGTATCGTGTTTCATCGAATTATCGCCGTCAGTTCAGCTTTTTTTTCTACGGCAAACGCATCTATATTCACGATTGGTTGTACTTGCAGGATTTCATGATTCAAGGTGGTGATCCAACTGGAACTGGTCGAGGCGGAACGAGCATTTACGGTCAGAAATTGTACGTCCATCGTAATTTTTTTCCTTCAAACGCGAACATATGACATGTGCCCAGCGAGGATGAAATACATCCAGAACTACGCTTTACGGGTGCAGGAATCCTTGCAATGGCGAACTCGGGACCCAATACAAACGGTTAGATAGCCGCTTTTTATATATTCCTGTTTGGAATACAAAGCCCGCTTTTAGGATCTCAATTCTTCATCTCGTTGGCGCCCACGCCCTACCTGGACGGTAAACACACCATTTTCGGTCGGGTGAGCTCAGGCATGCGTGTCGTGCAGAGACTAGGTGCCGTTGCAGTTGATGCTCAGGATCGGTAAGTCGTTGTGCGTCAGGATTTTCAGAGATACTTGACCGCTTGTTAGACCAAGAGAAGATGTGAAGATACATAAAGCTCGGACGATGTGATTGCCCTCGAGCAGCGTGCTGGAAGTCTGTGCTTCTCTTCTACGTAGGTCTCTTATCTTGAACAAGTGTTCTTGCAGAAGTCCAGTCTTACGTGGAATGTTCTATTTTGTTCCAGACTCTCGTGGTTCAGGCCCAGGCTTGATTATACTTGAAGTGGCAGCTCAAATGATCTTATTTTACAAATATATAACATGATTGCTGTCAACTTGAACCGACCAGAGTCCTGACATTGTCACACCATCCATCCAGGAAGTGCCATTATATTGACAATGATGACACCAACATAATAGCATCTGACATCCAACTTCAATGCGCGACAAATTTGAAGTGCGCATGTATGTTGAACTTTACTTTAACACTCACTCAAGGCCATTATCGATGAAGTCACCAATAACTACGCTTGATAAGGAGAGGGTTAGATCTAGACACCGGTCAATATGTATATTATCAAAAATATTCATAAACGTGCATGCGTGACGTGACGCGCATATAGCCCCCGTGACAGAACGCGCCCGGACATCAAAAGTGCGAGAAAGGTCTGGCTGACAGAGTCTGCTGATGCAGTCTTGACAGTAATCTTAAGGATTACTACATCTCCCATTACTGCACCTTGTTGAACAGCGATCATCCGGACTATTTGGCACTTCCCCGATGCTATCTGAGCGCATCCTCCCGACACGTAGAGCGGCAAAGCAGGCTTCTGCTGTATTCGCAAACCAACTCGATTCACCAGGCCACTCTGATGACGAGCCAGAGCCCTCAGACTCATTTGGGGGGCCTCCGTCGCGTAGACAGCCTAATGTGAAATATCGCTATAACGCCAAGGGCAAATTCCGCGCTTCCCCGCTAAAGCAGGCAGACAACTCATCACCATCCCCAAAGCGTCAGCCCAAACCAAAGCCCAAGGCTAAACCAAAGCCTGTGATACCCACACACTCCCAGCCATCTGCGCGTTCGAAGAAACGCAAGGCCCCAGCTTCTGAATCTGGTTCGGATAGGGAAGGCACAGTAAGCACTCTTACAACCCTGTCGCCCTCACCATTTTCGAGCGTTCCTACAAGTCCGTTAATCTCAACCACGGATCTCCCACCAGTTTCTATAACGAGTCATTCTACCCCACCGCCTCAGAAGAGTAGGGTTAGGGGTGGTTCCACGCGCTCTCTTGGCGTGTCCAGTTCTAGCTTCTCACATCCCCGGAACCAAACTTCCCCAAGGAAAAGGAAGGCAGGCAGGGAAAACTTATCTGACCGGGGCCATGGCTTCGGCGACGTCGATACTCTAGTTTGGGTTCTAGTAAACGACTTAGGGGTCATTGCTACCTCGGTCCCGCATGAGGACGATGATGTCGAGCTTCTCGAAAACCGCATGTGGTGGCCTGCCAGGGTGAGCATTCCCTGACATGCTGAAAATGTCTCAATTCAAACATGCAAATGTTTAGGTCGTTCAAAAACAACCGCTCCGCGTGACCCTCTTTGGCGATTTGGCATCATCTCGAGAACCTGCGACAATTCCATCTCCATCCGAATACATCATCCAGCCTATTCATAACATATCTGGTGCAAAGCGTTTCTCCCAAACAACTTTTCAGGTCCCATGTCTCGCCGCATCTGGATCCTCGAATCCTTCCCCTCGCAAGAAAACCAAGACGGACATATGCGAGACATGGGAGGCAGCAGTGAAAGCTATGGAGGATGCAGATGGACTCAAGCGTGATGGCATGCCTGAGATGATTTCCGCGTACACTGGCGAGACATTTTCTTCAGAAGAAGACGACGTAGAAGAACTACGTTCAACCAAAAAAGCCAAGGTTTTGCCTCGTGCTGAGACTCCTACAGAGCACGCTTGGTCTCCCCCGCCTCCGGACCCTATGCTCCAAATACCAGGCGAGCTTGTTCTAGCGCAGGCACTACGGACGAGAAGTAATAAATATTGGCCCGCTCAGCTTATAGCATACATTCCACCAACCAAGCCGAGCGGGAAGGAACGCTATCGGGCCAAGTTTCTGGACGAACAAGAGTACAACCTCACCCGGGATAAATTCTGGACCTCTGAGGAAGAAGGCTTTGTTATGTGTGACTTGGGCGAGTTTGAAAGCGCCGTCCAAGACACTGAGGCTCCGGACTCGGAAGATGAACTGGAAGATAGGAAGCAGAGCCCTAGTCCAAAGTTGACCGACCCGCCTCCTAGCGCAGATGCTTTTGCTGAGTTGTCGATGCATGCGCAGCTGGCATACGTGAAGCCCGTACTGATCGCCATACTACAAGGGAAATACACCCCGGCATTCAAGAGCCATGAGGCTTTTATGCGGGGAGGTGCGGCTAGATCCAGTTTAATGAAGCGGGCGGCAGTAAGAGGAGGTCTGGACCCAAATGAGGTAAAGCAGTCGCAAAAACTGATTGCACGGTGGGCACTTGGAGAAGAGTACGCCCGCGGGGCCAAACCTGAAGCAGCGGTGGGGCTACACCCGAAGCAAGATAGCACACTCTGTCCAACTACTTTGGAAACCAATGGCGATGGGGTGGCAGACGCTGGTGTCGGAAGCGAGATAGCTGTAAATTCCAACAGCGCGGCCTACGACATTTATCAGCCTCTACCTCCCAGTGATATTCGCAATCAGGTCTACGACACTGAGGTAATGGCAGTTGCCAGGTCTGATACTGTAAAAGCAGATGAGACATCTGCAACCTCCGACGCCGTGGTCCACAGTGATATTTCTCAGCTAATACCTCCCGGTGACAATAGCAATCAGGTTGACGACCCCAATGCAATGTCACTTGACGAGTCACCTGACAATATACCCGCAATTTCCGATAGCGTGAGTCACGACGTACTCTCTCAGCCCATACCTCCCAGCGGCACTGGCAATAAGCTTGATGACGATGCCATAACAGCCGACAAGCCTAGCGAGGTCGGCTCTTTATATTATACATTTGCTTTTTTTGTATTGATGTTTTCGCATAGGCTAATGATCCCTCAGAGCCGAAGACGATTGATCTGCCTTCTTCGCCAAAGGAGGCCATTACAGAGCAGGTGAGACCTATCGCAGTCCCCTATGTTTCCTCAATCAGATATTCACCCTTGATTGCAGCCAGATCCTAGCAATCACTCTGACTTGCCGCATGCTGGGGAGGTAGGCTAGCTCTATCGCACCCGCCGCCCAGGGTTATTCATCAATTCTACAGCTTGACCATGTGCCTGCACAGGACCAACAGCTGCCAGTTGGCTCACAGGAACATGAATCATTATCGACCCTCGATAAACTTGATGTGTGTCTTATGCTCTGTGATAACCATTTGTCACTAATCGAAATTTCGTTCACTCACTGGTAATAAGATTGATAACACTGCCTATAATAGTCGATAAGCCTAACCAGGTCGACTCTTTATATTTTACCTTTGCACATTTCTTGTGTTGACGTTTTTGCACAGGCTGACGATTCCTCAGAGCCTCATCTGCCTCCTACGCCAAAGGAGGTCATTGCAGATCGGGTAAGTTTTATCGCAGTCTCTCAAGCTCCCTAAACCAGATGCTCACCTTTGATTGCAGCCGGATTCTAGCGATCACTCTAGCTTGTCGCACGCTGGGGAGGTAGGCTAAGCTATTTCGCACCCGCCACCCGCGGTCATTCATCATTTCTACAGATTGATCCTGTGCCTGCACAGGATCAACAGCTGCCAGTTGGCTCCCAGGAGTATGAATCATTATCGACCCTCGATAAACTTGATGTGCGTCTTATGTCCTGTAATAACCATTTTTCACTGATTAAACATGGTTCACCCGCAGTACTGCGTGAACATTTTGCTCCCCGAGGCAATCCAGCAGCTACTCCTGTGGCGGTCGGGTGAACGCACTACAGCTGCTCTTCTCTCTCACTCAGAGGAAGAAAGGCTGCATGAGCGCGGTTCAGCAAAGGCGCAAGAAACAGACTGGGTATTTGACTTGCTCCGCCTGAGGGAGGCACAAGCGCGATTGTGGGGCGTAGATCTGAAGGGAAAAGACAAAACGAAGAATAAAGTAGGCGAAGCAAGGGGTGGGACACGTTCGCGCCCTCGCAAGACTACTGTGCCACGATGAGGAACTTCAAGAAACATCTTGCTTAAGCTCGTTCGGAACGTATAGATGTAGTTTCGACATAGTATTCCGTGTTGATCTGGGAGCTGTACATTTTCTCGATTCTAGGACATATTGATTTTGCTGCTTTCCTTAGGTGCGCGTGTATATCAGTCCGGTAGATTATACTTCAGACTTTCTGGAAAGGTACAGTGACCGATGCTGATATTGTGTAGCTACAATATACCATTTTCTATTCGCCACTGCAAAGCGCCAGTCGGAACCAAAGCTTCGAAGCCAAGCAGCTGCTGGTTTCCTGTGATCAGAATCTGAAAGTGAACTTCGAAAAACATTATAATCGATGAAAAAAATAAGTCTACCAGCAGGCCGCTTTATCATTCAGCATGAAAGTAGTCCATATTACTGCCCGCGAGTTCCAATATTTAGCCAGATTGATCGTTGAAAAGAATCTTAACAAATTCGGGACAAGCTGGGTTCCGCACGGTGCGGTGGCTGGCCGCTGAGGTCAAATTGTACACATACACTTCCAGATATTGTACCTACATACGCTCCTCTGCGTCCTTGTAAAGTGGAGCATTGACTGTTTTACCACTAGGCCCTGGTCTATGCCACCTACGACATCATCTAATTCTTGGCTTACCGCACGCCGTTTCGGAATAGTTATTGACGCTGGCTCGTCGGGTTCAAGGCTTCAGATATACAGCTGGGAAGATCCCAACGTCGTGCTTAGCGAGCAAGGAGATAATGTACGGGATAAATTGCCCAAGGTAGAGAAGGGCGTCCAGGAAGGAGATGATTGGATAATGAAGGCTGAACCAGGTATGTACACGTCTATTATTCTACTCATAGCATTTAACTAGTTTTGTCACGTAGGCCTTTCTACATTCGCAGACAACCCAGAGGGCGTATACGAATACCTTGCGCCTCTACTTAAACATGCGCGCTCTCAAATACCTCCTTCCCTCGAATCCGAAACTCCACTTTTCCTCCTCGCTACCGCTGGTATGCGCCTTTTGACACCGGTGCAACAGGCGCGCGTGCTCAGTGCGACATGTAGGTATCTCAAAAGCGCCTCGAGCTTCCGGATAGACGACGAATCGAAAGACGGTCCGTGTGGGTCCAGTGTACGAATTATCACTGGCGAGGAAGAAGGCTTGTACGGATGGATAGCAGTGAACTATCTCATGGATGGGTTTTATGGAAAGGATAACAAGACGACCTATGGTTTTCTGGACATGGGAGGCGCTTCGACCCAGATAGCCTTTGAGCCATCTGACACGCTATCGGGAGACAAGGAGAACCTGGTCGATGTCCGGTTACGACTACTTGGCGGAGACGAAGTCAACCACTCGGTATTTGTCACTACATGGTTAGGCTATGGCACCAACCAGGCACGGGAGCGTTATGTTGCGAAAACCGTTGAGCATTTCAAAGAGACTTGGCTCGAGACGTCAGAATCGCCATCCATACCTGACCCGTGCCTCCCAAAAGATCTGATACTTTCCGAAACATTTCCTCAGATTGATGGGTCACATTCAACACATCGACTTGCTGGGACGGGCTCTTTCACCCAGTGTCTGGATCGTACTGCTTCTCTCCTCAACAAAAATGCGCCATGCAGTACTGCTCCATGCCTTTTCGATGGAGTGCATGTTCCTGCGATCAACTTTGCTTCGTCCCATTTCATTGGTGTTTCCGAATACTGGTATTCATCTGAACATGTCTTCGGGCTCGGTGGCCCGTATGATTATGTGCAGTACGAGCGCGCTGCGACGCAGTTCTGCAGTAGGGATTGGAGTGGTATAGTCGAACAACACGAGCTGTCGAGAGCGCAGGGTATACGAGGCGGCGATGGGGAAGTTATGGAAAACGGAGAGGTCATGGAGGTTGGGAAGTGGGAGAAGAATGTGGAGCTTCCGAGGTTGCAGATGCAGTGCTTCAAGGCTGCTTGGATCGCCAATGTGCTACATGAAGGAATTGGAATTCCTCGGATAGTAGACCCGGAAGGAAACTCTACCACGGTCGGAGAACAAGTGGCACAACAAGCTGAAGCGAAGGGTTTGGGAAGACCTATGTTTCAATCTATCGACTCTGTCGGAGACATCGCCATTAGCTGGACACTGGGTAAAATGGTATTAGAAGCAAGCAAGGAAGTCAAACCGTCTTCAAGCAGCAGTAGGCCACTGGCTGATCCTATAGACGATATTCCTGCTAGTACACCCAACCCACCTATCAAACCCATTCGACCGTTCTGGGATCTCGACCAGTTGTTGGAAGAGCATGTTTCCCCACATCTGCCGGCATCTTTGACACGCGAGTCTCTGGGATTTTCACCCATTACTATACTCTTCTACGGCATTGTCCTGATTGCGGTGAGCTGCATAGTTTTCCGCCTACGACATCCATTACGCGTTATTCGGAGGCGCTTCTTACGAGGCTCGTTTAAACGTGACTTGCATGGAGCCTACGCGATGGAGGAAGGAATAGGGATAACACGTCCTCCGTCGCCTTCAAATTCCTCGTTTCTACCCCCTTCCCTGTTACGACCTCTGCGCCGCCTCGTCTCCTCATCGACCTCATCATCACGTCGTCCGCGTTTGCCTCCCATCTCTACCTCACTTCAACCTCCGTTGATTCGACACTCTCAAGCCTCAACACCATCGCCGCCTCCGTATCACAATGCTTCAGACGGCTTTAGCACGTCAACCTCTACATCGCATTCTCACTCTCGTGCTTCGTCACCCACGACTACGACCGCTCCAGACGACACGATAATGACGAGCAGCAGGTCTTCGATTCCTTACATCAACCCACGTTCGCGAAATTCATCGCATATGAACTTGACATTGTTTCCAAGGCAGACACTTTCTCGTGCAAATAGCGTATTACAGCTACCCGATGAATGAACTGACATTGATTGGATTACTGAGTACTATTACTGCAGTCGTGGATATCTTATTACTTGGGATGTGGGTGGTATAATTTATACGTCGTGATGTACTTATAGCTAGTCTGTCTAGCTAGTCGTGAATGAACTTTGTTCTTCCAATGCTGTGACTCGTGAGCATTACTGCGCGGGTACGGTCTATTGCTTGGCCATTTTTAACCCCTCAGCCAATGAGGCTCCGGCGTGTGCTAATCGATATCAAACATACACAAACAAAGGCGGGCGGTGTCACAGTTATGTCGCTCATCATGCACTGAGTCCGTCCTTCCAATAAATACCATCGCTTTTTGAGCACTGCTGCACCACTATTTACATCGAACAATGAGGTTTTCCGATGGACCTCCTTTGACCCGACCAAGCTATCTAGCTGCTTCTGAATCGATAACGTTCCAGTATGAATATAATCTGACCAATCGATAACAGGTGCTTCCAAACGCATGGCCATCGTATATTAAATAATACTCGTTGCAGATATGCAGCAGACGTGCGTATATGTTTGGTTTTACCCACCACATCCCTCATTCCATTCAAAACCTCTTAACACGCACACTCAGCTATCCATCCCACTCTCTCGATGAATGAAAACAATCCCTCTCGAAAGACCCCCTGGAGATGGTTGAAGCCATGTCATTCAGACCCTCATTTGGCACAGGAGAGAAGCAGGAGGGCAGCCAGTCGAGATGTATGGACTTTCGTCTTTAGAACTATCGTTTGTTTCTGATGATTACAGCCGTCCTCTCTCCCTGCTTCAAGGCATGGGTCTACTGAACGATCTTCGGGCTTCGTTTCCAAGTTCGTCAGCAAAGCGACCAAGCGCTTCGGTCGAGGCGCTAGACAGTCTCCCAACCCTGAACCCACAGCTGCAAGTTCCAGCTCACAGGACATCCAACATGTTCAATCAAACAAGGTACGTGCAAGCTCAGCACTGAGCGTGCCTTGTGTGTGCTATGATCGCTACTCATCACCTCGACGGGATCTCACCGTCCCTATACCCGAACCAAATCCTCAGCAGTCTTCCAATTCTGGTGTTGCAGAAGTAAGTTTTACAAATGTAGTTCACAATATTCTGATCTGTCTTTTTCGATGATATGCGATCAGGCCGAGCATCTTGACCCGAAATTTGTGAACGAAAGAATTGCTGAAGCTACGAAAGGTGTTGCAGGCATCGGCCAGGTCCCAACAATAGTCCAGGGTGCTTCTTCTGCGATCAACGAGCTACCATCTGTTTCTACTACAATCGATACCACAATCGACAACTTCTCCGCGTTTCTTCGACCCTTGAAGGCGTTCAACACCATCGCCAACTCTATTGCAAATGTACAGCCAACCTATCTCTCTTCTGCACGCAACTGACAATCATACGCAGGTCCATCCCTACGCGAAGGTCGCATTGAGTATCTTCACTTGCGCGTCCAAGGTAGGCTTCTTCCTCGATCATTGGTGTTGCAGGTCTACAAAGTTTCGGTTACAGATGATTCTCGATCAGGCAGAACGTGATGTCGCCGTTTCTACTCTACTCTCAAAAATATCTGAAGTCTATACATTCATCACGGAAGAGGAGGAATTGGCCAAGATTGAATCTATGGTAGCGATATATGAGAAGATAGCGCACCAGACTTTAGAGTGCGCTGATTTTATTAGCCATTACTCTCAGACGAAGAGCGCTTGTGAGTAAATCCCACTGCTTCGTTGCCTAGGACTCAATGATGCCTGTTTGCATAGGGAAAAGGCTCGGCAAGCACATTCGTGACGAAACGGATGCAACAATTCAGAGCTACAACAACGTTCTCGATGGTCTCATGCAGCAATTCCGAGACAGGGCGGCTCGCGACACCGTTGTAATCGTCCGCCATATGGGTAAGAGATGTTTTCAAGTCTCTTTGAGCCTCATCTGACATTCCATGATCGTTGGCATAGCTGAGAGTCTGGACCTCGTAGGGATGGAGTCCGTGGCGGGCGCCGGATTGAATCCGTCCAAATGTTGTTTGCCAAACACTCGGCAAGACCTTCTGAGTGATATTCAGAATTGGATCAACAGCACTGAGGAGGGCGCTCCACGCGTGTTTTGGTTGTCTGGCACAGCAGGCAAGGGTAAATCGGCCGTTGCCCATACAATAGCGAGGTGGTATATCGAAAACGGTGGTCTTGGCTCTTGCTTCTGCTTCCATCGTACTCAGCAAGCGGATAGACGTAAGGACAAAATGTTCACGACCGTCGCAAGGGAATTGGGGGACTGCAACCCTATCGTGCGACGAGCCTTGGCGCAGGCAGTTCGTGATGACGACGGACTCAAGCGCACACCAGACATTGCAAAACAATGGCAGGAACTCATCATCGGACCGATAAGCATAGCCTCAAAAGCGATAGCTGCACCAGTCCTGATTGTCATTGATGCATTGGACGAGAGCGGGGAAGCTAATTCTCGAGAACAGATTCTTTGTCTGCTCGCTAGCAAACTGAACACTTCCACCTCACAACTATCTGAACTCCCAGCCAACTTCCGCATTCTCCTCACTTCCCGCCCACTCGAAGACATTCATAACACTCTGCATGCCGTCCCACATGTTCGCCATTTTTCCTTGGATAACGTCCCATCTGAATCCACAAAGCTAGACATTCAGCTTTACATCTCCCACAAGCTGGAAGACCTGCGCTTGCGTCGCGTCCTCAACGATGCGCACTTCAAGGATCTCGCTCTGAAATCTGACGGCCTGTTTGAATGGGCTCGTCTCGCCTGTGAGTACATCAAGGGTACGAACAAAGTGAGCGTGGGTCCGGTGGGCCGTTGCAATGCTGTGCTTGGTGGAACGTCTGAAAAGGGAACACGTCTGTTGGATATCATGTATGCACGCATCTTGGAAGAAATCATGCCCGACGACGAGCGTGGGGAAGCTATCCCGGTGTTTTGCTCAGTGATGGGGCAAATCCTTGCCTCGTTGGAACCACTCTCCATGCCTGCATTGATCGCCATGCGATTGCATTTTCCCGAAGGGACTTGCGATTATGAAATGGACCGGGTCCTTGGGCCACTGGGGTCCCTTTTGACCGGCACCTCAGATTCCGATACTCCCATAAGTCCCCTCCACGCATCCTTCTATGACTTTCTCGCAGACAAATCACGGAGTCATGTCTTCTTCGTTGATGCATCAGCGGTACAAGGAGATCTTGCCTTTGCCTCGCTTCGGGTTATGGACTCAAAGCGCGGGCTTCGCTTCAACATCTGCTCCTTGGAGAATTCGTACTTGCCCAACTCTTCCGTCCCCGATTTGGAGAAACGAGTCAAAGAATCCATTTCGGCTGAGCTATCATACTCATGTCGATTTTGGGGGACTCATGTCGGTTCTGCATCCTTCGAATCATCGCTCGCTAAGGAAGTTGAAGCGTTCTTCGATGGAGAGCGCCTCCTTTGGTGGTTGGAAGCACTGGCTCTGATGAAAAGCCTCAGTGTCTCGGTAGTGACCCTCTCATCCATTGAAAAATGGTTTTCGGTGCGTAGCTCAGGCTCATTCCTCTTTAAACGAATTCTTACGAGTAGTGGGGTGGTCGCAGGGTCATGCCGAGTTCGCACATGTCAGTCACGCTACCAGGGATACCCTGCGTTTCGTCCGAACTTTCGCAACCACCATTTTACGCAGCACTCCGCATTTATACTTGTCCGCTCTGCCGTTCGCTCCGAAACAGTCGAGAATGTTTTGCAAATTCGCCTCGAAGTTTCCTCGCACCCCTCGCATTGCTTCTGGCCATGTCGAGAATTGGCCTCAGATGGAAAAGATACTCTACGCAAATCACGAGGTCGATTCGGTTGCACTATCGCCAGACGGAAAACGCATCGCGTGTGGTTTAGGTGATGGGACGATCCAGGTGTGGGATATCGATACTGGCGAGGCATTGTGTGCCCCTCTTCGAGGCCACACCAGCTGGGTTATGTCTGTCGCATTCTCACCGGATGGACATCGCATCGTTTCAGGTTCATTTGACAAAACAGTCCGGGTGTGGGACGCGAAGATTGGCGAGGCATTAGGATCTCCTCTATACCACGATGGCGATGTTTGGTCTGTTGCAGTATCACCGGATGGTAAACGCATCGTGTCTGGTTCGGCCGACAAGACAATTCGGGTATGGGGCATGGAGACTGGCGAGGCATTTCGTGCCCCACTTCAAGGCCACACGGATATGGTTTGTTCTGTCACAATCTCACCGGTTGGGAAACATATCGTGTCTGGCTCAAGAGACAAGACGATTCGAATATGGGATATGGAGACCAGCGAGGCATTGGGCACCCCTCTTCAGGGCCACATCAAGGCTGTTTACTCTGTCGCAATCTCCCCTGATGGCAGACGCATCATGTCTGGGTCAGGTGACGAGACGATTTGGGTGTGGGATTTGGAGACTGGCGAGGCATTAGGTGCCCCCCTCAGAGGCCACACTGACTCTGTTATGTCGGTTGCAATCTTGCCAGATGGTAATCATATCGTGACTAGTTCGGCTGACAAGACAATCCGAGTGTGGAATGCAAAGAATGGCGAGGCAGTAGGATCCCCACTCCAAGGCCACACTGAGGATGTTTGGTCTGTCGCAATCTCCCTGGATGGAAGTCGCATAGTCTCTGGTTCATATGACGGGACAATTCGGGTGTGGGATGCCGACACCATTATGAGCAAGGCATCGGTTGCCGCCCTCGAATGCCATACTGACCATGTTAACTCGGTTGCAATCTCGCCGGATGGATGTTCCATCGTGTCTGGCTCGCATGATGAGACAGTTCGGGTGTGGGATATACGGACTGGCGAGGCATTGGTTGCCCCTCTTCAAGGGCACACTAGTTCTGTTCTGTCAGTCGCAATTTCGCAGGACGGGAAGCGCATCGTGTCTGGTTCAGCTGACAAGAGCATCCGCATGTGGAATGCGAAAACTGGGGAAGCATCTGGTGTTCTCCAAGGTCACACTCAAGGTGTTATGTCTGTCGCAATCTCACCGGACAGAAATCATGTCGTGTCTGGTTCAGATGACAAGACAATCCGGGTGTGGGATATTGAAACTGGCAAGGCATATACTCTCAGTGGGCACTCTGACAGGGTTCGGTCTGTCGCAATCTCATCGGGTGGAAATCGCATAGTGTCAGGTTCACATGACAAGACAATTCAGATGTGGGATATGGGCAATAGCAAGTCGTTCAGTGCCCCTCTCAAAGGCCACACTTATTCAGTACTCTCTGTTGCAATCTCGCCAGATGCATGTCACATTGTATCTGGCTCAGCGGACAAGACTATCTGTGTGTGGGATATGGGGACTGGCGAGCTATTGACTGCCCCTCTTCAAGGCCACACTTGCAATGTTAACACTGTTTCAATCTCCTCAGACGGTAATCGCATCGCGTCTGGCTCGGACGACAAGACCGTCCTGGTTTGGGATATGAAGACTGGCAAGGCAGTGGGTCCCCCTTTTCGAGGGCACACTGCACCCGTTCTGTCTGTCGCGATCTCACCTGATGGCAAATGCATCGTGTCTGGGTCAAGAGACAAGACCATCCGGGTGTGGGATGCAGAATTCCTGAACCAGCCCCAATCATTTGAAGCACCTGCAATATGTTTTTCATCCGAGCCGACTCATGCCCTTCATTCCCCCTCCTCCTTTCTCCAAGATTCTAAAACCCCAGCCCCATCCTGCACAAACGAGGAGGGATGGGTTGTAGGTCACGACGGACGGCTGCTCCTCTGGGTCCCACTCAATTTCTACCCTGGCACAATGCATCATATGTATGCCCCAGGCAACACGCTGGTGATTCCTAGCAATACCCCACAGCTGGACTTGAGTCGTGTCGCACACGGCACATCATGGCACAAGTGTCACGACCAGTAGGTAGTATCTGTCAGATGGACTTTGGGCATGTACCTATGTTGATTGACTGAAGATCTGTGCGCATTCTACAGATTTCATATGATCCTTGTTTGCACTCCATTTGTTACGTTCTGCTACTCAATGCGCTCCCTCTCGCAAGTTTCATTCGCTACGTTTACATACATGCTGTCCTCCTGTCACTACTATATTTTCTAGAATTACTTCCCAGTTTACTTCCTGCAGGACGAAGTGCGCAAGTCAGAATTAGAACCATCAGTTGACAAAGGTCACTTGGCGTCATCCAACACCATCCTCTCTTTGTCAGACTCCATTGCCTGCCGATCCAAATAGATATCTCGCCGTAATAACATTCTTCAATCCTCGAAGTCGTGCCCACCGGCATGCATGGTGGCGCTATACAGCCACCCGAACAATATTATGAATACTGATCGCAGCTGTGCATCCGTAGTCAGCCTCTCCTAAGGATTTCAAGGAGTACCTCACTTACGATGCACATTTACGGGAGGAAGGATCGGTGGGTGATCGAAGGAGGGCAGGCAAAGAGGCCGCGTGTGGAAGTTGAACGTTGAGGGATGGTTTAAACATCGACTAGGGCTTAGAGGTTTATTCCTGCAATGTCGTATGTTAGGACGATGTATAGAGCTGCGAGATAAGACCAATCTCCGTCGCACATAACGTTCGAATACCTTCATGATGCTTTGAGGCGCCTGTTGCAAAGGATTTGTGTCTGTAACGGTTAGCCAGTTAGCAATGTGTCGTGATGCTGGCTTGATAAGTTGCGGGAGCAGAGGGATAGCAAGGTGGATAGCATATTCGATTGATGCGAGGGCACGCTGTGGTAAACCTAGACCGCATATAGACAGTAAAAGTTCGGAGGGAAAAGGAGCAACGCGTCATCGTCGCTATGATGCGAACTATAAAAATTACTGGGAGTGCATCGTCAGCCTCTGTGCACTTTGACTGGGAGCGATAGTAAAAGGCTGCTTACATAGGTAGGTTGTGCTGCTGCACAGCGGCACTGCAAGAACGCAAATTATATGGATGAGTGAGTGAGATGAGCTCCTGCTGACAGTTGGTAAGTAACGAGCGCGCGAGTCAGAGAGAACTTGCCTTATCGCAATATTTAGAGGCTTGTCTAGCCACTGGGGATGAAGTGTCTGTTGGAATCGGTTGAAACACCTACAAGTGGTAGCATTAAGAACGCAAACAGCACCTGATGGTACCGCGTTGAATTGTCGCGAATCCACATTGACGTTCAGAATAGTGGGCGATGAGAATGATGATCATTCAACTAATGGGAGGAAGGCCTGGGATGGTTGAGTAGAGGACATGCCTGTGGACGGGTCGATTGAAGTTCTATCTGCGTGGCGCGTTTGATATATGGATGCCAACGCGAGCCAACTGTTCTTACTAAGGTGGTGTAAGTCTATTCTTAGACTTACTGATCGCGAGGACCCGAGGTGTATCATATTTGGTGTGTGTCCGTATTTTGGTTCGTGCTTGCTGAACGACTTGCGTGCGCAGACGCTTTTAGGTGAGTATATGTCCTTTGCCCTTGCAGGAATACACTTCTACGTATATTTATGTTCGTCTTTGACTACATCGAATATGTGAAGAACCAACCGCACATGCACCTGGCTACCATCCAATTTCTTCAAGGTTTCTGCACCACTCTAACAGCCATCTCCTTCTCCAGCCACATCTCCTTCAGCACGCTGCACATTCTCTACACGATCACCTTCCTGGCATATTGTATTCACCACCGCCTCTCTGATATTCTGGCAGCAGTTAACGACAACCGACTCCTCAAGCTGTCGACCCTCATGAACATGTACTCGTCACATTTTGATCATCGCTGAGGCTGGAACGTTGGGATGTAGTCTTTGGATGCTCGCTGATGATCGGTTTTTTCTCCCTTTTCCGTCTTACGCAAAGACACGTCTCTTTGTCTTGATGCCTCTCACATACACATCGCACAACTTTGATTGTATCAGGACCTCAACACTCGCTTAGAACTACAACATGTCTTTACATCTTGCAAATTAATGATATATTCAGTTTAACAGGCCAGGGGCAGAACTGATCAAATGCGTTCTGAACACATGCAAAATGCCCAAGTCCCATCATGCTAGGTCGGGGATCGTCGATACCCATCACCACCAGTAGGGGGTTGATACATAGTGAACAATCTTGCTAAATTTCGTGTAGATTTTGCAAAGATCGCGTATTTGAACTTGAATTACAAAAGTCAGTCGATCGAACGTTGGACCTTGGCGGGTTGAAAACACCACTGGCCAGGAGCGTATACATGCGAGATGTCGATCATTCTTGACGTCGAGAGGTTTCACAACACGATGGTATTTGGCCTAAGAGTTGATGTCACAACTCTTCAGATTGCGGAGCCGGAAGCACATGTACTAAGCCGCCTGCGGGGAAAATAGGTTGCCAGGCTCGTGCGAGGTTCTGTATTACAAAGAATAGTTCGAAACGACAGGTGCATAAGCAGTCTCCGAGGTCATATTGAGCCGGAGGGTCACCAAGACTCGTCAGTAAAGTCGGGTGTCATTGGTGGGGCCGACGTTCCATAACTCGAGTCGAAGCCTCATGGACGCCGAAAGTATGAACACAGACATTGAGTCTGAATCGGGGGTCGTTATTCTTGGGGACAAACCTCTCAACGTGAAAAGTCTGTGATACTTACGTGCGCAGGCCTTCCGAGACACGACGTAGAGGGACATATATTTTGGTGCGAGCTCAGATATGACGGTGGAGAATTTAAAGGTGCTGATTGTGATTGATCAGTAAAGCCGGCGTTGATCGTTCTGAAGGAATGTCAAGGGCATTTTGCGGGGTGTGAGAGTGGTATATCCGCGAGTCGAGTAAACATTATGCAGATTGCGAGGGTACATGAACGCATAGATATCTTGCAAACCCAGTCAGAGTCAAATAGCGGACAATAAGCTGAATACAATGTTTCACTTTGAGTTATACGATTGCCTCTGATCACGGAGCCCGCCATCCTTCCATGCTACCAGTGCTGAATAAATTAGTGAGACAAACTCTTATCCGCCACGTCCAATGGTAAACGTGTTCAATCATTGGGTGTGCTACCAATGGATGTATGGATAATTGTTAATTGGTAGAACACACCCAAACACTCACATTAAACGTTCTTGTCCCAGGAGAAATGTTCTACCGAACGCCCTCGTATAAGTTAAAATAAAGCACAGTGAGTAATACGTAACTTTGGTCATTTGAACCACCATCAAAGAAGGGTGGTGCTGCAGATGTGAATACATGTAGCAGCGCTCAGTACTCAGTCGAGAGGCAGAGTAATCCTAGGATTTCGAATTCAGTGGCATATCAAACACACACTTTGGGTAAGTGTTAGGTAGCCAACACAAATTTGACTTTTTTTTTTTTTTTTTTTTGGAAAACCGAGTACGTAACTGTATTCGTTCAACGATTTTCAGTCTCGACTCTCGACCGAATCATGATGGCTTCTCAATCGTGCCTCAAAAGCGAGTTCAATCGAGAAACTTGTCAGAAAGTCGACAGTTCTATACCTGGTGAGCTCAACTTCCTTGCCATGATAGTGGCGTCCTGAGCTCCGGGTCGGACATGAAACACAACTAGGAAATCTCTACTGCTGGCAAGGCAGAAGATTCTCCCGCGAGTGCCCCCGCTGGGCTCTCGGTCTGATTTGCAACTGATAAGACTCCTTACAATCATGATGTTCCGGTATACCATTGTCTGAGAAACAGCACTTGGTCCGGGTGCACACCGACCAGGAGTTCGGGTAGGAATATCTCTTCCTTCCTCCAGTCTGTGTAATCTCAAACCTATACTTAGCTCCCGTTTACCATAATGCTGCGGTCGTTGTAGTTGTGTTACATTGTTTGTAAGTACTCCTTATTTGATGTCGAAACACGCTGGACTCAACTTCCATGGCAAGCACTGGCATTCAAGACGCCTCCCCGACAAATTTGTCCTCTGAGCGCACCCCGCTCCTTCCAGAGCGGCAGGACACATTAAGCGGTGGAAGCCGATTTTCCCCGCTGATACTTCTAATTCCGCTAGCTGTCGCGACACGTCTTACTTCGACACTGCCTACAACGACATTATTGGAGGTCATCCAATCCGTCGTCTGTCGGTTGTGGCTCGCGTCAAATGGCAACTTGCCTCCAAGCGGGGAGATACCTAAGGGACTATGCGCAGTTCCAGAAGTGGAGAAAACATACACAGCCGTCATTTCAACCATTTTAATTGGCGATGGGCTTGCAGGTGCGGAAGCTACTGAATTGTTCTGCTTAACCTAATATTCAACAGCTATGGTCGCATGCAGTGTGATCAGCCATATCAGCTCCAGACTCGGGAGAAAACCAGTTATCCTTGGCACAGTTGCCGCTAGCTTTTTGGGATATTCTCTTATGGTCTGTTCCCAGTACGTGTCTGGATGGCTAGGAGCAAGTGTTCTGGTCGCCTCTCTATTAGTGCAATCATTCAGCGGTACCATGACTATGATGTTCATTGTGAACATCTATACTGTTGATATCTCGAGTGCTGAGGAAAGGTAATGTACAACTCTGATAATCAATTTTCTTGGATTGACCGGATGTTTAAGAACGCCCATTTTGAGTGCCATCAATGGATGGGCTGTCCTAGGTAAGCACCAACCTCTGTATTTACAAATCTTTATTAATCTACGTGTGAAGGCCAAGCAGTTGCGTTTGCTATCGGTGGACTCGTCACCACCAAGACCAATAATCCGCTAATCGTCTATTATATTTCTATTTCCATCCTTGGGGCAATATTCCTCTACGTCTTAGCTCTGCTCCCCGAATCATTTCCAAAAGAAAAACGTGATGAACTGCGTCGCCAGCGCCTTGCTCAGCAGAATGTGGAAGCCAGCGCCCGTCGAAATTTATCAAGCCGCCTCATATCTACGATAACCATTATGTTTGAACCTTTGAAACAGCTTATTCCTGTCCGCAAGGCAGATGGGAAACGAAACTGGCGAGTAGTGTATTGTGCCATTCATATTGTCATCGCGATGCTTGCGGACTCGTATGCGTCGGCGGCCCTTTTGTTGTTGTACACAACGAAATACAGCTACAACTCTGCTCAGGTAAGCTGAGCATCAATCACCAAAGCTCTACACTTATGCATAATAGACCGGAATCGTGTTGACGACACTGAGCTTGAGCGCTGTGTTCTCTCTTACATACGTGATACCCTCGCTGATTCGCGTACTACGTCCGGTATACACCAGGAAGGTGTTTCTTCTCGAAGACCAACAGGACCCTATCGATGATACTGCTGTATCTACGTCGACAGACCTTCTCGATGTCCATATCACCTTCGCCTCCTGGGTCATCAGTGCCGTTTCCTATGTCATGGCGTCTGCGACGACGACTCATCTTTCACATCTCATAGGTGCGAGACGAACCTAAAAGCCGGTGATGTGTGTATTAATGCTTTGTGAAGCCGTGGCCGCTGTCGGTTTCAGCGCAGCACACATTCCCATCATTCGAAGTCTCGTGGTGTCATCTGTCGACCCCTTAAAACAAGGTACGTATTTCGAAGCTGCAAATATCCAATTAACATCTCGCGGATCGCTATGGATAGGAGAGGTACTAGCTACAATCGAAATGATGTCAAGCATTGGAGCTTTTCTGTCTCCTCTTGTCATGGGCGGCATTTTTACTGCGTGAGTCGATTGGGTCTCAATCCCACCCTGGATCCTTATTTCCGTACTCGATGCAGCACAATCTCGACTCAACCGATGTTGGTGTTCTATATCCATGCGGTAAGCTTTATTTGCAGGTCATTGTAAACGATGTACATTTGTTCAACGTGTTTATTGTAGGCGATCGTGATCGCGGCTGCGTCGCTACTCCTTCTCGTAAGAGATTCTGATCGTTATCAGAAACCATCGGACACAACACCGATATAACTGCCAGCACCTCTACCATAGACTAGAGAATTTCTTACACTGTGCACCACAGTGGGCATGAATTGGAATTTGAAACAAAGCCGTGATTTTCCACCTGTATTCCCCATCCATAAACCCGCAATGTGACTCTCAGGTCTTTCGTCTGCGGTGCCAGGTAAGTCATGAGCTGTGTCACTAGATGGATTCATGAGCCCGTTTAACCATAATTATGGCGCAACGTTGAGAACCCACATGCTGTCGGTTCATTATTGCTTGTACCTTCTCTTTCCTCCTTGTTCCCAATCATCCCAACAATGGCTAAGAACAACGGTATCCCTTGCATAGTCTTCTTCGTCGAGACTACCCCGAGGCATCTGACGACCGTTATGTACTTTGCCTCTATCCTTGCCTCCAGGAAATACACGATGCCATTTCATAATTCCCTCCTTGTTAAAGCCCAATCTCTCAGCAGCACGAATAGAAGGGGCATTAACAGAACTACATTGCCACTGAACCCTTCGCAACCCCAAACCGCCCTGAGACGGCACTTGCAGTGCATACCGCAAAAGCAGCCCAACAGCATTAGAATTAACATGCGTCCTCTGAAACCGAGGAAGGATAATGATATATCCGATCTCTGTGCATAGATTCGTCGAAGAAGAGTTCATATAAGACATCATCCCAGCCAGCTCGCCTTCCTCGTCTGCCGCGGAGGGCTGTTTTGTTTTATCTATGATGGCGAACGATACCATTCCTGGGTCGCGGTGGACTAGGGCCTCGAGAAAGTTTGTGTTGAAATCTTGCACGGTTTTGAATGGGCCGGTGGGCATGTGTGCCCATAGCTCTGGGTGGGCTGATGCGGTGGAACAGAATGGAGGGGAATGGATGGATGCCTGTGATAGGATGGTCAGTTGTTGTCGTATGTGACTATCTGGCGATTGATCATACTCTGAAGGGAGTCATCTTGACGCGATCGTTCGATAACTCTCGCACCGGGAAACAGAAATTGAGGTCTTCCGAGGCCGTCATCGTTGTGAGAAGAGAGTTGGATATAGAGCTGAAGATAGATAGTTACATAGTATGTACTCAAGTGATGACTAGGACTGCTGGGCCCAGTGACTCCTTCCGTGGGAGAGTAATCCTCAGGCTGTCACCCACCCTCACCATCGGATCGAAGAGACTGTGAGGCAACTTGCGATTCTCTGCTCACTTCCAAGCCACCTGGCCACACAGGCTGGTCCACGGATCATGGCACTGCGGCCAACACAGGAATGATTTCACTACCAGGAATCCCGGCACAGTCACTAATCGCCGAGCCTCTCGGAGCGCCAGCAAGTACCGTATAGAAACATCTAAATTACTTACTCTTTTTTAGGTTTCCATGCTCAAATGGGCGACATGCACTGTCAGCTGCTATTCATCGACTCTTGCCCGGGACCGACATGATTGCGCCACAAGGAATGATAGTAGCAATATGACGAGACCTGACATCCTAAAAGTCGTCAACAACTCGTGACAGTGCCCATCGAAATTCTTGGTATTTTCATACCCCTATGATAGCACTGTTTTTATGCAGGGTTTACCCAAATCACGTCACGACAAGTGGTTCTCGAGCCCCTGAGTGTGTTATACATAGTCCTCGACGTTTCTTTTTGATCTATTTAGCGATAATGCCAAGAGCTACTGTGACGGTTCGATCGAGGCGGTACTCCGAAGTGTTCTCCCGCACGGTCGTTCCGCACGTTGCAACATTATTCAAACAACCCAACTATTCCAGATCCCTTCGAAGAACCATTGGAATGGAATGGAATTTACCTTTGACGACTGAGTCTAGCTCGATCATCAGAGTTATGGGTCCCGCTCCAAGCACCCCCAAGTAAAACGCGCACGCAAAGACGTCAACGACACGTTCTAGCTCCACATCCCGCTCAACTCACGCAGTCTTATCTCAAAACGCACCCCGATGTCCGCTCCATCCAAAGTTTCATAAAACGGTTCTATCTCCCCCACACACGCTCGTGACAAATCGCACATCGAACTCGTACCACGGAAAGATCCACGCACCTACACGCATGGTCTGATTATCATTATTGGTTTGTTTTTTTTGTGCGGCGGACATCCGAGGGAAACATCCCTTATCCGCACACCTGTCATGCTTTGATTCATCTCTGGTATCTATGAAACAGACAGCAGGGAGAACGTCAGCAGTCTTGGAATAGTACTTCTTGACGATGGCCTCGTCAACGCCATCTAGACCTTCATAAAACGATGCATATTTTAACAACATATATTCCTCTCATGATCATGATCGGATCCTGATCAGCACTAGATAAAGTCTATCCACGTTCAGCCAAAAAAAAAAGTTGGGGCGTGACGCAAAGGTCATTAGTTACGGCCCAGTGATATGTCAAAGAAAGTTTGCCAGATCCTAATTCATTTAACGGTGTCTTCGTGCTTCGTTCAGACGGAAGTTTGTCTATTAATGAATTGGCATGTGTATTCACAAACTCTGCGCTACCACGTTGATGTCAGATTTCAATTGTCACAACGCAGTGCCGTTATTTCAACGACCCTGTTAGAAGGCATGCAGGAGCTACATGAATGTATGAGAAACGAGGTTACGGTACGAACGCAAAAAGAAAAGAAAACGAGTGGAAAATTAGCGCTACAGTGCTGTCAGTATCGTACAATGCGAGGGCAATGCATACGCCTACATATGAATGCATAAAAGTCCATCCCAAATCTATCCAACAAAGACAAAATGCAAAACAGTAAAACATTCGAATGAAAAAAAAAAAACCTTTCTTTTAACAAATTCATTATCCCAGAAACGCACGTGAATGTCAGGACTGATGTCGTATACGGACGCTCGTCGACGTATCCAAAGAGTGACGTCGTTGTAACTTGGTCTTTGCCGAGAATTTTGGGACTTTGGATACTTTTGATAGATCAGACGCAAAGCTGAAGAGCCTGCTGAAAAACGGTTTCTTGAACCCCGTGCTGCTAGATTGAGGAGACGATGGCGATTTAGTGGTCGACGTGGCCGTGTAGAGGGAAGGTGCGGGTCCGGGCTAAGATAACCACAAAGTCAGTCAAATGAAGCACAGTCACGGCAAGGAGAGATAAGCACTTTGCTGTCGACTTACCAAAACCTTCACCTTCTGACCAGGAGTGGGTATAACGTAGTACGTGCTGCCCGACTCGCAGCTATCACCCTCGCCGATCGCTGAAGGCGCTCTCGACCGATCTTCCCTAGGAAGCGAACCTCTCATTCCATACCGCGGTTCTTCATGAATAGACGCGAGATGACTGTGGATGCTGGGGTATGGGGCAGGAGTGATGCGCGGGTATTGCGGGAACCCTGAACCCGTGGGCGCAGACACCGTATACGTCATGCCTGGTGCCTTGGTTGGGGCATAAACAATCGTCGGTGGAGCATAATGATCGGTAGCGTGGTGAGAACCGGGTGCATAAACGATCGAAGGCGGAGGCCGATTTCGCGAATGCGAGTGCGCGGGATGGTGTTGCTCGTATTGTCTAGGAATGGGTTGAGAATGGGAGTAGGTGACTGGCGGGGCAGCGGTACTGTGGTGGTTGGGAACGTGGCGTGGCAAGGGTGTGGCAGGGATTTCTACAGCGTTTTTGTGGGGCGGGGATTGCAAGGGTTCGGACCGGTATGGTTCTGAAGCTCTGCGGGGCCGATACTTTTCGTTTCTGGAGTCATAGGGAGTGGCGTGTGGGTCAGAGGGAAGGATCTGTATTTCTTCGGGTTCCAAATCTTCAGGGTCTGCACGATATGCATGTCGTGCTGAGGAGTGATGATACCCTGCGTGCTCGGGGTAGCGAGGACCCCGCGCATGATATGCATCAGCAGCAGACCTCGAGCGGTCATGAGCATAATGATGATGGCTGTGCTGAGGATGAGGATGTGAACTGGAACTATGACTGCTTCCTTTGTGCGAGCCACCATTGTCATAGTGCCAGTGCGAGATAGGAACGTCTCGTCCGTCGCCGTACTTCAACATCATCTTCGGAGGTAAAGAATGCGAACTGCCGTTGTCTGAGCTACAGTCGTCGATATCTATATCACTGACGACGGATGGAGGGCTTTCGGGAGAATAGAACTGGGAATGGAATGGCGAGTGAGAACGCACCCAGTGCTCGGTACGTTCGCGGGAGTTTCTGAAATCCTGGATAGCCTCTGGTGAAGATGTATACTCTGTCATGAGGGGGTTCGTCACCACCAAAGTGACATTAACCAGATAACACTGCGCAGGGGGAGAAGTTTGAATTAATGAACACCGAGGCGAAAGAAAGAAAAAAAAAAGTTAGTCGAGTGCCGCAGGTTTTATATAATGAGGCTGCGAACCTGATTGAATCATCAAATCCCGTGCCAGTTACGGGAAGCGATGAGGACTAGTAGGGGCTGGGATCTCGCTATCCTAGCTGGGTTGCGAGAGATTTGCTGGCCATGATTAGACTTCTGCAAGCGACTTATTTCCGTTCCGTCCAGTAAGAAATTTACAGATTACCGGGAAATTATTACGGTCTTGTCGGGTTTGGCATCAGGAAACGTGTTTACAGCGAGGCAGATCCAAGCCAAGACAATTGTCATATACGTCCCTTCCCAAGTTCATCCACGCAGCTTTCTAAAGGAAGGGAGAATAGGTCATCAAGCTGCTTGTGCCTCGTAGGCGTCAACTCTTAGCGATGCTGTGAGATGGTAGCACTGGAGGTGACATAATCTACCACTGGCAAGTGCAATTTTCTTTCTGTAAGTTTAGTTCCGCAGCTGCACGGCTTCAGTTGATCTCTTCTTTTACTTCCCAAACCGTCGACCTTGGCCTGTGAGAGCAGAATTATGAGAGCCGTAAGTATCGAACAATGACTTCCCAATCTGATTGCATCACCAAGCATCTCTCATTAATCACCAAAGAGTATCCGTCAGGATACGGAGCCCATTAGTGTCTTACGGTACACATAGCTTGTACCAATATGAAAAACACAGACCCAAAGAGTACTTTTCTTTCCCTTGCTCTCACATGCTTCTAACCCATGACCGTTCCGAGATTTCCCAGCATGGCGACCAGAATAGAGAGGAAAGGGTTTCACACCATGGCCTGTATCGATGAGACCGTGAGGAGCAGTTCTACTTGGAAGGAGAACCCACTTGGGGGCACAGCTGTACACAGTTGTGGAACTGATGTCAGGCAAGCCGTGGATAAGGCAGGCATGACAGCAGGTGCAATAAACCGGGCCCCCGTCCGGCCTGTACCTGTATGGAAACATGATTTTTCCCTCATGGACGGTCTATGTACCAAGATTAGTCCCATGGTATTTGAAATAGTACACATCTCGACGATCGTCCCGATCAGCGGAGGAACTGCACCAGCATGGCCATACGATAGCGAAGGTATATCACGAGTCCATGACAATCAGAAGATGTCCATTGAAAGACAGGGGTTCATCAAATTACCTGTGCCATAGAATCTAGCATGCTCCTCATTGATCAAGCTCCGCAGTGGATTTTCCCGGTAACACTCGCATGTAGTCTTCCCATTCGCTGACAACATTCACACTCAAGGGTCATCGGTTGAATGTAAGGGGAAGTGCACAGCCCTGCAGACCACAGCTACACCCGGCGTTCATTTCTGAATGAGCACACTTCTGCACGAATAGGGATCGTATCAAAACGCACGTTATAACCATTAAACGCCCAAAAAGTGTCGAAATGTAGCGCCACGTTGGTGATTTCTCACCAATGCAGTGAATTAACCAGCGTACGCGAAATGAGACGCGACGACGGTGCGGAAATATTGAGCAACGAGCATGCCTGGAAAGGAGTGGCCTCGAAATTTGCCCTGAGGGTCAGAGTTCATACGAGGGCTTGTGGATGTAATTTTTCCAGGAGGACATGATGGTTTCCCTGAGTTTTGAATCAAATCCCATGTCAGCACGGAGACCCGGGATGCGTGCGCAGCGTGAGTGCCTCGACGGAGTCTCTTGGCCTCCGTGGTACCGAGCGAGGCAAAGATGGAGCTCGAATGCTATCTTTCCTTGCAAGATATCTCCAATGACTCGGCGCAGACTCGTATTCTGTGAAAGTGATTACAGCCTCAGTCTCGAACTTCTGATGGAAGAACGTGGAAGAACTCGAATTTGTAACTCCGCGAGCCTGCTAAACAGCATGAAGAGAGGACAGCATTCAAAAGTTCTCGTGAGTCAACTTGCCTATTACTACCCACATGCCCAATCTAAATACCGCATCGTTATCGTCAAACAACCATTATTATTGTGACATTTCAAAGCACTTTCTGGAATCAACTGGTGCTTAATATTGATCAGAGATTCATTTCGCGCGGCTCAGATCCGATTGGAAATCCGTGATGTCTGGAGTAATAGTCGCCGTGCACGTTCCGCAAAAAAACCTGATGAGGCCAGCGACTAAACCTGATGGGCCTAACAGTCCTATGCTCATATTGTCCGCTAGGACTCCAGAATACAGGTTAGGCTGTTAAATGTATCCTACAGCCCAAAAATGCCCTCGCAGGGTGCACCCTCGTGCTTAGCATCGGGAGGTGACATCTACAGCCCACCCTCATTTGTCTAGCGGGTAGCGACTACTCGTACTGAATATGCGTGTTGTCATGGCACTCCCTGAGGATCAGGCGTGTCGAGGAGCCTGCTTCAAGTTGGATATACGGCATCATCAGTAATTATAATAATTCACCCATATAAATTGTAAGACTCATCAAGAATGGGACCTCCGTTTAGCAAGCATAATGTCAGCATCATGTTCGAGGAAAGGCAGTTTCGCGCAGTTCATCATGCTGTGTAATACTCGCATCTGGACGTATATCGCGAGTCGGGCGCCTCCAAAAAGATGGCAAATCTCATTGGTTTTGGAAATAGATTCACCAACGTTTTCCCAGTGATATTGCTCGACTCGGTTTTCTGTTTCGTGCGCACGGTTATCCTTTGGCCATCCAGAAGCTAGAAATTGGGGTCTACGCACGTTTGAGACTAATACGTCTGTTTCGTGTCCGAAAACTGTGAAATGTAATCAGTCATCTTGCAATGGTCTTATGGATCCCTTGAGGGATGTGATACTTGTGCAAAGTGAGGTCAGGGAGTATCGAGTCCTGGCCGTTTCCAGTATTTATTGTGACGAGATTACACACGCTTTTTGATATTAAAGCCTTCTCATTCACTGTTCTATCTCAGGGCAATGGTATGTATAGCCAAGTAGGGACAAGGTACTCACAAGTCTTCGAAGGGTATGCCGTAAGGTGTACCAAACATAGGCCGCAGCCTACCAAACCTTGATGCTAGGCTCTCTTTCTCATGCACAGAGACTTACCTGGTCTATCGGAGAAACTCTTGCCGGTGAAGCTCGCTGCTTGGTCTTGCGTATCATGATCAATGTGCTGCCTGCGCCAAAGATCTCTGCAGTGAAATTCGCAAAGTCCTCGGGCATCCTGGACTCGGAGTGGGAACAGAGGTTCTAGTCAACACATCACGTCTCCATATAATGCGGTAGAGGAAGGGGAAGGACATACTCCACGACAACTTCCATCATAACGGTGACCTAAAACCCATCACAAAGATATCTCGGCAAAATGATAGCAAAAAAACAACACACGCGACAACAGGTGGTATAAAGCACGTCCATCACCCAGTTCTTCGGCTGTGGAAAGCGAGGTCTAGATATTAATGCGTAAAAGTTTATGGTTGATGATTATGACGTCGCCTGGGAGGTATGGGGAAGGGAGGCCACCGGAAGTGATAAGGTCACTGCCTCCAGTGCCGAGCACGAACAAGAAGACGCCAATTAGATCTTCTGTTTCTAAAGAGGATATGTCAGAAATGTCAGTCGGGGTACGCCTGCTTGTTATGCAATCTTTGCTTACCCTTTGCTCAGGGTGTTCTCCATAAAAAGCATCCCATATGTTCGTTGAAAGACGGCATATATCAGTCATATTGGGAAGGACAGTGGAGATATCCGCAACAAGCTTCATCACATTTGCGAAGGAATAACGGCTCATGCCGCATCAGTGCCATTGATTCCCATCGTTGATTCGTTGGGTTACCACCGAAGAATGCGGGATCGTTCGTAACCCAAGGTCATACATAGACGCAGACCAGATCCCAAGGTGAATTCTTCAGTTAATATCGCTCCGAAATTTCATGATACAGGTACAAGTTGAAACCTGCGAATAAGATTTGAATAGGATGCATAAGTCGGTCACGTGGTTGAAGTCCGTTCTATATGGCTAATAGTGCGCTCCATTGCCATGTGCGGTTCCTGGGCCGAGTCCTGAAATTATCCTGTGCATCCTTCGACTTTTGGTAGTTATGCGCTGTTAGGATCTGAACGAATCACAAATTCACAAATTTACCAATCAATTGAGTTGTCAGCCTGTCGTCGAACCGAACGACTATGAGACCCAGCGCGGAGATGATTCCAAGTTCCGCAAAGAAGGCATTGGTGTGGTGCAGACACCAATGTCTTCAGCTGTTCAATAATAACCCCCATGAAGATCTTCGTGTTCGCTTCAATTCTTAACATTCACATATCATCGAATGGATTACTTACTTGCGTACCCTCATCAATGCCCAACTTGCACTGCCCAAGCACTGCATGTCCTCCATACCCTGCCTGAACCTGAACTTCGATTGAGCATCTTCTCCGGTGGCTGAAAAAGAATCTGATGAGGTCCTTGAAGACGTAATTTGAACGTGGCAAGACGGACCTGAAATCAGGCACGGGCCCCGGCCCACCAGGGTCAAGTATTGAATGCTTGTGTGTTGTCGCGCCTGCCAGTGTTGGCACACAGGCGAACATCATAAACCAAGGTGACTTCGTTGCAGTCTGTCCCATCATCACTCGGCGCTGTAAGATCGCCAAACAGACAACGGTCGATCTACTGGCGCATCCGATTAGGTCTTGTTTGACGGATGACGTTTACGCAAACATGTCAGTTGGTCTAAAGTGTCATGCACTGGCATTGCATGACACTTGGCACCAACTGACAAGTGCATTGATACGCGCCGACTCCATGTCAGGGAGCATCATAAACTTGAATGAGCCTCATACCTGGCCAATTTGAAGGCGTCCCTCTGTGATGAAAAACCGGTCGACAAGATCGGGACTCGCAGTAATTGGGACCATTGCGGCCATTATCGAGTCACTGTGCCATATTCTTGAGTTGAGGACCTTATACGAACTGCTACAATGAACTGGAACTACACATTGTCCCACGGGATTTGGGTGTCAATACTTCAGTTACGGCCAACCACGCACCCCGGCACAACCCCGACTCCACTTTTGGGACAGTAATTACATACTTGTTTTGGAGGCAGGACCAAAGCTGTCAGCATTCAAGCAATGCACGGGGTATAGTGCCGTAGGAACGATGGTTTCGCTAAGAATATAGGTTATCATGGTGCAACTGTTGATTGAGTGTGCAAGAACTGAGACGAAAGGGAAAACTAACTTTGAACACAGGACCTGATAGATAGACCGGAGTAACCCCTCGCGGCGAAAATGGCTATCTCCGACATAGTAGGGTCTACGACCCCAAAGGACAATAAATTTGATGTTAAAAAAACAAGACCAACAGCAGAGCTTGCCCCAAACGCAACAAACAAGATGAAGATGAAATGCACCATTATTCCAAGGGATAAAAACTTACTGCCTCAAATAGCCTTACTCAGAGTAAGCTACTCTGGTCCGCACCACCCTTCGCAAGCGATGTATGTCCTGCCAGTCGGTCAACCTCTTGCCTTTTGCCTCCATCATCTTGGCGGCAGATTTCATGAAGAAGTCCTTGGCAGCCCCCGGTCAGTGGCAACAGCCTCGTGGACCCGAATCCCATCTGGTGCACTCGAGAACCGGTCGGACGCCTCTCGTCGACAGCAAAGTCCAGGTATTTCCAGCCAGGTGAGTTCTCTACCATTACACTTAGCACATACTGGTAGTCGCAATCTAATCCACAGAGACTGCTGCTGTGAACTTCTGGCTGTATTCTGAAGATAGATTACTCCCGCAGTCACGCAGTGTCGCAAATGCGGGGAACTACGCCAGTACGTCTGCGATGCCATAGAGCTCAATGAGATACCAACGATACCCTTATGAGTCCGGAATATCTTTCAGCGTCCAGTGCGTGACTCCCATTGCATGTCGGAAGCCATTCTCCTATCGAACTTCTTCCTCACCTTGCCAAGTTCTTCAGGGCGACGCGTCCAAGAAGAGTATAACAGAGTGAACTCACCGCGACAAGAAGCCAAATCTCGATTTTCCATTTGGCGAAGTGAACGCATATCCACGAGTTTCACAAGAGGAAAGGCTTGGAGCGTGGAATGATATAGTAATTAAAGATTTAGAACAATGTTTGACGTCAGAGCAAGAGGTACTATCCCTTACGCTCTATTCGTGACGGTCCACAATTTCGTGAGTCACACTCAGGTCACGAATAGTAACGGACAGTCACACTGGCCGAATCTACAGTCCGCTCGGCAGACGTTAGAATCTTCGTGATTCGTGATTCGGGATTCGTGAACTTCAACAGTGATTGATTAGGACGCTACTTATAAGTCTGTGAGCTACAGTATGTACCGAAAAATTATATAGAACTAAATGCAATCATTAATGATGTGTAAAATATTGCTGAGGGAATGTATGTGGATGTGGGTATTGATGCATACTAGTAGATGGATTATGAAGTCCGTGACTCGGACTCGGATGCGCGGGTTGAGCAAAAAAATATGGTGGATGTGGTGCAGGGACACTGAAACGGGCAAAGGACCTTCTTTCAGAACAAAGTACGGTGACATTGTTGCACCAGCTGCATTTGCACATTCCAAAATCGTCACAAGTTCTAGATTATCGCTATGTTGACGGTAGAAATCACGGTCCTTGGTTGCAAAAATAAATTTTGACCCATCACCATTCCGACCACCTCCCATCTGATTGCCCTTCTCATCCATATTCCAATTATGCGCTGCGGGAATACCATTATATTTCTTATCGAGGTCGATCCGAAGCGTGAAGTATCCATCAACAGTTGTTTTGTTGAAGTTCTGAGCACGTTTCGGGTCAAGATTCCGTGGCTTGTGAGTAGAAATAGACTTCTTGTGACGAGCGAGGTAACGACGATGCCAATGCTTTCCGGGAACCCTTCCACTAATCTCGTTGACCCGGGCACGTAAATCACGAGGGTGCACAGGGCGTGCGGCACCAGATTCATGAGCCAGCCAGTCCTTGACAGCTTCCTCTTCCGATGGCTGGAGGAGTTGCTGTGACTTGGCAAAATCCCTGCGAGACATATGTAGACCCTTGCTCCGGTCGTTAAGAGTCTGCCGTGCGACCTGTACAATAAAATTAGCACTGCAGGAACTCGAAAAATACACAATCATACCTTTTGTGCCCTTGCAGCTACTGTAATATTCTTGTAAGTGCCATTTGTGACACCCATGAGTGCAGCCTGGATCCTGGACTCGTACTCGGGGTCAGTAGACGCCGCCAGCTTGCCTCGGTGACGTCCCATGGCATAGCGATTGAGCCCAGCTCAGCGCTCGCTACTTGCTCACGCGCTCACGGATTGCAGCTGCAATGAAACACGCTGTTAAATTCAATGTCCGACGTCGGCAGCCTCGGCAGGTGACACTGAAATCGTGATTTTGGCTGCTGTCACGCTGAAAACACGATCTCCACCATTTCTCAACAGATTTGTTTCGTTCCACTTGGAATATGCTAGTATATAGTATATAGAATATACTGAGTGAAGTAGCTAAGTAATTACATTGAAGTTGAGTGCTGCAGACAAAAATCACGAAATTGTGGACCGTCACGAATAGAGCGTAAGGGATAGTACCCGCTCGGGAAAAAATGTACATGAGGCCTTGGCATCAGAGTCTCACGGAGATACCCGGGACATCTATGTGAGCTGGGTGATACTACAGTGTACGAAGCACTTTTCCGACCTCTCGGATTAGCCCGAACTCAAAAATGTATCTAGTCCTCGAAATTTGACTGCTTTGTACCGTAGAGTAGCGCAAATGCATTCTTTTGACTTGTAGATTAAGGCTACCTCGTTCGAATATTGAAAATCGAAGGGTTGAAAAAATTTCCGACGAAATTTGAAACATGTTGCAAGAAATGGTATTTATGGGTAACTGAGCAGGTATACAAGCAAGCAGATGGTAAATACAATCTACAGAAGCCCTCTGCTTGCAGTTTCGGCATCCAGTGAGGCCAAAATCTCTGTCATGAGCCCATCCTCCATTGAGATGTCCGAGAGTTTCCCCGGTAAACAGCTGGCCTATTTACAATTTTCTGCTTCTTTCGCTGACACCAGGCTTGATGGTAAGCATTGCTGACGTTCTATAGATAATAGAAATTCGGAGACATTCACCTGTGGTTCTCCATCAGACCCAGTTAAATTATTGTCCTTGGCTCGAAGATTTGCAGGTAAAAACATGCCATAGAGGCTCTGTAGGGCAACAATGGACCCAGATATATCATCTGCCTCAACCTCGCTCTCCCCACTAAAGCCAGGCTCATACTCTGAGTCTGACCCCTGTTCTGGTTGAGGTGATGGCAAAGAGCTGAATTTACGACAGTCGGCTCGTTGCTTCTTTGCTTGAGCAGCTTTCTTTGTCACAGGAGGCATATGGTAATATGAACAGGGTTTCGGGGAGATGAACAGGGTATATGGAGCATGGGGTAAATTTTTTCCGACGGAAAAATTTGAAACAAAATGGGAAATTTCGAAAAATTGCTTATTTTTGCTTGTTTCCTTGTAGAATTTTCATTGAGCAAAAAAATTCGTACAATTAAGCTCCCTATAGAGACGGCACTCTAGTGCTTCGTACACTGTAGTAGATCTGAGTCTAGTTCGCGGATTTTTGGTATAATGGCTATTACCCCGCAACGCACAAACACGAAAATACATTTATTCGATAGCCTGACATCGAAAGTACGACTCATCAGCTAGCTAGTTTTTTCTTCGATGCGGCGGAGAGTTACCCCTATGTATGCGCGTCAACGTCTGCCGCAATGCATTTTCAGAGTCCGCAGAGTCCGCATCGTTCGTACAGTACATATTAGAGCGAGCCTTGAATGCACCTTGGACCAGCACCAATAAGTTGATCATGTGACGAAATCTACTTCGATTTTCTTCAAATAAAAATATAGCATTGTGTATCATATCGGGGTGACCTCAATGCAACATACATAAAGATTCTGTGCAGAACTGCGTGTGTAGAGTCAATGCACGACTTCTCGGGACACACAGACTCGTGAGACCATCTAGTATCATTTCAAGAAACAAGCATTGAAAAAATATAATACAGTGTTTCGATCGAATAGGATGCGATAAAACAGCACAACAAAGGGAATCCACAAATATAACGTAGAGCACATAGAATTGAGCACAACAAAAACCAAAACAACATATATCGCAGACAGGTGAAACGTGAACATGAAACGCATCGTTTTTATAATTACTTTCTCTGTTGGTATACGGAGACTAGATTTTGTTGGGTGAAGTCCATGTTTGATTGTCGCATTGGGGTGTTCTGGCCGGATGGTATGGGAGAGGGGAGCCAACCGGGAGTGATCAGTCCACTACCTCCAGCCCCAAACACGAAGCCACCGCTTAGCCCTTCCATAGTGTCTGAATAACCTATTTTGAGATACGTCAGAAAGGCCAGCCAGAAGTCCATTTCCTTGATGTATGCTTACCAGGTACCAATACACTATCCCAGAATCCATTGCTCAGGATATTCTCCATAGAAAGCATACCCATATGTTCGTCAGAAGATGGCATATCAGCCATAGTGGGAGGGAAAGTCGAAATATCCGCAACAGGACCCATCTCACTCGCGAACGAATAATCATTCATGCCATTCATACCATTAGTGCCATTCATTCCCATCGCTGGGTTACCACCGAAGAGCGCAGAATTGTTCATGTGGTTGGCCATGTCGCCATGGCTCATGTTATCAGATTGGTCTCCAGATGACACCTCTTCAGGCTCTTGTGGTGAATCTGTGCGAGCGGTGATCAAGGCCCGCAAGAATGTGCTGTACAGCGCTGGGGCATGATGAGAGTTCACAGCAACATCCGCGAGCACGTTTGCAACGTCCTTGACGAGGTCGATGATGTTCTGCTCGTTCTCAATGAACTGCTGAAACTCCGAGCGGATAAGCTGGAGGTCTATGTTAGCATCATGACAAACGACGGACGATGATATCAAAGTACCTTGAGCAAACTGAGAACCGCGTAAGAAATGTATACGAAATGTGAATCTGGCGAATACTTCAGCATACCCATCGGCGCAAGCTCGTCTCGTGCGACAATAGCCACTGCCGTGGCTGAAGTATAACACCGTGAGAAGAAGTGTCCGATATCCACTGCCGAACGCTCCATAGCGTTCTGCAGCCCAAAAGAGTTCACAACCAACATATAGTAGTGGAAGTAAAACTTCATCGTGGTTTGGGATTCCGACAGCATGACTTCATCGGCTAAATAAATGATGAACACGATATAGATGATTGCCTCAAATAAAGCTATCTTACAAGTCGGCAAAGGTCGAGCAGTTGTCCACTCATGTTGCCATGCAAGTATCTGGGTTTCGATAGTTTTGATGACGATCAGGTAATCGCAGTCGGTCTGTAAGCCGGACGGGGTGTTAGTGCCCGAATACAGGAAGTCTAGGCTTCTGGACACAATCCGCTGTAATTCCTGGGAGAAGACGAGATCAAACTACGCATTGAAGTTCACGATTAATGGATACGCACGACCGATGCTGCTAAAGCAGTGTCACCTGGTTGACCAACGGGGGACTTCAACCACTGCAGCGCATTGCGAATTACAAAGCTGGTGAATACGATGATTAGAGATGAAAAAATAGAAATGATGTCCACTTACTCCTCCTTGATGGAATGAGGCTTTCCCATTTGAGAACTCACGCTTCTGTCGAGGGCGAAGCACAAGAGCCATGTTCGCTCACGGTTGTGAACCTCCTTGTCCCGAGCCCGACCTTCTGGTGTGTCTTGCCTGGTCATCGTTGTCTTCCGATGTAGATTCAGGTCTGTCGCCATCCTGAATAATAGACGTCACTGAAAACAAACTGTTGACGACATGAAGAGATACAAACCTAATGGCCATTCCCAGCAATATCCATGTCTTGTCGTACTCATAGCGCTCTACGGCACCACATCCCCAAAGAGTGAGGAGGAGATATGCCTGTACGATTTCAAGGGATTTATAACCTTTGGCAGGTACGCTAAACGCGAGCTTCTGTGCAAGCTCTGCAAGCTGCTGATGAAGTTCTGGTCGCTGGGTGTAGAATTTCGATGATATCGCACAAACTGCGAATGATAAGTCGTTGCACATATGAGGGATTGTAAACTTACTAGTTGTCAGTAAAAATGGCGAGCGGGAACAGACAAGCGAGGGAGTGTGGAACTCTCTATCAAAGAGCTCGCAGTGAACCTATAAAGAGTATTTAGATACGGCATGTCGTGATAGTACTTAGTACGGACATTCAGATGGTCAAAGAAGCTAGCAGCCGATCAGATCGGCATCACGATGTATGTCATACAGTACTCACATATCAAATAACGCGACCACTTGCTCGGTGCTAACAAAGCTCAGCATTTCGGGCTGAATTTGCCGTTCGATATACAAGCGCCGTAGTGGGAGTATTGTCATCGGGCCTGCAACATTGCCAATTTGCCAAATAGACAACGTGCGAAAAGGCAGCTACGAACCTGGCCTAAAATAATTATCACTAGCCACGCCCACCTTGTGATCGGGATCGGGATCCGCTGGGCGCGCTGAGAATGAGGACGAGATACCCTGAGCGCGTCGGTTTGCCAAGCTTGCCTCAGCAAGCAGACCGAGGGGGTTAAGCGAGTTATCGGGAAGGGAATGAAGCTTTGGGGAAGCAGATGCATTGGCGCTCGATGATGGTGGATAAGCAGACTGAGGAGGAGGCGATGGTGATGCCAGAAGCGCCTGGGTCTGTGCAGCTTGACTTGTCGGGGAAGGCGATCTTGATACCATGCCAGAGACCATACTCGGGTTACCAATGGACTTTAGAACAGTGTCCAGAGTTTTCTCCATCTTCTTTAGTGAGCGAGTAAGGAGCTCGTGTTTTCTTGGACTTTGTTTTCAGTGTTGGCCATTTGTGCGAGATACATGGAATTAAAACATACTTGGTGGACCGTTTACCCCGATTGGATTCCTCGAATACGCACTCGTGGTTCCCAGAAATGCAGCGTTTGCAAGGGGGGCCTTGCTCAGCACCAACGCACTTCATTTTTAGACGCCGACAGACGGTACACGCGCTAAACAGCATTGTTACAGCTCATAGCATTAAAAGGATGTGTGTGAACTCACCGTGCACCCCTGGTGGTCTTTGGCTTCGGCTCGTCTTTATCAGCAGCAGGGCTGTGCCCATCCAAGCTGTCTTCTGAGCGTGCTTTTTTCCTGCTGCTCTCGCCCATCGCACCGACGAGAGAAGAGGAGGGTCTCTTCCCGTTTGAATTGCCAGGTGAGTAAGACAGGTTGTCGTTTGGGGGTGTACCCATTGTGTCCGATCCTTGTGATGATGGGGAAGATAAATTCTGAGAAACTGCAAGGTGGTGGTTGATGTGCTGCTGAGGCTGTTGATATGGGTAGTAGGGGGGGTAGAGCGATAGAGCTGGGTCGATTTGGGGGGAACGAGCAGGAGGCATGTTGGATTGAGGGATAGCGTGATCCTGATGGTGCATGGATATGATGTAGTCAAACCTTGCGGAAGAGTCGAGGTAGTACTGCGGATAGCAGGGAAGGGGCGACAATGGCATAAGCATGATGTCTTGAAGGGGAAGATAACATATGATGAGAACATACCTTGAAAGACTTTTAAAACCAGAAACTGAGATTGACAATACTGGAGTACCTAGGAGACCTGAACCACGCGTAAAGTCGCTGCTATGCGCTCACACACAAGCGGAGTGGCACGGTTCCAGACAAGGAACGAATAGTCAACCAAACTAGGGTACTGGATGAATTTGGAGTTGTTCAGTATCAAGTCACCAAAAAAAATTCAAAGGATTGTGACCCACGCAAAGAGGACTGTCAAGACTGTTCACTTACAAACCTGCAAACTTTTCTGTCAAAAACGAAATGAAAATCCCAGGACAATTCACGAATAACACTGAATCCGACGAATTTCAGCGCTTCTTGGTCTTCACCCCTCTGCGACCTCTTCGCCTCAACGCATCTTCGGAGTTTCAATCATTCAGGCAATGTGTCCGCGTGCTCATTTCTTCCTTCAAGTTGGTGCCTGCTGTTATCCCAGGGTTACAGACGGCCGTCATAAACACGAACGATCTCAAGGGCTTCGAATAGCTGTGCTACATGGTGTTACCTACGGTGAGTGTTGGTAGTCTATACACAAACTCGGACGTCCCCTCAGACCTTGGTCTGGTCTAGACTTCTCTATCTATGTACAAAGATAGACGGCACTCGGAAATTAACTAACTCCATGTCCGTGTATACCGTGACCATACCCACCGCTCCTTCCCGAATATCCTCCCGTTGGCGCTTCCCTGACGACAAACTGTCTTATCGTGCAACCTATACACGGGAGTAACATCCCATATAAGTATTAGTACGTGGTCCCAGTCATAATTTCAGACTATCAACATATTTTTACCATCATTCTAGCTGTCACTTATTTCGAGACAGGTCAAGTACATGTATCGTGAGTTGGACACCATATACTAAGACACGTGCACAATTGCCCATTCTCTACCAGTGTCAATGGTTGGCATATCCCTTACAGCACAACCTAGAGCGACTACAAATTGGTTGAGCTTGGACATGGACAAATGCCAGGCACTGGTTCTACCCTGCTTACCAGACAAGTCAATTGAATGTATATTTCCACGTTCTTTGTATCGCAGTGAGCCTATCAATCGTTTTTCTCAACGGGATTCCGTCCCCACCTCTGCTGGTTCAGTCAGAGTTTCAACTTTACTATTCTCACCATAAAGAACCAGCATCGAGCAATTCTTTTTTTTGTCAGAGGTATTTTTTTCTCCCTTGTGATCAGTACTTCACCCCGCTTCCACCCCTTTTTTGGATAGGTCTGCATGTGCTGACTGCGTGTCAATGATGGCTAGAAAAAAGAAGCCCAATGATGGGCTTTTATTGGTGCTCCAGTGACCTTGTTCCGCTCTGAGTCCAATCAACGTCGGTGCACGTAATCCTGGCACTCAATATCACTTTCTTTGGAATTGCATCTCAATCCTCGACAGTATGTCAGTGTGAGCAAGCAACATGACATTAATATACGGTCTCTCGGTGGTCCGATAGTCAAACTGTTCATCGACGACCTAGCGGGAATACCGCATCAACACTTCATCGTATTGTTATGCATCAACTATCATTCGTCGACCAACTCTCCCGTATGTTTGCAGCGCACTCACTCACCTACATGACAGTCTTCTTATGTCATGTGCTCTCCATCATATATATTATTCATCCTCCTATTTTCGGATCAGCAACACATCTAGACTAAGCAAGAGATTCAGCGGTGATATCGTGGGCGCCTGGACTCTCATTGGTCTTATCTGCTCTTGGCGAACATGCTGCCCCTGTCGTTACTCATGTCACTAGGTACTGCATTCAATCCAGCTTGGAGATCTCCAGCAGCCGTCATCGGCATGGGCGCGAGCAAATGATGTTCGTTCGTGAGAAGCAATTGTTGGACAAGGTACCATCGTTGCGAGTTTTTCGGATCCCACCGTTTGACCTCATCAAAAATCCTCAGGTGTGTCGGAACTTGGTGGTAACTGGATTGGTATGTGTTGTGTCCCCATCTAGCGTTCAGCACGGTTACATCGCAAGGTAGTAGTCATTTAACTCATGTCTCGTTCCCCCGCTTTATTGAAGACTTTATCATTCTCGTAGCGCGGTGATATCGATAAATTCTTCACAGGGAACTACTATCCACAATCATGTTCGTAGCCAGCACTGGATATAGAACAACTATTTAACATTGACATCTCTCAGGAAACTTCACTTAATTCAAGCGCATAGTCCACGATGATCCACCCAGAGTTCTGCATGAAAATACTCGTTGTGAAGGGCAGACACCACGAAATGAAGGACTAAAAAAGAATAGAGTTATCTGTCTTTCGTAGTTTGAGAGTGATTACGCCGACTGAAGTACACATACTGCGCAGTGCGCCTAGTCAAATTTAATTTTGTAGTTCCACTCAGCAGCCCCCTCGTTCTTTTAGGACCTTCTGCAGGCATACTTGAAGGTCTGCTATAAGACCGTTCTTCATTATGTGCTTTTGGGTTCAAACTTGGTGTCCCCCGGTACGATAAACCTGAATATCAATTGAACGGGTCATCCCCTCCCTTCCTCCATAGCCATGGTTCCCATCCTGCCATTTTAGGCTATTAAGGTAAAACTCTCACTTCGGCCGCCGAAAAAGGCTGCGTGTCCCATGAATACAAATCTAACACGCATGTTTCGCCGTGGAGCCAGCTGCATCCGATGCGAGAAGCCCGAAACGTCGTGATTTGCCGTCCATTAATATTGTGCCGTCAGCAGCTTAGAAACTTTTATTTTGCGGCTAAAAATTATTCCTTTAGCACAGAATACCACATGCACAACAACGTACGAGCCCAGGATTTTCCGTCAGAAAATATGTCACTGTGCTTCAAACGTGCTTCCTCTGATATCGTCTGTGTCGTCATTTCGGAATCTTCGAAGGTCATAGGAATTTTCCAACCCGTTGCCTCTGCGTGTCCCGGAACGCTGCTCATCGGACTTAGGACGAATTGTTGGCTCAGAGTCATTGGTGTCGAAGTAGAATTTGAAGGAAATATGTCTGGCTTGCGTAAGTACATGTATGTATGGATAACAGTGATACTAAAGTAGTCGCACCGTAATGTCGAGATCAGTGACAGCACATCAGTCCGAAGGCTTCTACTATCGGTTCCTACTCATTCGGATAAGAGCAACAACACCCTGAAGGCTTCCAATTCTAACGGTCCATCGCTTCTCGGGCATATATCAGAGACTATCTGGATGACTCCTTCGTCGCAGGCACTTCAAGTATGTAAGAGATCTCTAGAGGCCTGGAGGGTGTTTCTTGGCATCTAATGTCTGCGTCCAAGTAAGTGGTAAATTTGATCAATCTCTGTCTGAAATGAAATACTGTTGTAGGCTGTTGCAAACACTCCAAATCTGCGCTAGTTCCGTGCACTCAGACATTCATAGAGGATATTCCTTAGCATCTGATGTCCGCATCTAACGGTATGTATTATAGAATACCCATGAATGTTCGGGACCGACGTTAGCCAACAATTGATGCGGCACTAGGGGTCCGAAGCCCGCAGGGAAGATGGAGAACCAATTAACGGGAATTCGTTTTCATGAAAGCATGGGCAATTCCGAGGCCAAAAAAGTGATCCGCGGTACATAGATGCCGCCAGAGCGCCGATGTTGGGTCCTCCCAGTGATGGTAGAAATCAAACATCATCGCATCAAACAGTCTCGTGAAGAAACCTCCGAAACGGGCGCAACGATGGCTGAGACGAGGTGTACGGTGAGTCTTGATGTCTGCAAGACCCGTTATTGACAAGATATTGACATTTCTGCAAATGATATTTTTGCAATCAAGCACGCGCGTCAAAGTGTGATCAAAGCAAGCGAACTTGGATGTGTTTGGGATTTTAGAGAGTACGTAGTGTGCGGAGTGACGTGATGTGGCAGAGGCGGAAACGAAAAGAAGTGGGATTTGTTGACTTTTCATTGGTTCGGAGGTTGGCCTGCAAATCGTTTACACGGCCTTGGTAAATCATGGACTTATAGGGGATAGGACCCATCATGTGTCTAGGTGTAACACATAGATGTCGACATTGACCAAAGATCAGCGAGCGTGTCGTGTGTATAACCATGCGCACTGAGATTGGATTGAATGCAGTGCTCAGTGAACGGGATGATTGGTGGTGGCCATGGTAATTATCTTCAAGAGGGTCGCCACGTTCATTCGAGTATTTGGAACGAATGTGTACACGAGGTAAGATGTTGCGATGTCCTGCTCAGAAGTCTGGGTGACATGTCACCAATCTGGAGGAGCACAAGCCAAAGATTTAAGAGGAAAATGCTTATGGAAACACCGTTAAAGGAATGGACATGGATCGTAACTGAGTCTGCACTTGAGAGCGTCTTGATCGTCCTGAACTCAATCCATTCAGAGGTAACAATCACAGCGAAGTAGTAATCAGACCACGATGAGTGACTCTCGACTCCGAGTCGGCGACCTGATTTAAGGTACAAAGTTGACAAATTTTGACTGGCGTGTACCATGCATTGAGATCGAAAGAACCAAAGAACTGGAAAATAACAAGGTAACAGTGGGGGTTTCGGACGGTTTGACTTGTCTTGATATAAAAACTAGTAGGGCGACTTTGGGTTTGGGGACACGGCAGAAGATGCCGACATGGTTAAAATGAAACTCCGTTCGAATATGACCAAGCTTGGTTGTGTGGGGGAGGGTGGCTCGGCGACAGCGAGAAACGTTTGAGGATAACAACTTATATCTTGCTCATCGTTATGACCCACCAGCAACGCCCGTCGCTGGTCCTTGCACCGTCGGTAAACACTACGACGTATGTTATGCTCATTATTCTAGCTTATCCGAGCCGTCATTAACGCATATACTTGCTA